TATATATATATACAAACACTAAAATGTCGCTTACAATACAAGTCTTACATTATTTCTCCTAATGCCTTAACTTCATTTACTTAAATGCACCTGTGCTCTCAATCACAGTTTGTTTACCCGAGGACTCTCTACCAGTGCCTCTTGTAGATGCGGGTGTCGTTGCAAATCTGCCATGCATTTCATGTTACATTGTCCATTATACAATCATGAGAGATCGGAACTTTTTGGCAATCTTGCAGATTTACTCGGTCATCAAGTCAACCTTCATAATATGTCAGATAATGCTAAACTGCAATTTATTCTTAGAGGCTCCTCAATGTTACCCTCTTTGTACAACTTTCAAACGATGCAACTCACTCAGGTTTACATTGGAGATACCAAGCGCTTTTGGCTCTGCTTGACTGTTTCTAACAGTCAATTAGATAATAGAAGTTCAAATACTGCGTAAGTGTTAACGGGCCTAAATTTCCCCTCCCAGCTCTGATTGGCGGATGTGTTTCCGCCCATGAGATATAGGAGGTTACCATGTAGTCTTATCTTTCAAATATCTCTGTTAGCATTTAATCTAACATTTTAATGTCTTGGGGTGGTGGGACTACGGCGCACAGATATGTCAACTTTGTATATTTAAATGTTAATTGTACCTTTTTGTTGTGTGGCGCTGTTAATATAAGTTGTTAACTTGAGTGCAGCGCCACACTGTCCTTGTTATGTTTTTATGTTTTGATGAATAAAAAAAATACAGGAGACAGGTAACAACTGTCTGAAAAAACTTCTACTTCTACTACTACGCTACCTATTATGGGGTTCTACTTCTTCTTTGAAGGCAGTGGATAATATAACAGCAGCTAAGTTTATATTTCTACTACAGCAACAACAGCTCTGAATGCTTCATTCAGTAGTAAAATCTTCTGGTTCTTGTGTGAAAGAAATGCCATTATTTTTACTTGCTAGGATCCGGCCTAAAGGACCAAGTAGGAGTTGATGTCTTCCGTCGTTTCTTCAACCTCGCCTCGGGAACCTCCCTGTGTATTGTCATGGACGACACCGGGAGCATGAGTAACGACATCGCGGCTGCCAAATCTGTGTCGATAGAGATCATACAACGAGCTGTCGCTAACCCCTTCGACAAACCCTACAACTATGTCCTGGTCCCCTTCAACGACCCAAGTAAGGCTAATGCCCACATTTATTTGTGTTTAATTTGGTAGTAATGATAGTGCGATGCTATACTTTATTCCAACACGAAAGGGTTTGTCACCTTGTAATTAATAAGGGGCGGTATGACCACGACCAATACGGTCGACCGATGATGATGATGATTCCACCACAAGGGCACTCTCTGGCACGTTTGATCAATCGCTGACGTCACGTATCTATGAAGTCTCGTGTGAATAAGGTCACGTGTGTGTAACTCTCGCGGGTTCACGTTGTGAAGTGATTGGTCATTACTTATCCTGATGAAGGCGACGATGGTCGTTGAAAATTTAATCCTTGCGTACCCGTGGGTTGAAATAAAGTTTAGCACTGTACTATAATGCCCAAGATGTATGCAAAACATGGCTAGTTCGATATTGACTAATAAAATGTCTGTGTTCACTATAACGATTTTATATAATAATTATACAACATTTATAACCATGACGATTTGTTTTTAATTTTTGTTGCAGTGAGCGATGCCGGACCAATGACGATCACCAGGGACTCTACCGTGTACACTGCTGCCATCAACGCGCTGAACGCACACGGTGGAGGCGACTGTCCGGAACTGTCCATGACTGGTTTAGAACTCGCCCTTCAAAACACGTAAGAACTTTATTTGTCTAATGGCCGATGATTTTAGGTATATATTACTCAAATCAGAAAGTACCGGCAATATTGAGCGGACAGACATGGTACCAGTTATCTATCTTACAATCATTCTCCAAATTATATGCCCTTGACGCATTGTATTATGCATTGAAATCCTTGCCAGTGACCTTAAAAGATTGTCATTCGTAGTTAATAGAGATCTAATCTTCCCACTACATCAACACTATGTAGAATAAGAGGTATCTTAAATGCTGTTTGTCTTAAATATAATAGATATCATTAAGGGCGTAATTATGTTCTATGGAATATCAACAATATCTGACATTATCTTTGTCTGTATTGCAGCCTGCCTAAGTCAAAGATATATCTCTTCACTGATGCTGACCCTAAGGACAGCGATAAGATGCCAGACGTGCTTTCTTTACTTCGACAGAAAAAGAGCACGATCACATTCCTTCTCACTGGAAGTTGTTCTCGTAAACGCCGTGATCTACATGGTATGTGTGATTTTGGAGAAGATAACTTATAAACCTGGTGCAATGCTAAACTTTATTAAGGACGGGTATAGGATTTTCTTCTTACACAACCAGTAAGGTTCTCACCTGCTTACGTTTCGATGTCTATCAGACACCTTCCTCAGAGCTTCTGACTGGAGTTCTGCAACTCGCCGCTGAGGAAGGTGTCTGATAGACATCGAAACGTAAGCAGGTGAGAACCTTACTGGTTGTGTAAGAAGAAAATTCTATACCCTAAGTATCTTCCAATCTGATGAAATTATTTACGGAAATTTATTAAGGACATACAAGACTCAATATTCCAAGGACCACTGTCGCCTTTATCAGGATAAGTACTACTAATGACCAATCACTTCCGAACGTAAACCCGTGAGAGTTACGGACACATTATTCAGACAAGACTTTACGGATATGTTAGCAATTGGTCAAACGTGCAAGGTAGTTTATATCATAAACCTTATAAACTTATAAACATTATAAATTTGATTGCCACCAAGACCTTTATGATGCTTTAAACATACATTTTGTGACGTCGTTATCTAATTTTTTGGTGGGGTCTTGTGGCGTAGCGGCAGAGTGTGCGACTCGGAACCTAGAGGTCCCGGGTTCGAGTCCTGACATGCCACCGATCTTGTGCCCTTGGGAAAGGCACTTAACACGACTTTCCTCACTTAACTCAGGTGAAAATGAGTATTGTCCTGTAATGTATTTGTCCCGTGTTGGTGGCGGCATTAATATAAGTTGAAAAACTTGAGTGTGCCGTCACCACGTCTTGTGATTACATGTTGGAATAAAAAAAAATTGTTTGCTCGTGCCCATCTTTGTCGCAACTAAATTCTCTATTTCTGATTACAGGTCGTTTAAAAAGAGCAGTGAGTGGCAATCCGTATGACGTGATCGCGGAGGAATCCGGTGGGAAAGTGTTCGACATCACCAAAGACGAAGTGGCCGAAGTCTCCGAGGTCATCGCCCTAGAGGTCAACGGCGCTCCTGTCACGGTCATGATCAAGAGCGTCTCCGAGTCCGGACCACGTGACCACGAGATTGCCGTCGATGATACATTATTGGAGATGGTGATCACTCTGACCGGGTCAACTGCCACACCGGTGTTTCAGCTCTACACACCCAGAGGTACGTAGTAGTAAATGGTTTATTGATAAACAAGGAACAAATCGGCCTTGCAGCAATAGCTAAATTGTGCCAAAGTTGACAATCATCAAGTTCAGTAAAACCAATAAAAAGGATATATTATAATACATGTATAGTTTTTAATTTGTAAATATCAATTATCGTGTGTTCATTGTTGGTTTTTGATGTATTCATGATCATGTCTTTCACTGTAATTTCCACTGTTCACTGTTCTTTCACTGTAATTTCCATGTATATGATTATGTAATTTTAATGTTTGAGCATTGGAAAACTAGCCCTGTAGGGCTAAAAGTCTTCGAAATAAATAAAATAAATGAAATACAAAGTTCAATATTGTCGACGTCTTTAACAATAATTCAGATATAACGTGGTGGTTGGAGATCAGCACAATTAAAAAAAACAGCGTTATTGGAGTCCTTACAGGAAAGGCTGCCCTTGAACAGTTCATGACAGTTCAATTTTACAGTCCATTGAGGAGTTTAGCAAACATTGGCTTCGCACTCGTGGTGTATGAGGTCAGGGTCATTTGTGTAAGACCTTTGTCACACATTTGGCCTTTGGCCTCCCAAACACTAGCCGTGGGGTCGTGTGTCGTAGCGGCAGCGTTCTCGACTCGAAACCAGAGTCCCCGTGTTCGAGTCCTGACATGCCACCGATCTTGTGGCCTTGGGAAAGGCACTTTACACAACTTTCCTCACTTCGCTCAGGTGTAAATGAGTATTGTATTGTCCCCTGTATTGGTGGCGGCATTAATATAAGTTTAAAAAATTTGAGTGTGCCGTCACCACGTCTTGTGATTACATGTTTCGGAATATATAAAAAAAACACTAGCCGAACGCCCCCCCCCCCCATGGTTAGGAGTAGGTTGGTGCAAAGCCTGCTGGTCCGGCTGGTGGTGTGTGAATTCGGCTGTACCAGCCAAATGTTTGAAAATGTTTAAAACATTCGGGGGTTTGTTGGGATGACGATGGTGGGGTGCTATTCGGCTGTAAGTCAGCAAAATACCAGCCAAACATTCTAATGTAAGCCTGCAGTATCCGAGGCGTGTTTGGCAGTCAGTACGCTGTGACTCAAATTTAACTCACATTCGTTTCGATTCGTATAGAAAGGTAGGTGTGGCCGAACATGGTTGGCTGCTATTTGGGAAGAAATACGATGCACAAATTGTTTCCAAATACTTACGTTAAACAGTTTCTAAGCTTAACTTTGTCCAACCCATCAGGTGCGACCCAGGTGTTTGGTACAGCCGATGCCCAGGTGGTGATCGAGACTGACCGATACAAGGTGCTCAAGCTGACCTCTCCTGCAGCCGGAACATGGGTGCTCCGCCTAGCGGACAGTCAGGGGTACGACATAGAAGTGACGGGGAAGAGTGTGCTGGACTTCTCTACAGAGTTCCTAGACCCTGGTACTGGGTTTCTCATTGATGGGCGACCAGTTGCAGGTAAGTAGTTATGTTCTAATGTATACCAGAACTGGCCACAATAATTTACCAATAGGGGCAATATAAGTATCTAATATCTTCCTGCAACAAATTGTTCTGGCTTTCTGTTTTTGAAAAATAAAAAGAAAATTGGTTTTAATTGCTACTAAGTACTAGTTGGCTATCTACACTGCGCAATCATTGGTGCATCCTTTTTGCGCCTTTTGGCAGCGCCGGAGTCGCGTGGCAAAGGCCAAGTCCCTACCTATCAACGTTAAAGCTGACTAGATTGGTGGGGAAAATGTCATTTTATTACTAATTGTTTCTATGCACTTCAAAAATCCCCTGGACTTACCTAGCACCATCCTTCTCAGGCGTTGCACATGCTTTCAATGACTGCGCACTGAAGTTACCTGCCGTTCCACAACTATAGAGCTTATTCACCACACGTCATCATGACGTCACGACCCCTCATGTCCCGTGCGACGCCATTTTGGGGCTACAGCGCCTACAGCGAGTTTCCAAGCATTGAAATGGCCGACAAACGTTAGGTAAACTGTCCTTTGTCCTATTACACGAAGAGTTTACCACCACTCATACCTCTCGTTACTGGAACAAAATAAAATCTGTTGGGATTGACCCGTTTCTGTTGAGTTTTGATCAGTCTGATAGAAACGGCGTCTACCGCCAGCCGAGTCCATTGACGTGACTTAGCTTCGTATTTGGTACTGGGCAGAAGTTTTTACACACAGGATCGGTTCAAGAGTCTGGAAGCGTTGTATCAGGATGTGTAGAAAGTGTTGTGGGACAGTTGCGTGGTGACAATTAAGTACGTTGTAGTCGGGAAACGCAAAAAGTCGCGGCTATTTTGGAACAGCCCCGGAGTGTGTCTGGATAAACAACAAGCAAAGGCGAGGCCATCGGCCGCCATCCTCAGTCCGCACTGCCGCGACTGTGGCTGGACAAGGTGAGTGTTACACGTTGCCAGCACCCTGTTCTACATGGAGATTTACCACAGAGTAAAGGGACAAGTAGCTCCGAGTCCAACATTTTACCGTGTTCATGGCTACCCACGTTTCAATCTACATGTACATGTACAGCCCCGTACGCCGCGCCAGGATTAAACACGCCGATTTCTGATCAGCAAAGAAAGACTGAAAAGCCAATCTTGACAACATGAAAAGTGGACACGGAGCCAGAACAACCCAAAGGACAATGTTACTAACAAGAAGAGTGTCCAAAACGTAGATTGTGGCCCAAAATACACAACTATCGCCAAGAGTTTGCATAGCATTGCATAGCGATAGCCCCAAAATGGCGGACGCCAGGGGGAGAGTCACGTGACAATCTGTGGTGAATAAGCCCTATAGGCTAGAATACGTCATGGAGGATTCATCCAATGGTAGCGCAGTGTGGATAGATGACTGGTCTCTGATCAACTCTAGTATCTTCATCTTCCCTTTTCGCGCTAACCTCAAACGTTTGAGGGCTCCAGCACGGTGGGGGTAGGGGGTGTTGGATTGGGGTGGTCGCAAGTTTTGTATGTATATGTTGTGGTCTATATATGTTGTGATGTGATATGCAGCCCCTCAATGGGCAGGGGCGCCACTCCCTGTCCGCCACCAAAAGCAGGGTGGCGTTGAGTACTCGTAACTGTTTTCAAAAACTGCGTATAGTGTTTATGGCGATTTTAAAGTTCTATAGTGTCTTAATTTTGACAATGTTTTCCGGCAGCTTAATTGTTCCGGATTCCTTGACTGTTTGGGGGAAAAGGAGTTCAAACGGTAATCTGCTCGTGAAACTAGTGGGAAAAAAGCTAAACTGTTTTCGGTGCGAGAGGGAGCTAGTACTCCCTTGCTGTCTTGTGGCATATGCATAGTTACAATATTATAGTATACGTAACACTAGCTGATAAAAATACTACAAAAGGCAGAAGCTAACGTTGTGTTCTACTGAGATGTCCATTGCCTCTGCCCCAGGCTCGGAATACAGGCTGGTTGTAAGTGGAAGAGGCCTTGAGAATGTGGGCAACGTGACGTCAGCAACTCTTTTGGACCAATCCGGTGCCGTTCTCAGCCGGATCTATCTACACACAAGCAGCGGCAGGGGAGAGCCGGTTTACACGGCAACAATCCTGCCACCATCACAGGTTAGACTGATGTTTTTTTTTTTTTCAATCACTTGGCACTGGAGCTTTCCAAAAAGTCCCGCCTAAAAGTCCAGAAACGTGCCCTCAGAATCATTCTTGGAAATAAGTACACTTCCTATAAGGATACACTCTCTACTTTTAACCTCTACACTCTAAAAGCCATGAAGAAGGGAATCGTTGTGTCTTAAGTTTGCAAAATCTCTGTTGAATTCACCAACGTTTAGACCCTGGCTACCCCCACCCGCAATGAAGTACATAACAGGGACTTGAAAGGGGGGTTTCAGCTTAGCCTACCATCTGTAAAATCTGAAAGGTACAAAAACAGTGCTATTCCATACCTGTCTAAACTCTTAAACAGTGCTTACTCTACCGTATAATCACCCAACTACCAACTGTATATATTCTTGTTTTTTTAGTTTGGTTAAGTTTAATAATATATATATATTAATGATATTTTGTGTGTTCCCTAAAACTACGTTATTCAGCTTTTTGTACAATACTTTGTATTATTAGGCTGCAATGTTGTTTTAGTTTTAAGTCAATTTGCAAATAAACCATTTATATACTATCTCCGTCAAAACATAAAAATGAAACGAGTTTTAAGCAGACATGCAGCCATTCGTTTCTATCGTTGGTTGAAACTCTAGATTCCATCTTATCATTGGTTTAATTGATAATTGTGATGGACAGTCAGGAAACTTAAGGTTCATTGGTTGCGCATTTGAAAATCAAGGCTGCTTGTAGTAAACGCTATGCCGATGGAAAGACGGCCAAGCTACAGCGTGTTAAATTAGTGCAGATTCTGCATGCAAGCAGTGACAAGATGCATTAGATTTTAATAATAATGATTGTTTATTGATTTATCGATGAGTATAATCTCTAGCATGTGGCAGCGCAACTAAGTAAGCATTACAAATATTGCACAGCTAACAAATAGACAACTAAACAAGTGAGTATTTCACAGTTAACATATAGAGAACTAAATAAGTGAGTAAAATGAGCTTAACAATATTTACAATATCAACCAATAAGTTATCAATATCATCAGTGTAAAAAATAATAATTTTATAGTATGTTACATGATAACTGATCTTGATAGGGCTGGTCATGGGAGATTTACTATGTGCCATATTTGTTTATTAGGTTCGTAAGATAGGGGATCGGGCTATTTTAAATTGTTAGTAAGTTTTACCATATTTTGCTAGACACTTCAACAGCAATAACACTTTGAACAATATCAGTATGAGTAGCACGGCATAGAGTGCAACAGACCTCGACATTTAAAAGTTATCATATACCTTTCTGTGCCACAGCCCTTTCGGATTTCTGTGGAAGGAATCGACCAACGAAACAACACTTTCACGAGGCTCCTGACGACACTCATTGAATCTCAGAGTTTCCGGCTGGACCTTGCTGCAGGAAATAAAGGCGAGTGTCTAAATAATAGAATATGCAAACTCTCATGATATTTAAGAAAAATTTTGCAGTATACCAACAGTGCCAGTGGCACTCACCAAAACTTTTTCAGTTAAAGGCACCCAAAGCGATTTCAGGGGAGATTTTCAAAATTAATTTTCTTGACATTTTCAATGTAGTATTAGAAGGTGAATCAAGTTCATTTAACCTTATGCCATGGCATACAAATGATTGTGTGGCAAAAAAATGTCGCTGATGGAAAATGTTTTCTTATTTCATACCATAATCCATTAAACGCTATTTATTGGTGGTACTAAAATTTAGGCACTCCTCATGTACCTTGTTTTGGACTTTTCAAACACTTCAGATATGAGATGATGAGGAAAATGTGATAAGAAATGTTAATATCAGACAGATAACTCCATCCAGAATATTTTTATCAGTCGTCCTAATTATATATAACATTGCATCTCACCACACATCTTTATTCATGAACCAATACGGCAAAAAGCTTCCGCTTCAGTGCATTAACATGTAGTGTTTTGGAGTGACGATTGAAACTTTGGCTCATTTCCCCAAAACGCAAAAAAATAGGTAGATATATAAAGGACTGCTTTCTTTTTAGAAAAAATACCGAAACTATTGATAAGCCCACTCGATTGGAACACTTTATCAAAGACTGTGCTAGCCCTTATTGTTTAATTAATCAAGATATGTTAGGTATTATTCGACATTAGGTCTTATTCAACACATTTATTGCATTGTTTGTTACTCTCTTTATATAGTTCGCCATACATTTTACCTTGTACAATTGTCGTGCCATAAAGTTGTTCTTCTTCTTTCTTTTCACTTTAGATCCTCTTTACCCTGGTGGAAGCAGCCGAGTTGGATTCGTTCTTGTCAACGAGGGTGCAGAAGACACCTTCCAGCTGACAGTATCAGACGATGTGGGCTTGGTGACCGGCGTGTCTCCAACATCCGTTACCCTGGCAACAGGGACAAACGTCACAGGTTACGTCACGTTTTCTGCTGCCACGTCAGTTTCCCCTGGAACAGCCAGGTAAGATGAGCGTTTTCAACATGCAAGTCTAGATAAGGCCACACCAAGTAAATTTTATGGATGACGTCCTTTGGAGACCCTAAATCTAATGCGAGAGGGCGAATAAAAACAAGAAGGGCCCTAAAAAACAAGATGCCTAGATTAAAAATATACTAAGAGACGACAAATGTTAGACACAAATTGAATGAGGTTACACAGTGTAACAAGCAAGAAGTCTTTTATTCATCATCAAAACAGCAATAAATCAGGTGGAACAGTGGACAGTGAGACATTTTCTGTTATTGACAGGATGGTCCTGTCAATAGACACTTTCTTCGCGTTACGGGTTTCACGTCAATCTGGCGATTTGCGGCACTGTCGTGACTCTTTGGTCATAGTTATAGGAAGCGAAATTTCTTGGGTATTTTTTCTAGGAAGAGGCAAAAATCAATGCACGCGCGGACGTCATCCATAAAATTTTCTTGGTGTGGCCTAATGTTACCGAACAGATTTTTGGGTGGCTGCAGTACAGCAGTAACAAATTGTCAAGACTATATCGAGTTAGCCTAGCTGTATCCAATATGCCACCTATGGGCAATATGGTAACTCGGGTCCCCTGCCCCAAAAAATCTGCTTGGAAATTAACATATTTGTTTTAATTCCAACATTTATTCACAATACGTGGTGACGACACACTTAAGTTTGTTCAATTTATATTTATGCCGCAACCAACATAGAGGATAACACAATACTAGTACTCATTTCCACCTGAGTGAAATCAGGAAATTCCTGTAAAGTGCCTTTCCCGAGGGCACAAGATCGGTGGCATGGCATTGTTCGAACCCGGGACCTCTTGGTTCCGAGACAAACACTCTACCGTTACGCCACACGACACCACAGACCACAATATTTGATGATTTTCTGAATTTCAACAAGCAAACAAACATGATGTACTGTGGATGTGTATCTGCATTATTTAAAAAATATGTTGCGTAACAACTTATGACAAACTTTATCATCTTTCAGCACTGCAATTCTGACTGCTCAGGGCTCCTCGGGATCTTCGACCGCCCCTTCAAACTTCATCACCGTACCAATGACAGTTTCTGAACGGATCATTTTGGTAGGATTCGTTCAATAATTAGTCAATTTTAACATACCATTACATAATCTTCAATTCAATTGTGTGATGAAATACACAAGACAATATCCTGTAGATATGAAATTGATTAATATTGAAGGGTTAATAACCCGCACCGAGGTGAATATGGTGTGATAGAGCCAGTTGGTATTACCACCGAATAAAGCCACCGAGTGGGCGCAGTGAACGAGGCCATATGCGGGTGATTATTGATGTTTAATGTATGGATTGGGATGAATAATGACCCGGTTTTGACTCTGTCTATGACGTTACGGCGTCATAAGGAATGTGGAATTCCCCGAGCCTTCTGATCGGTCAACGTCACCCGGCTATATGATAATGTCTTTTAAAACCAACACATTTGTCACCATGGTAACAGGTGATTGACACATCGCCGCCGGTGTGCAGTATTACGTCAGTAGTTGGGAACTGTACGGCGGAGCTGCAGCATCCTGACGTATGTGCGGATCGGGCCTGGTCCGTACAGATGAGCGTCACAGACAGCGGCCTGGGGCTGAGGGAAGTGTGGGCTGATGTCAGTACAGGGCAGGTTCTGACGACCGACACGTTCGTCTCAGGGTTGAAGGACAGTGAAATATCGGCAAACTACAGGTGAATGTTTTGTTCAGTTTTACCTCGTGTTTGTGCATGTGTATGTTTACTCTCAAAGCAGAGGTTTGGGTTATTTTTAGCGTGTTTTTAGGCTTTTTTATTGGGATTTCTCTTTTGCACTGGATTTTTTTTGTTGGGTTTGGTGGGAAAAAAACCCAGTGCAAAAGAGAAACCCAAAAAAGGCCTAAAAACACGCTAAAAATAAGCCAAACCTCTGCTTGGAGAGTAATGTATGTTTATGTACATGTGTGTCTGTGTTAGTACGCGAGCGACAAGAAAGAGTTCAAGAGAAAGAATATATTTATTCATACTCCGACAAATCAGTTACTAGAAAAGAACAAAAATGGAGCTTTCGGGTGCTTAAAGGTAGGTATGCTCCGTTTTTATTCTATTCTATTTGCTAATTCACCAGTTCATTTGTTCAATCATATGAGTCCGACTGGCAAACCTTCATTGATGTGGCGTATGTATATGAGTGTGTTCATTTTTCACTCGAATTAGATCAGCTATTATTCAGTATAATACAAAATTGCTCTTTTTGCAATAGCTCAACCTGCTGTCACCCCACAATGACCGTGACCGTGGTGGACCTGGCTGGGTATGTGGACCAGTGTGTCGTAGATTTTTCCATACCGACTACCGAGGCCCCACCTACAACGCCACGTGTTCCGACCACGGCGGCCGTGACAACGCCGCAGGTTCCGACCACAGCAGCTGTGACACCGGCAATGTCTGTCACAGAGCATGCAGTTGCGATGGACGTCGGGATGACAGTTAGTGAGGTGGGGAATGTTTGGCTACCCTACTTTCTAGATGTTGTCGCGTTTATTATGTTTACCCAAGGAAAACATATTGTTTTTGCTCAGTTTCTTCCTCTTCCTCTCCAAACAGTGACCTTTGACCTGACCAATGACATGATTTGTTGACGTCTGTCAACATGGTGACTGGTGTTGGGTTACATAATGTTGCAATTTCATTGTTTGCTCTGCTCCTGTCACCATATACTAGTAGTACATGTATGTGAATGTGTTTTAGTAAGAATTAACAGGGCAGACCATATCCGAAGGTAAACATTATGCATTTGCTTTGCAAATGTTACTTCTCTAGTTCAGAAATTGCTCTTTACGAGTTTAGCTAGAACTGCTTCTATTGAATATACCTGTGTTGTATTGTCATGCTGAATATGTATGCCTGTGGTCCAATGTTCTAGCCAGTTCTGAATTTTTGTCATCGCCATCATCAATCTCCAATTTGTTTGACATAACGCATACTTGGAGTCCTGGACATGTCGACCGTCTGAAACGCTATTTCCTGCATTTGTGGGGCAAGCTTTGCTAAGTTCAATGACATAATTGTCAATATCTTTACACCCTGATTTTTGTATGTAAATTGTGATTTTTTGGCAATAATTCCAGAATAACTCCGTCAAACGACAGAAAGGCGGGGGCTGTCTAGAACACTGATGTGTTCCATCCTACATTTTGAGAGGATGCTTACATCATGCTGTTTTCTATGTTTCTCTAGTTTAACGATGAAGTGAAGATGGGATTTAAGGTCACCGTTGCGAGCAGCGTCACGTCTTACTGTCAAAGGCACGTCATGGAGTTCACGTCATGTCGTCAGGAAAATCACCGCCGCAAACGAGCGTATGTACTCCCTCTTGAATAACAAAGTTCTTTGATCACAACCATCTATTTTTACGAGCCGACGTTTCGATGACCGTCTGTCATCTTCATCAGGGCAATTCCGACTGGTTTTGATAATTTCTATTTGCGGAAATGCATTGTTAACAGTAACAAAACTAGTTTAATAAGTGCACTGTGAACTATATAACACCTTTAGTGCAATACGCACCAAGTAACATCTAGCATCAGTACACAGTAAACCAGTCAGAATTACCCTGATGAAGATGACAGACGGTCATCGAAACGTCGGACCGTGAAAAATAAATGGTTGTGATCAAAGAACTTTGCTATTCATTCGTTTACCGACCTGATAAAATTATTTACGGATGTATTCCCTCTTGTTTTTCAATTTTTCTAGTCTCTGTATCAGCTTCTTTCAAATTTGACTCTCAATCACAATAATATTCTAGGTTAAGATCTTAATCTACATAGTGTAATAATTTGCTAACATATAAAGAGCAAGCGAAGAAAAAAAAACTTCATTGTTATACTTTCTTAAAGGTTAGTATTTGTATTTTTGTACCATTAGAATCTACGATGCAGTGACGTTTGACTCAGACAACGTCGTCATCTTGGAGGGATACCCGACGTTGTCTGCTTCACCAGACCGAATTACCGTCGCGTTCTTCGTCTCCAATCCAAATTCCTCCGCCGAGGAGCACGTGCCAGTTCCCGGCAGCCTCCTCCTGATGGTGATGCGGCACGACCGGATGGAGATAGAGGAGGCGCTGGGCTGGAGGACGATCTACAGTATCTATACTTACGGTGATGACATACCTACCGGTGGGTATGGTTGCTCAACTAAGCAAATTATACATAGAACTTATAGCATTACTGTAGACGTTAGAGTACTAGATATTAATAGCTAGATATGAAGTACTTCTGAAGGGCTTGCCATACATTGTGCCTGATACAGTTGTTGTGCAATAAAGTTTGACTTGACTATGTAGGTTACTAGAAAGGCCGACATTTGCTCTCGAGCGCATTCAGCATATTTCACCTCTTATCCGTTTTCATGCGAAAAAAAAAATACTCCAGACTTATCCTATGTACAAGAGAAAAATTAAAAAGAAAATTAGATTATTGCCAAATCATCCCAATCTGAAACAAAGCCTTCCTTGACCAAAAGTGACCACATATAAATGCAACGGACCAGCAAAAAACGCCACCCGAAATTACTTTTTTCATATACACAAAATAAAAATATTAAACACTACCCCCTATTCTTAATTAAATTAAGTAGGCGAGGTTTTTTTCAGCAGGATACCTTCGACCCAGTGATGACGTCACATGCATCTTGGCAAGTCTTACTGGGTCATTGAAGAAGACCAGAGATGATGGTCAAAAGTTATAGTTGAGAACAATGTTGGAACAAATGTTTTAACTTTGAACATGAAACTTTCACTAAATTTAATCTCTGTTGGTTGTTACATGATTAAAGTTAAAACCTTTGTTTTAACACAAAAATGTGAATGTTTTGACCTAGAGATTTCGTCTGGTCTTCCTCAGTAGACTGACCCAGTGTCACGTGGCTTCACTTAAGCTTGGCGTCAACACTGGATCAAAGGTATCTGGTCAACATTTTTTCTTACAGTTACATCAGCAGGACTGGAGTCTACAAAGGTGACGGAAGGGTTGGACAAACAAAATGACGGTCCTGCCAGCTACGTGTTACATATAGTGATCGGTGTGGTCGTCGCCGTGGTGGCAATAGTCGTGATCATCGTTCTGGTAGTAACGTTACGGTACGTCTAGTGTGTTGTTATATCGTCCTTGTGCTTTATTCATACTCCGACAAATCAGTTACTAGGAAAGAGTAGGTATACTCCGTTTGTATTCTATTCTATTTGCAAATTCACCAGTTCATTTGTTCACTAAGTTCATTCATCTACATATTGACTGGGAAATTCACGTATGCCCGTAACAAACTAGTCCAGTCACATGACGTTTGTTGACCTTTAACCTCACAATCACGTGACTAGATTCGTTAGCACTTGGAAAAAGATGGCGGATGTCATATGCATGCTTCAGAAGTGTGTTTGAAATTTTTTAGTCATGCGAATTGTTTTAGTTCCCTTCGTTTTAATACTCGCAGTGGTCGCGTTTGGCCTTCGAAATCGTAATTCACATAATACTTTATCGCAGGCCATGAATGTCTCTGCCTCGGATTTTCCTTTTACCAATCGCTACTGCTTTTTGCTGTGTCAATATATTGTTTTTGCTCAGTTTCTTCCTCTTCCTCTTTTTCTTCTTCTTCTCCAAACATCATGTTGCATACATCATGTTGCAATTTTATAGCAGGAGGGATTTAGACTCCTGTCACCGTAATATGAATGTGTTTGAGAAAGAATTAAAAGAGCATACCATATGCGAAGGTAAACATTATGCATTTGCCTTGCAAATAATACCTTTCTAGTTCTTTTTTTTGTGTGAGAATACCCACGAACAGGAACTCTAAGACTTGTTTACAATTGTTTCCGGGTTTCCTTGTTTCGACAGGGGAGTAAGACAACCAAGCGTGATCAAGCCAAACTTTGAAGACGACTGGAAAGTCAACGTGGACCCGTCAACGACTGGTCACGTGAACAGGGCGTTAAAATCCGCGGATGAGCGAATGTCGTGGTCAGCGGAGACCCAAGAAATCCCAATGACAGAGACGGATAGCCCAACAAATTGGTAGAGATGGAATCATACCAAAATGTTTTTCTCATTTTTATTGTACAAAAATTTAGCCGTGAGTGGGGATACTATGCTGTGTACAAGAATCTCTTGGCTTTTTTTAGCCTGGGACGGGTGGCGGTTACTCATAAACTACTTATTGTATAACAGGCAAGAGGATGATGAACAAGTAAAATTAAATTACAACAACTTTGATATCCTTATGGCAATATTTCAAACATACATAAATATCTTAACTGGTTTTCAAAGTAACATTATCATATAATGTCGAAAACCCTGATGATTGAACCAGAATCACATAATCTAAACAGTGAATGAATTAAAGATCTTTATTATACTTTTATGCTTTTGCAGGCTAAGTACAGATAATGAATAAAGCAAAAGTATTCAACGACATCTTGCAAAAATTCATACAAATTAATGTAAACTTTTGTGTACATGTTTAACTTTACGCTTATAAAGCTTATAGATGTATAAACATATGGAGCTTTCAATATATGATTCGTCTAGTTGTTCTATCTTAATGTCACGATCTGGGAAACTTGCATTGTATTGAAATTATAGATGGTATTTTATATCTATTCTTCTAATTATGGCTTCACCACACTACGAAGTCGGCCTTTCTATTTGTAATTGTATTTCTATAGTCTTCTAATTGTAATACCGTTATAGATGGCATTTCATTTCTATCTACGCTGTAATGAACAGGGAACAACAAATTGACACTCGTTCTTAGTCTTATCAAGTTCACATATTGGCAAAGTCTTTGCTGCAGATGAATGTCTGCCCTTTTATATGCAAATTTGTGTGTGCTTATTTACTAGTATCCGATTTAAGGCCACAGCAAGTAATATTATGGATGTCATCAGCGCGCTCATTAATTTTCTCCTGATTTAAAAAAAAATTGTTTTGCCCTCTGGTCAACATGCCGAAAATGGGCAAATATTTTGTAAATGCCTATCAATTCAGAGACAATCAGGGATCCAGCAAACTTGAGGCACAATGGTTCGCATTTGATCGCGAATGTTGACACTGACGTTCCATCGCATTCAGTCCAACCCAGTATTGTAGCTGCCCATGATGGTACGCGTAGTCGTTTTGCTAGAATATCTAGGGGTCTTGAAATCTACAAGAATACTAGTAGTAGGTAATACTGTTGAATACAAGAATAAAAGATCTGTTTGGTTTTGTCACCTCAACTCTTGTTTAACAAGACTCATGACCTCAAAATTTGAAAATGAAAGAAACTTGCCCTATCGCATTAGATTTGGAGTCCGCGGAGAATGTCATACATAGAATTTACTTGCTGTGGCCTAGGCCTAAGGGGCAAATACGGCATGGGAAACATGGAAACATGCAGCCGCAATATTGCCAATAAAGCCTACAAGTACAAAATCTCCTGAATCTGTTTCTTAGTGATGCAGTAACTTCTACAAATGCATAGTTCGGCATGTTGATGATTAAAACATCCAGTCCAGAATAATATCCTAGAATGAAAAGTTACTCAACATGTAGAAACAAACAAATAAAAGTTCTTTCCCTGCCAATTCATTCATTATTTGTAATTGTCATTATATTGTGACCTACGAAAACATGCCACATAGATCAATAAATACAGAAATATAAAATCATAGCCGACACTTTTATACCAAGATGCACAGAAGCTCCAAAGTACTACACGATGCTTTCATCCTAACGGCTAGCGCTGAATTCAGGAAATCTCTCGATTACGCTATACCGTTTACCATAAATTCCAAGTGGCTACAACGCATTACTGCGTAGAATTAAAACGACAAATATGCTCTACGTAGAATTACACTCTAGGGAACGGCAAATATGATCTAGGCACCAGGTACGGGACCTTACAAGTGTCTTCAGTCAGTCTTACATGCCTAGGCACCAGGTACGGGACCTTACAAGTGTCTTCAGTCAGTCTTACATGCCTAGGCACCAGGTACCGGACCTAAACACTTTAGATGGCAGATCGTTAGCTGTTGCCTGAGATAAACAACATTTCCGACACCCACCAACGAGGAGGTCATCTGCCAAGGGTGTCATCCCCCATCCCCCTAAAGAAAGAAAGTGTTTTTGGTCCCCACAATACCGAAATTGTTGCTTACATCAACCACTAACTATGCTGATGCATAAGGCAGTAACATGGAACATTAAGTTGGGCCCCCTCACCGACTAGGGAGTGTAACCCTAGTCAAGCCCAGTCACTGAGGTTCCACCCTCTGAACTTAACACAAAAAGAACAGAAAAAAATTGAGGGTCATGTAGTTAATGTTCCATGCTGCTGTCATATGCACATGTAGGGCATAGAGAGTGGCTGTGCCCCGTTCTCGTGATGCCCAAAAAAGTTGCCTGACTGTTGTTAGTGAACATGTCAGGAACAGTAGAAACAGAGAAAACTTTAATTTGATTTATACTTCAACTGCCAAGCAAACATTTAAGGGCAACATTGACTCATACAAATCGGGCAAACTAGTTATCCCCCAAAAAAAGAAAAGAAGTCAAGGTGTGTTTAGAGTCTCCGACCATCTTGCAGGTTCAGTCCTGGCGACATGTAGGACAGATGTACTGGTCCTGTGACACAATGTCTGCCACGTCCCTGGCACTGATCTTCACACAGCGGTAATGGTACCACTGTTCGCAGCGGTCGCACTGGATCATCTGAGAGTTGTCCTTGTACTGGCGGCAGGTACAGAATATTGACAGCTGGTGGAAGGTGGTCCGCTGGTGGGATGTGGCTGTGTTGGTGTGAGGGAACACAAAGCCAGGCTTTGGTCATGTGGGATCTGTCCTCTCACTTCTTCCAGTTTCTGTGTCATTTGGTTTTTCAGCTCTTCCATGTAGTCCTCATCTTGTAGGTGAAATGTGCAGTCGATGAGCTGTCTGAAGACACTAACACACTCATCTCTCAGCTTAAGCTTATTTGACCTCTTTCCCTCAGGCGGATCACATGATGAGGGCACATCTACATCCATCAGTATGGTAGAGTCGGAACAGTTATCCTCGCTAACGTTGTGCTCAGTCAGTTCCTCAACTGACGGGTCAATGCCTTCACGGAGCTCAGCTACCTGTACGGTAAAAACATCCAAGATAAAAATGTACATTTCTCAATCTTCCTGTCTACATTTTGCACACATGGATTCCCCCTCTCCCTTTAGATGTTATCATGGATTTTTTGTGTTTTCAATGATCCAATTGAAGAAAAAAAGGCAAATTGTGTAAGGGTGGGTTTGGTACATGTATTCGGATTGTACGTGTATTTCTCTTTGTGAAAAAAAAAGCATTTGCAAAATTACCGGTCCAATGACTGAATGGTTTCTGTGTTCTTCCAAAGAAGGAAACGTTGTGTGGAATTGGACCAGTGATTCCACGGTGCCAGGGTCTGCTGCTATTGCGACCTTTAGTGCTTTTGAGGCATCCCTCCGCTTGCTTTTGGTGTTGCCTGTAATCTGGGGATGGAAAAGAGACATCAGCATATTAGCAGTCAGGTAAAAACATTTTTCTGTCCTGCATCACCAAAATGCTAGCAGTCATGGTTCAAAGCAAAAGTCCTTTTACACTTGAGAGTGCTTTACCTTGAACCCAGGGAATTTCAGCACCTGAGTTACCCGTAGTTGGACGGGACAATCTCTCTTCTTACTGGGTTGGAGGACTTTCCTCCTCTTGATGAAGACATGGTCTTCAAGCTAGTAAGAGAAAAGTGATATTTTATTTTCATATATTGTATCTTTATAGTCATACTAACCAGTTACATGAGACTGTTTTTTCTCTGTTGTTATTGTTGTGTTGTCTGTTATTCTGTCTGTGACTCAATCAACCCTGGCATTCTGACAACCATCTATCTCCCAAAAGAATAAATGGTATGTTAAAAAAACTTCCGACAACTTAAGGTCTGAGACCAAAGTTTTTTTTATGACTGAGAGAACAGATTGGCCATCATTCAAACATGAACAACAACATGGGCAATTTCGAGTAAAATTGGTGAGATGGGTAAGTTTATTTTGACTAGGGACCAGGTGTGGTACCTTACAGGTGAGATGGGTGAGTTTACTTTGACCCTGTCTATACGGAACCACCCAAGGCGGTTTACATGTGGTTTACCCCGAAGCCGGTTTCAAGTGGCTCCGTCTGAACGGTCCGAAATCACATTGAAAGCGCCTTCGTCTGGAGCCACTTCTAGAGGTGGTTTCGAATCGGTTTCCCCGCATCGCGATTTGCGTCTGAACGCAATGTGATTTCAATGTGACTTCGCCTGGTCATGGATTACGGAGTGATATTTCTTTTTTTATATGCAATACCAACTTTTACGTGGCAGCAACTTAAAGAGCAGTAATGTTCAAATAATGTGTCCGTTCTAGGTCAAGCTTCACCGCCTCTGGCGGGACCACGTCGGCATTCGGCCGAGATACGCTGGGAGGGGGGCATCAGCAAGCAGGTCGTTGACCTCTGACATTTATAACACGCCGCCTTGCGTGTTATCATCAAACAGCAATAAATGTAGCTCAAGCGCATTATGTTCGGACACGGTTTCGCAGGTGTGTGTGGCACGTGGACCAGATGTGAGGAATGTGAGTTACCCGAATCGCGCCTTGGGTGGTTCCGTATAGACACGACCTTTGACTAGGGACCAGGTGTGGTACCTTACAGGTGAGATGGGTAAGTTTACTTGCACTAGGAACCAGGTGTGGTACCTTACAGGTGAGATGGGTAAGTTTACTTGGACTAGGGACCAGGTGTGGCACCTTACAGGTGAGATGGGTAAGACAGTTTACTTGGACTAGGGACTTGGACTAGGGACCAGGTGTGGTACCTTACAGGTGAGATAGGTAAGTTTACATGGACTAGGGACCAGGTGTGGTACCTTACAGGTGAGATAGGTAAGTTTACTTGCACTAGGGACCAGGTGTGGTACCTTACAGGTGAGATAGGTAAGTTTACTTGCACTAGGGACCAGGTGTGGTACCTTACAGGTGAGATAGGTGAGTTTACTTTGACTAGGGACCAGGTGTGGTACCTTACAGGTGAGATAGGTGAGTTTACTTTGACTAGGGACCAGGTATGGTACCTTACAGGTGAGATAGGTAAGTTTACTTGCACTAGGGACACACCAATTTAATTTGTTGGTTCTCGGATTTTTTCAGAAAAAGATGAAGCGACGGGGCGAAAAAAATAAAAATAAAAACAGGTCTAGGCATCCTATTATAGGCTTAAATGCTATGAAATGAGCCATGAAGTCAACACAAAAGGCTGGGTTAAAATTTAAACATTGAATTTTGAACTTTTAATCAAACCACTGCAATAATAGGTGGGAAAACTGTAACAACTAGGAAGAAAAGGACTTTCCTCAATTGTTTGGGGCAAAATCTGAGCATTTTTCAGTTGATTCAGGACCAGAATCATTTTTTTTTTTTTTTTTTGCAAATCAGAAAAAAACGAAGAGGCGAATCCGAGAACCAACAAATTAAATTGGTGTGGCCTAGGGACCAGGTTTACTTGGACGGTGGTGGTATTTAGGCGCATCCCGGCATAGACGAATTATTTGAAATGTTCACTGACAATTCACATTAGATTATTGCCAAAGTTTCTTTAGCATTTATGCCCAGTTTACCTGAATGCCGTCTTTACTGTACTCTGCAAAAACATTGTATACAAAATTTGGGTTATGGGGGAAAAAGGACAGGTGGATATTGAGAAGGGTAGGCCACTGTCACCTCTTACCTCCTGTTTGTCTTTTTGTGCCCGATAGCGCTCCTTCTTACGGACATCCCTATCCGGTCCTTGATGGCAGTCGTATGTTTTTGTTGCGACGAGTTGAAATGGAATGCCATCGTACTGCACCCCTTTCAGCTCCCAATATGTCTGCTTGTGCTGAGAAGGTTGCACATCTGTAGTAAACACAATCAATCAGTCAATGATTTTATGAATCAGTCAATGATCTTTAATGAAAAACAATTAAAAAATGATTTACTTTCCAGATTAAGTCAGTGACTGACATGGATGATGGATGGAAATACATGTGGAAGAAAGTGTGCCTCATCAAACCAGTTCAGCTGCCTCCAGAACTTGTCCTGGTCATAACAAGAGGGACAGAACATTCTATAGGGAATCGGATAGATCGATATGAGGAAATTCTCTTGGTCCTTTGCACAAATCGAATAAAATATTGAACTGTGGACTATACCAACAATATACCAGGTAAAGGGAACAGGTCATCTGGTGATCACCATATAGGTGATATACACGTCATGTATGTAAGGCTATTACTTTACAGACCAGGAGAGCATACTGTAATGTTGGAACTGGTAACATTTATGCTGTACATTTGCCTGTTGTTATACTAGTATTTCACTTCTTTATACTGGTGTGTTACTTCTTGTCCCACATGAAAGAGGAAGAGATGTCAATAATTGATTACAAGATGCACAGTGTATCATAAAATTAGTTATTACTACTAATATTAGCTGTTGTGCATTTAAAGACGAAGTTCATCATCATGTTTACTGACAATTCCCTGTTTAGGCCATGTTGATTTGATTATATGGATGACATCCTCCTGGAGCCCCAAAACTGATCATCATGCGCGCGTGCGAATAAAAAAAAGTTTTGCAAAAAAAAAAGTTGTTTTCATTATGAAATCTACGTGGTCATGTCAGGGTTGAACAAATGGAACAGAATATGGTTTGGCGAATAATCTAATCTTCAAGTTCATTTCCTTACAATTTCGTCTTTTTTCGTTTGATTTTGGCATTCTACGACATTGGTATAGTTTTTACTTATTTTTTTGTAACTTACGGTATATTTTTGCTCATTTTGCAACTGTTTTGTACGATTTACAGTATGGTTGAAAACTTTTTTTTTTAAACAGCCGAAAATTCATGCGCGCGTGTTATAGACACACAGAAAATATTCCAATGTCAAAGAAAAATATGTGAAAAATTAAGGATTTATTCTTTGGTGTACATCTATTTCACAAGTTATTATAATATTACACAGTTTAGTATGCAATTATCATATTTTGGGTAAATGCTAGGCTTGAGAGAATCAGCTGACTTTGGAATGTGGATTGTTCAGTTAAACAGTAAATGCAGTATTTAAGAAAATGCTTGGTGGTCCTTTTTTCATCTTCCATTATTTTGTTAGACCAAGGACATTGTAAATTGTATAATGTCCTTGGTTAGACCAAGGCGTTTTTTTTTAACTCCATGGTTAGACCTGCCTCATGCTCGCCTGTTTCCAATTAGTTATGGTCTGATCAAAATATATATAGACTGGTTTATTGCAAACAACACATACTAATACATAGTACATGTAGTACAGTAGGTTAGAAGCTCTTTTGCAGCCAAAAGGCTGAATTGAACAGCTTTTACAATTGCAAACATATAACATTACATGTTTTAAAAATGTGTAACAGTGGGGGGTTTATAGGCGCTACCAACAGATCCGGCAAACAGGTCTAGACCTTTTCGGCCGAGCGGTTAGAGTGTCTGACTGGGGCCCGGGACCAGTGGGTTTTTACTGTCTCCTCTTGTTTCTTACAAATGTAAAGCACGGCATATATATAGCTTGTGCATAAACATCACTGTTCTTGCGCAGAACTAGTGCACATTTTATGTTAAAATTACAACTACTAGAAGAAGACGAAAAAGACAAGTAAACATTCTTTTTCACCTTTCCTAAAGGGAATAACTTGAAGCACATTGTATTTAAACACAACACTTTTGTCTCAAACATTGTTTTAAACACAACACTTTTGTCTCAAACATTGTTTTAAACACAACACTTTCGTCTCAAACATTGTTTTAAACACACCACTTTCGTCTCAAACATTGTTTTAAACACACCACTTTCGTCTCAAACATTGTTTTAAACACAACACTTTCGTCTCAGACATTGTTTTAAACACAACACTTTCGTCTCAAACATTGTTTTAAACACAACACTTTCGTCTCAAACATAATTTGTTTTAAACACAACACTTTCGTCTCAAACATTGTTTTAAACACAACACTTTAGTCTCAAACACCCGCACGCACTGACTATTTCGCTTTTGTATGCCCCGAGCAGCTATATGACAACGCTAGTCATGCAGTTTTGGATTTCGCGCGAAAAGTTGATAGAAAGTGTTTGAAAGAAACCCTCACTCATTTCCCCGAAATCCTTCTCTTTGCGGTTGACAACAAACTTGGACGTGGTCTCCGCTTCTTCTCTGGACAACTTTTCCTCAAAACTGTCCACATGTGGAAAGATATGGTAACTTTCAGCATTCGCGGCCAAAGTTGTCGTCTGCTGAGGCAGAGCTGAGGAACGGAGCGGAGATAAAGCGTTCACGGCTAGTTTCGACGCCATGTTAAGGCCGCACAACACAGTATACAAATGTATATGGGCGAACCCCGTCAAAAGTAGTACGGGTACAAAGTAAGTGCTGCACAATACTAGAGAAGGGTGCAGAGATTGTTCTGTGCATGGCATCGTGATGGGATCTGTGGTAAATGTTAGAGGAATACGTCAGTTTTGAGACTGTAAAAGTTGAATTATGGTGCGTGGTCAGTCGGCGTAGATTTGCGCTTTAATACTTGTACCGACTAGTACTGTGCGTTGGCTGCAGTTCCGTGACCTCCGCAGTGGCGCTAATAAAAGAGGGCGTGAGAACACAACATATTGTGTACCCCGTACCCTGAAATTAAACATATCAAAATTCTGAACCTTGCTTGTGCACCCTACTATAATTTTTAGTGAGTCGAAATGAGTCACTTTGGGGTCCTTAACTATTAGAAATCCCCATAGGGCTAATACTGTGTTGTGCCGCCTTGAAATCTATCCCAGAACCGGAAACTGAATGCTTCGCTTCAATACCTCCCGTCAGCCCTTGCGCGGGTCAGAGGTGACTTCCGGTACCAGTTCACAGTTGCTATAGAAGCTGTTGTAAACAAGGTGGACTGAATTGAAGTTGAGCCCTAAAGTTGTCGGTGTAATTCCCAGTCCACGCCAGTCTGTCAACCATGGTAAGTTTTCTTTCATTGTAACGAGTGTTATTTTGATTTGATAGAGGGCTTTTGGGGGGTGTTCTTGACTTATTACACAGGCATACGACTTTGCTTGTGGAAGGACTGGGAGTCAAGTCATTCGACTGAAGATAGAAAACTAACGTTTATATATGGTTCGTCAACACACCCTTGCCTGCAAAGCTGGTGAATTTACGCCAAAGGGTGGTTACCGCTATGTACAGAAATGAATTTACTTTATTTAGAGGTGTAGAATCTGGCCAGGTGGTAATTATCTACTAGTAATGGTCAGTATACGTAAATTTGAAATAACGGGTGGGTGGGGAGGGGAGGTGTCCTAACTAAGCCCAATACCTAGTCCACATGTAATATACTAATATACATGCCGTTTGTTGCTGTATGTTTGTCCCTTATATTTTGTGACAACCATTCATCCACGAGTATTATAAAAGAAATCATAAAATTATACTATATCACTGCTTAAGTCTCCCAACCCATTCATTTTTGAAAGAGTCAAACAAGTCAATACCCACTGCCTCTAGAAAAGTAAAACCAACTTATGGCTTGTCTATAATAGCATAGTATGTACATGTATCATATGTTACCATGTTTCTCTTACTCTACTCTCTCGTCTGTCATGTATACGTACGTTATAGAGATAGAAATTTAGATTAATAGGACGTAGAACTTCATTTGGTTTTATGCCATTCCTCATGTCTGTCAATGTCTGTTTGCAATTAGCCTTCAGGCAAGAACTTGTAAATAAAGCTATCTAACTAATTACTGTATAAAAACTGTGATATCTTCTAACGGTAGTGTTTCACACTGTAGTTTGACAGCACACAACAGTCATGTCATGTGTTTTTTTTTCTCCCCTGCAGTCTACCGCCCAGGACGACCGTTACTCCTTCATTGCAGAGTGGTACGACCCGAATGCTGCTCTGATGAGGAGGTACCAGTTTCTCTACTACCCCAAGGACAACTCCATTGAAATGGTGAGACCAAATAAATTTATGAATAAAAAAAAAAAATATGCCATGTAATGACAAAAATGTTTTGTAATGTCACTCCGGGCATGTTTTGACGTGTTGTTTTCTGATTGTCAGCCTTTTTGACATCCAGAGTTATTATTTTTTCTATTTTACAGAGGGTGATGCAGTTTATACTGTGTTGTATTTATGTTGTCATACCCACCTGAAAAAACATAATTTCAATGCGATGGGAAATGTGCCAAAATCTCGTGTCTCTAAACAAATTATAACAACATCCATTCCAACATCCGAGTTCGGTGTTAGAATTTTTGAGAGCAGCCCATAGGAAATCTGTTCTAAAAAATGTGAATTATTCTACGTATACTATATCCTATATATATGGAAGCCTGTGTGATATCACAAGGGCCGGAACACCCCCATCGAACCTTGTTGTGGCATGTGTAATATGACAATCATAGTACATGTGATGATGATGATTAATATTTGCTTCCATTACAGTTTGACATCAAGAACCATCGTACCTTCCTGAAGCGTACTAAATATGAGGGAGTTAAGCAGGAAGACTTGTACATCGGCAGCACAGTGGAGGTCTTCTCTCGACAACTGCACTTTGTGGACTACGGAGACAACTTTACTGCCAAGAGCCTCGGTGACAAAAAGGAGAAGTAAGTACTTAGGCCACATTAGGCCACATTTTCAAGAAAAATAATGAAGTGGGCGGGCGAAAAATAAAAATAAAAACAAGCCTAGGCATCCTATTATGACCCAAAATGGTACGATAGGAGCCATGAAGTCAACACACCAGGCTGGTTCAAAATTTAAACAATGAATTTTGAACTTTTAATGAAACCACTGAATTGAAAGATGGAATAACTGTAACAACTAGGAAGAAAAGGACTGTTTTCAACTGTTCAGGGCAAAATATGAGCATTTTGCAGTTGATTCCAGAATCTTTTTTGGACTTTTTTTTTTGCAAATCAGAAAAAAATGAAGTGGGCAAATCCGTTAACCAAGAAATTAAATTGGTGTGGCCTTATAAACATTTAATGTGAAATGCTGTCATGTTTGTCAAGGCTTGAAACAACTTTTTAGAATCCCTTACATGGGGTCTGAACTTTGAAGCCTTTTTTTCTGAGGTTGCCCACTTTGCCCCATTTTGCAAAAAACTTGGTTGCACAACAATATTTTAGTTTGCTGTTGAAACTTGTTGTTTATTCTAGAAAGGTAAGCTGTAAATGTAAGCCAGTCCACACTGTAAAGGTATCGCTCACATGCTGGCTGGTTTCTCCATGATTTCTTATTAGTTATCAGTAATTAACATGATTGAAAATAACGTGGTCCCCATGGGCAGGTATTGGGCCTTGAGCGGACCCAACTCAGGGCAGCCGCGGCCCCATTGGCCAGGTGGTCACCTTGGACATGTAAGCTTAATGCTAATGTTGGGAATGAGGAACATTTTTTTCGGACTGGGAAAAAGCAGCCACCTTGGCCAGGTGGCCAGTTTAAACTGTATTTTGGTCCCTTCAATGTAAAATGCTAATTGTGGTTATGATCTATGATTTCTATACAGTCATGCATACTATTATAGTATATATGTTCAGGATGCAAAAGACCTTAAGCTGTTTCTGCAAATTCTGAAGAGTGTTCATTTCTTTACTCCAGGACCCTGGCTATGATCAAGCCTGATGCAGTGGATAAGATGGGCCTGATTCTGGACATGATCAATCAGAAAGGATTACTGGTGACCAAGGCCAAGATGGTGTTGTTGTCAAGGTAGGTTATTGACACAGGTTTTTATATCGTTCATAGTTATGTGTTGCCTCTAGGACTCGTTACACACCATTGATATAATTTATTTATATTTATTGGTTTATTAATGTATCAACAACAACTTATCTCACAGCCTTGAATGCAGGGCTGAATTCCGATGGTTGTTTACAACTTAAACCATTAATTAATAGTAGGGTAATATACAAATTACAATCATGTCGGAATCTACAGATTGGCCTTGTAATTTATGATAATGAGGACCTTATTCGCATAATCAACGGAACATTATTTGACAGTCGTAAAAATAAACATCATTCGTTGAAGGCATAAGGTTCTGCTTGTTACTGTTAACTTTTTTAATGTTTGAAAACATTTTTTTTCTTTACAGGGCAGAAGCTGCACAGTTCTACATAGAACATCAATCCAAGCCCTTTTTCAAGTAAGTGCTGTTAGGTTAGAATTAAGATTTATCTCGTTTGTCTAACCAGAATTGTTCAATGCTTTGCTAAATGTTTAGAACTACATGTGTATTGAACGTTGGGAGGTTTACAGTTCTCTATAATCATGCTATAATGTGTTAGCTAATGTATTTTTTTCCATCTTTTTTTTAAATTAATGATGTCAAAATGATATCAGGATTGTAGTCTTACACTAAAAAGTCCTTTTAATGGTATACATTTTAATTGCTAATACTAATTTATAAGTAGAACTAGAGATTAACATTTGCAAAGCAAATGCATAATGTTTACCTTCGGACATGGTCTGCACTGTTAACACATTCACATACATGTACTACTAGTATATGGTGACAGGAGCAGAGCAGACCATGATTTGTAACCCAACACCAGTCACCATCGTGACAGACGTCAACAAATCATGTCATTGGTCAGGTCAGAGGGTCACTGTTTGGAGAAGAGGAAGAGGAAGAAACTGAGCAAAAACAATATGTTTTCCTTCGGTAAACATGAATAGTAGTAACTGTTCTAGAAAGCTTTTGAACTGAAAGTCTGTCATGTTTAGTGGTCTCCTGGATTACGTGACTGCCGGACCTGTAGTTGCCATGGAGCTGATGGGAAGTAACGCTATCCAAGCATGGAGAGATCTGATTGGTCCAACCAATCCAAGTGACGCTCGTAGTCAGAATGCACAAAGTCTGAGGGCCAAGTATGGTACAGGTGAGAGAACAATTATAATACACTTTACTTTCAAATGATGATCTAAGGTGCTTAGATGAACTGGCCGAAAGCCCCTGTCACAGATTTATTAGCAAGCTAAATATCTCGGCTGGCTGGTTTTCAGAGTACATTTAGGTCAGCAGTGTTCGGGTGTCAAATTTGACTCAAGTTTAACAGAAATTTTGATTCGTATAGTAAGGTAGGTGTACGAATTTGTCTCCATTCTCTTTGTAATTACATGTAACGATATGATTAGTCAATACTGCAGCTGTGACAATAGCACAAAAAATTTTTCCCATGGTATTGTTCTAGTTCCATTGTTTTTTTATAATGATTATCATGATTGTAATACATGATGACTTTTTTCAAGATAACACCAGAAATGCAGCACATGGATCAGACTCTAAAGAATCTGCCATGAGAGTAAGTACCATCATGGTATTTGTTTTGTTTTGTAGCATTCAGTTATTTATACTTTCTATCTGACCTGAGCTGAACACATGACATTGTACATTTATCCATTTTGTTTTCATGTTCACAGTAGCCCATGGGACTTATTTATAAAACAAAAAATAAGAAGGCTCTTTAATTTATGAAAGGGCTCTAAGTAACCTCGTTAAAGTTTGTGATCACTTACTAGGTAATAAAAAACTTATTATCATGTAATATGTAGTAAGTACATGACATTATTCCTTTCCTTTGCTGATCTACAGTGTATTCCTTTTGTAATGAACTTACAGCATGTTTGATGTGCCAAGAGAAATTCTGTAGAAGTCAGTTTCGTCCTAAATGAGTGGAATGTTCCCTCTTCATTCCAACAGGAGGCTGAGTTTTTCTTCCCCTCTACTGGTCCAGCCCGAGCCAACACAGCTCAGTTCACCAACTGTACCTGCTGTGTCATCAAGCCTCATGCTGTCCTGGCTGGTATGTTATATTGCTCATATAAGACCTAGGAAAAGAAATGTTGTGTTTCCTGTTTCAGTCCTGAAAAAATTAGGGTCGGTAGGTAGGGATTATCTTTTTTTTCTTTTAGACATCAGTGATATCTACATTTGTATATAGGGGCAATTTATACAATACAGTTTATTAACAAAGTAAAACTTGCATGAGGACACTTTTATTTTTAATGTCAATGTTAGAAACTAATCATACAATGTATTTATCAGTCAGGTGTCAGATCATGGAGCTAGAAAAGGTTCATCAGCTTGAAAATGTATGTCCTTGCAGGTGTCCTCCCGTGCATGAAAAAAGTTAAGGGTCGTCAGATTTTTCTAGGGTCGGTCAGGAAACAGGAAACACAATTTTTTTTCCTAGGCTTAAGGCCACATCAATTTAATCATAATCAGTGCAATGGCCAAGTGGGTAGTCTAAGAGTGTTCTCTTGACAGAACTAAGTTAGTGGTTGAAATGTCTGTAAAGTGTAAAGTATAGATATTAAGTTTTTTATTGTTTCTGCCCTTCAGGTCAGACAGGTAAAATCATCCAGGCTGTTGTAGATGCTGGTTATGAGATCTCTGCTCTGCAGATGGTAAGTTTATCATATCATAGGGAACATCTTCCTTCTGTCCTGTGAGAAACATGATGTTATTTTGCTGTCATACTATGTTATGGAGGAGATAATTAAAGTGGGTTGGTGATTGAGATGAGAAAACAACTGGTTGCAGAAGAATTTAAATCTATCAGGCATAAGTTTTATTCACTGTATTTTGTAGTATTAAACAGAAAGGCCAGCATTTGTCCATGAGCAAATTCAGCATATTTCACTCCATCTCTTAGAACAAAACTGGAGTGTTTCAAAAGGGGCATGTGCAAAAGAAGAATATTCCAAAATAACTTCTGCTCAAATTAAAGGACAGTTTTTCCCAAGTTATCCCAGATATATTTTAATTGATAGCTGGGATCATTCTATTGGCATTAGTTGTACATATTTTATTTGGTGTTTTTTTCATGTGACATGATTATGCAAACATTATGAATTATACGAATCAGACTTCTGTGTAGTGAATCGTATTGTCCACTTCCAGTTTCACTTGGAGAGGGCTAATGCAGAAGAGTTCATTGAGGTCTACAAAGGAGTTGTTGCTGAATACAACGTAAGTATAGACAAGTCCTCTTTTAATTGATTACTAAGTAAAATTCTCCCCATAAAAAAAATAAAGGTCGGAGTCATTCTCTATTAAGGTACAGACATTCCTAACACTGTAGGTTATACAGTCTCTAAAATGTACGTACCTTAAGTTACCATTTTGAATAACCCAAATTGAAAGTTAAGGCTAATCTGTAAATTTTTTTCTTCTTTTTACTTGTACATGAGTCTACTCACTGTATCTATTTTTCATGTAAGGCCACACCGTCTTAATTGTATGGATGACATCCTCCAAAGACCCCCAAACTAGTGCTCGCGGGCGAATAAAAAAAAATTCTGACCAAAAATAAAAATGCTACTAAACCACAGGAATACAAAGCTGCCATTGTTAATTGCGTATACGACAGGCCGGCACCTGCTGGCTTTATGTGGAATTTATGAATCGGCACTGTACGTATGTACTGAGGTCTTGAGTCTTGGAGCTTCGGTAGCCTGGGTGCCATCCTCCAGAGTTACAACAGGCTCCGTATGTCGCTAACTGCTATGGACTACGCAGGCCTAGAGCCAGGCCAGAGCCTCGGAGGACGTGATCTTTTTTTTTGAGAACAGGCAAAAATCAATGCACGCGCGGATGTCATCCATAAAATTAAGGCGATGTGGCCTAAGTCAGTGTACTATAAAACAGTGGCAATGAACTATATTGAGTATAATATAGGTGCTGCATATGGCATGTGTATTGGGAATAGGGGATATAGGAAACATTGCATGAATGTTAAGGTCTTTTCTCCCTATGATTTCCCCATACAGGACATGGTGAGTCAGCTGTGTGCAGGCCCGAGTGTTGCCATGGAGATCAGAAGTAAGGACGGGGAGACTCCACAGAGTTTCCGCGAGTTTGTGGGACCAGCTGATCCGGTAAGGTTCTTCTACATGTACTTTTAGTTATTTTATCCCATGGAGATGCATACATGTATTTCAAATGATGTTCCCTTTGCATTATGGAAGAAATACAAAGTAGCTCAAACAGATATTATGTTTGTCATATTTCTCTAGTGCACCCTACTATGATTTTTACCATCAAAACTAGTCACCTTGAGGTAGTGAGGTCCTTAACATAGGGTTGAAAACTGTGCTCTGCTACATTGTACCTTGAATGTGCTGCCGCCACCCTGGAGATACCATTACCAGTTACATGCCCATGCAGACGCATGTATAGTCTACTTTGAATGGACCTATACCATTATTACGTCACAGTTTGTTTACCTGTTCTAAAGAACATTCTAGAACGGTCAGTTAAAGAATAAAGATCATTTCAAAGTTTTCAAAGTAAGGCATGTCTGATTTTTTGCTGCGTCTAGTTGTGTTGACACGGCATTACATGCCGCATGGGTGATTTAGTTGTGACATTAGACGAAAGTAGTACTGTATTAAAAGCCTTATATTAGGCTAACGCTACACAAACACACACCGCGCTACGCACCCCTGTACAATATAAACGTCGATTGACCGGCATTTATTGCGGTAAACAAACTGTGACGTAATAATGGTATAGGTCCATTACGCCAGCCATTACGAACTACATTTTGTATGATATAGATCTGAGGTGCATAAATTTTGCATAAATTACAGTCAGTGTTACAAGTGCATTTTCATGTGTCCAACAGGAGATTGCAAGGCATCTGAGGCCCAGGACCCTGAGGGCCATATTTGGCACAGACAAGATCCAAAATGCTGTACACTGCACAGACTTGCCAGAGGACGGACTTCTGGAGGTACATGAAGTAGAATGATCTACATTATACAGTGCAAACATGCAGTATACATTTTGTACATTGATATCTTCTGGGATGGAAGTTTTGTTTTGGGAGGCACCAATTTATGCTAGGTTTATATGTTTGGGTTCCAGACTTAGAAGGGCTATACTATTACCCTATCAGCCCCACTGTAACAGTGGCACTACCAACTGATCCGGTAAATGGGCCTAGACCTTTTCGGCCGAGCGGTTAGAGCGTCTGGTTATGAAGCTCTGGTGCCCGGGAGGTTGTGGGTTTGAATCCCGGCCCGGGACCAGAAGGGTTTTTACTGGCTCCTCCTGTTTCTTACACCACCATATTAGCTTACTGTGGCTGATTGACCAGCTTTACTGTAGTATGATCGGACCAGTCGTCCTCTACAACACTACTATATTGCATAATATTAATCTTTTACATTGAGTACCCTCTTCAGTGTCTAACATCAAATTTTTAACCCTTTTCAGGTGGAATACTTCTTCAAGATTCTGGACAGCTGAGGAGAACATTCGCTGCTGGAATCTGCACTGTGTGGCTGACTACATCACAATGCCCCACAGTCTTACAGAGGAAAAGCGTTGTTTCATTCTCACTCCAAATTAACTTTTACACATTGACTATTTTTCTGCTTTACCAGGCCATATACTAGTAACTGTCAGATAACTGTTACACATTTACATTTTGTATTATACTATAGAGTTGCTGTAAAAACTTTTGCTCTCATTAAAATAAATTTTAGAATGATTCTTGGAGCCTTAAATGTTAAACTTGCCAATTTGAGACAAAAGTCATGGCTAACATGATGATTATAAATGCCAGATTAACTGCTTATTCAAGTAGATAGCATGTACATACTGATGTACAATGTTGTACATATTCCAGTACACCTTTTGGAGTAATGTATAATTCACTTTGAAGTGATTTTTGGTTTAAAATATAGACTGTAAGTTGTGTAACACAAAACAACACAAATCTGTTGAATGGATGACCAAAAAAACTGAAGTAAGGGTTCAAAAGATAAAGGCACATTTTGGAAGCATATTTTACAGTAGACTTAACTTTTAAAATTCCACACTTGTTAGTTTTTTAAGAAGTTGTCTCAAATTTCGTACCAATTTTCAAACTTTCTTGTGTATTACTGTTAAACCTGTTGGAAAAATATCCTTTTTTAAAGAAAGGCTAAAATAGAAAAAAACAAAGCATTTTCAAATGTCTTCTGTATAGATTTAAGTTAAAGATAGTACATGTGTATGTTTTCCTCCTTTGACATTTTGTGTGTTCAAGGTTAAAGTCAACAATTTTCAGTTGTACAAAATTCCATTTCCAGTCAATAGTGCTTGAAGTTGTATACACAGGAAGACAGAAAGACCACACAAATGTGTTGTTATTACCTAATATGAGGACCATCAAAATTATATCGCAGGAGAGGCTAGTTTTTTGAGAGGATTCTCTCAACCTTTAAAAACAGAAAAGTTGGGTACATTCACTTGTGCCTGAATGATGTATGACATTATTTTACTTGAATAAAGTGGAGAAATAATTTTACTGCCATAATTTTTTTACGAGGTGTTATAATCCATGCTACATTCCTTTCCTTAGTCATGAACATTGCTGACTAGGAAGAGTAATCCTTTTTCCACGCCGTTATGTGATTTAGACGGTAAGCTCCTACCACATCCCGCAAGGTACATGTATCTCCGCGGTGCTGAAAACCCGGCTGCGTTTAAAATGGCAAGATGACGGAAAAAGTAATTCTATCGACCACACAGGATGTATCGTTGCCAAGGGAACACAGTTTGTTCAGTTCATCCTCAGCCACACAAGTTCCTGTCGCGCATGAGAGTGAAGTGCCTCAATAACATACTATAGGTGTGAAGGTTTGTATCAGCTTTGCCTGGCTATCTTTCTAACAGAAGGCCCTATCCTTTGTAAAATTTCGCCAACAACACACCATGCCACCACACATTCATTTCTCATTCATTTACCGGCAGTACCTGGTTTATCCAGCATTTTTTGCCCATGTAATCTGTTCCTCATTTGCTGTGCAGGGGGTGGTGATGCCCTATATGGCTACCCTCCAAGCAGAGGTTGGGGTTTTGGGGGTATTTTTAGCGTATGGTTTGATGGGGAAAAAATTCAGTGCAAAAGAGAAACCCCGATAAAAAAAGCCTAAAAACACGCTAAAAATACCCCCAAAACCTAAACCAGTGCTTGAAGAGTAGTATATGGCTGCTCAGACCCTAAAAACTGGGGACAGCTTACTGGAGAGCTTTAGGGTAGGTATTGGTCGAGGTCACTATATCCAACACATGTACAGTTCTCCTTAAATCCCTCTTTCTGCATTCATGACTTTCTATACTTTTCTATATACTATCAATAGTGCTTGTTATCTACATTGTATGTTGAAATTTGATTTATTTTCTTTGTTATACTGATGATTTTATGATGTATATACTGATGAGTTTCATTATGAAAAACTTAAACTGTTCTCCAACTCAAAATTTGACTCACCAGAAATTTTCCACTGAATCACTCAGTCTTCCATTTCTGGTGAGTCAAATTTTGAGTTGGAGAACAGTTTAAGTTTTTCATAATGTAATTTACCAACTCAGATGAACTTTCATGCTACTGATGAGTTTCTGTAATGTAGTCTGGGCCCCATTGAAAATCAATTTGGCAAAATTGAATTGGCCACCCAGCTGTTTAAAGATCTAATAAATAAATACATCTCTTCTACATGTGTTGCTCACACACCAGCTCATCAACAACAAAAAACTTTGAGACATAACGTTATGTATTCAAACTGTATTATATAATCATAGCCCTGGGTGAATTACAATGTACATCATATAGAATAAACTATGTAACACACAATAATATATATTACACAACTATCTTCAGCACTACATCATCCTTTCAACTGTGTCCAACCAACAGAACACACATTGTCAAACAGAACCTATCGCCAACTAAAACAAAACTTCCAAAATATATCTCGTACTTGTAAATGCATGTAACCGTACTGTATTGTAACTATAATTATCAAATAATGTATGATGGATGTAGATATCGGTAGATGTATTTTGTACTGTTCCTAGGAAACAAAATAGTCATGGACCTTAACAATAGAATAAAGCCGAATTATCATTAAAATTGTATATCATGTGACATCCATAGCTTAAAGATTTAACAGGGAGAAGAGCCCCACTTATCCACAGTTACTTCCAATTTCGTAATCCAAATCATCAAAGGCAATATGGTATGTAACAGATGAAATATCTTTAGTCACTGTGTCTTTTACAACGTGCAAGTAAATTGTTGACAATTCGTCCATTATACAATAATAATAATATCGACGCTGTGCCTCCATTTTCACAGGCCTGACCATTGAATGAATGCTTGTATTTCCTTGACTGGAACGTTGTGTGTGTGAGCCTTCAGGTGGAGGTTTCTGTCATCTGTCAACAGGACCACATCTCTCTTCAGCCTGATGGGTTCACCTGGAAAATAAGCATTTAACAGTGTGTATAAATCATATGGGGCAAGAGAATCAAACACACACATACAAGTCATACATACACACAAACACATGCACACACACGAACACACACACACCCATGAAAATACACACACACACACACACACACACACACAAACACACACTCATGCTAATACACACACACACATGCAAATACACACACACACATGCAAATACACACACACACACATGCAAATACACACACACACATGCAAATACACACACACACATGCAAATACACACACACAAACGTCTATGGGGGAAAACATTGTGACAAGCAAAAGTGGCCATATTGGCCAGATATTATTATAATAATATATTATTACTGTTATTATTTATAGCAGACTTGAGACTTTATTTGAATTACCATTAGCCGACATACATGTAGGTGACCAGTTTGACTGTTCCTCCAAAGTCTTACATGAGGCCCCTTAAACATACCAAACCTGCTTTTAAATAGGAGTTAAACAAAACATATAATGTGAGTCAAATGTACAGTCACTGTAACTGTTGTTACACTAAGACTAACCCTTTTTTGTAGGCATGTAGTCCTTGGCCACATCATGACAGAAATGAAGGCAGCATGACAGAATCACATCATCGTTGTTTCCCTGAAAAGTTGGCAACAGGAGAAAAACTTACACATGCCTTTACATGTTAGGATGATAATTCTGAAATACATTGCGCAAAATCAATCAATGATGGCATGTCAAAATCTGAATTTTTTAATCAACTAGCACTAAACCTACCCACCCCTAGTCTGGACAAAATACCAGATTTTCAGATGCTACATGTCTCCTGATTCACATTCACATGGCTTTCAGTAAATGAATTAATGAAAAACTTATAAAGTTCCATGACCTCATACCTTTGAGAAATGATTATGACTGATAATATATACTCATTAATTATGCAAATAAGGTAAATCATTTGCATGAATTATGTCAGTTCATCATACCCCCAATCAAATAATAAGACTTGTCAAATGTCAAATGTTTAATAAAAACACAACTTTTATTTATAATAGCAATCACACTAAGAACCCTGATTTGCCTAATATGTTAAACGATGTTCACTGAATCACTTAACTTCCAAATGCCACATGTATGAGATTCTTGCCATTCTTGTTCTTGACACTTGCTTACTAAGGAAACTAATGAATATTCCAACAAGTACCTTAGGTTATATATTAAGTCCTCCAACAAGTAACTTAGGTTATATATCAACTAACCTGATGTCCTGGCATATCTTCATTACGAAACGCAATCGTGTCCAAACTGGTGCCCTTGCTGGTCAAGGCTCGCAGGTGGTTGTCATGGCAACTGAAGCGATCTTCCAGAAACTGGACAGCGAGCACGGCTCCTTGTTGTAGCTTCTGTGCGTGTCCCGAGGCCTTGTCCAGTCCAGGTCTGCTGCCACGGGCCAGGCCATCCAGCTCATTAATGACTGCAAATAGGAGATTGAAGTCTCATCACTTCAGATTACTTGCACTTGCATCATATTGCAGTAGACATTGTGCAATTATTACAACTTCTATTTCTGTATTATATTACTACATCTTCAGCCAGTTTCTTAAAAGAAAAGCTCTAAATTATTATAATAAATAAGTCAATGTCTTCATCATGTAACATCATATAATTAGCCGCCTACATTAGTCTCTTTAGTTGTGTTTTGCCTTGAAAGAGCTTAAAATGTGTGATCCTTAAAGGTATCCAAAGGGATTATAGACTGAGGAAAATTGGACTTTAAGTCAATTTTATAGTCATTTGTTCATGCAGTGAGTTAAATGAGACACAGCATACTGATATCTGAGAGGCAAAAATGTGATATCAATGACTGAATAACAGATGTTTTGGTTGCTTGTTTCAGAACATAGGTTGATTCTATCTATTTACAAAATGTGTTGGTGGAACCCAAAAATCAAAGGGACTGGTCACATACCTTTTTTCTGGACTAAGGCCACACCAATTTAATTTCTTGGTTAACAGATTTTTCTAGAAAAATAATGGAGCGGGCGGGCAAAAAAAAAAAAAAACAGGCCTAGGCATCCTATTAATATATGGCCCAAAATGGTACGATTATAAGGAGCCATGAAGTCAACACACCGGGCTGGTTCAAAATTTAAACAAATTGAATGAATTTTGAACTTTTAATGATACCATTTCATTAAAAGATGGAATAACTGTAACAGCTAGGATGAAAAGGACTGTTTTCAACTGTTCAGGGCAAAATATGAGCATTTTGCAGTTGAGTCTGAATTTTTATCTTTATTTGCAAATCAGAAAAAAATGAAGCGGGCGAATCCATTAACCAAGAAATTAAATTGGTGTGGCCTAAAGTATTGAAAAATAATGCCGAAAATGTGCTAGCCTAAGAATGCCAATAATTGCCAGTAAATGTCAATATCAGACAGATTGCTCATCCAAAATATACTTTTACCACACTCACATTGCATACAATGCCTTTACAAGACTTAGAATTAGCTGCCATAAATTACATATTGAAATTGGAAGACATAGCCGCACTCCCCTTGAACACAAATCATGTACATTATTGTTACTTGAATAGAATATAAGACGAACGCCATTTTGTAATAGAATGTGAACTGTATAGCAAAGACAGAAATGAACTGTATGGGTTTATACATTAGCTTATTCCCGCATTTTATACATAACCCATTCCCCTATTTCATTAAGTACTGTAGAAAAATTCATATAATTCCTAATGCAACTAGACAAACCACCCATCAAAAAACAGAATCTGTTCCTTTATTTCGACAATAACAGAAAAACGAGAAGTTTGTATAATGATAGTTAGTCAGTTTTGTACAAATGAATTATATGTTAACTGTATCCGTTCATCTTGTTTTGTTGTGACCTGTACTTAACCATGCAAGTGTGGCAAAAATATGCAACAAAGGTTTTCATTCATTCTTTACCCAGGAACACTCACCAACAAGAGGAACCACAACTGTGAACATCTGACAGCCTACAAGCCTCTCCAGACCAGGCAGGTAGTCTATGAAACTGTTGGTGTCTGGAACCAGGAATGATGGAGTGACTTCCACTTCCATCTGTACTGCAGACGTCTGGTCATCCAGCACAGCCTATAGGGCAGAGTGGAAACAGCTTGTTTGAAAAAAATTGTCACTTCCTACTACTAATAGTATGTAATAGTAGAACATACTTCAAATTTGTATTATGGAGCCTTAATCATTGGGGTAATAAACTTTCTAATTAGTAGTACATGTACTTTAGCTACGCAAAATTGTATTAAACGATAAAAGCTTTTAAAAATTTTTTTTACAAAAATGCTGGCTGAAGCACAAGATAATTGGTGTTCGCATGAGTGTGATAACCACATGTGACTCAAATTATAATGAAATTAGTAAATTGGACAAATGCTAATTAGACTGGACTTTCATGTAGGCGCACATGTGTAGTTGTAAATAAATGTATCATAAGCTCTTTATTACAAAGAATAGAATCTTATATTTTGTATACTAACTAGTTTTAAGTGATTACACACGGTAAAGAATTGCATCACTTCTTGTTTAATTTGACCACTCTTTCCCTTCTGACACCTGTTTAGTTTTCATTCAATGAACATTATGGTAATGAATCCGACACCCAACCATAGAACAAAAGAAAGGCCTAAAATGTTTAACTCATGCCCATGAAAATAAAAATATATCTCACTCATTTATATATCTTTTATGGTTACATGACAGATTATGCACATGTACATGTATGTGTGCTTGTTCATCTACTAGAAAAATTAACACAAATTGATGCTTTATGTGATTGTTTGTACCTCTATGTGGTTTTTCCGTTTCTCCTTCTCTTCCACAAGTTTGGCCAGCAGATCCCTTTTAGCCTTCAGTTCCTGGAAGGAGCCCCTGGTCTTGTCCCACATCTCAACATCATCTTCCACCTCTTCTGTGTAGCCTTCAATGATGATATCTTCTTCAGCTTGCTAAAATTCATTGCAAGAACATTTCTTTTGTAAGTAAATGAATTGTAAAGAAAAGTGAATTTGTTACAAAGAAGGATAATGTGCTATTCTTAAGGTGTCATTCGCGTAAAAAAAAAACTAAAAATCCAACAGTCTGATATTTGCATGTATCAGTTTTATTTCAATTAGTTTATTTTATATTAATTTATTTTCTTTTTGTTCTGTAATTTACCTAACAAGCTAAAGCTTTCTAAATTTCTTAAACTTTAAAATTATATTGCTTAATCATATTTTGGTTCAAACAGTTGAAGAAAGTCATTGTCTTCATAGTTGTTACTGACAGTTTTTTTCCATGAATAAATTGAACGCAGTGTTTTTTTTTTCATCAAAAGTTCAAAATTCACTGGCTGAATTTCATAACTCCTAACATTATATACATTGTGTCATGTAGCATTTGGGGCTATCAAAGGATGCCAGGTTTCATTTTACCATCATGTTGCTTTATGGTTTGTTCTAGAAAGATCTCAGAACCAACAATAAATTAGAGTGGTTTAAAAAAAAAAAGAAAGAAAATTTATTACCATATTTCCTGCTTCTAGCTTGCCCTTCCCTGCAGTGTCTTCTGCATCCTGATGAGAGACGATGGACACATGCTTGCCATGTTCCCACATCAGGATGGGACTCTCAATCCCACACAGGTACTGTCCAAATAACTGCAGAGACTTCTTTCTCAGTGTGTCTTGTGCAATGCCCTACAAAGATGGAGTAAGGAATAACTGTTAGCACTGTCGAAAGTAGATGAAATGTGTTAAATGTATAATACATTATGTCAGACTCAAATCTTGTAGAATCCGGAGATTCTGATTGGAGTCTCTGTCAACAGAAACTGTCAGTAGAATCAGAAATCCTACCTACTGGACATGTTACATGTTATGTATAACTTAACATTGCCAAACAACATATCCTACAAGTTACACATTCGATCACATTACTAGCTATACTCGGTACTTGCCACCAAACCTAAATATCTTTTAAAGCTGCATTGTGTATTATATGTATATGTATTATTGTGTATGATCTTCCTCTGTCAGTCAGTCTCAAAAAACTATGACTAACTGCACAAAACATGAATTGCCAGATTGTACCAGCAGAGACTCTGATTGGGAGTCATTTAGTGTGCACCAATTCTACCAGATTAGAGTCTCTGTCTTCATCTTGACATATACATTAATGTGTACATTGCAATAACTTTGAGCCACTTTGTCATTGTAGTGTTGGGCAAAAAGAGAAGCAAAGATGCAGGACTGGTGTGTTGACTTATAGAAAAATATATTTTGCATCATTTAACATATAATCAAATTAATTACGGATATAAACAGCTTTATCCGTACCGTACTACAGTGTAGTTTCACCCATACCACAGGCTCATAAAAAGGGGCCAAAGACTAGGTACCAGATTAAAGACAGCAGACAAAAACTCCAAGTCTGGTTTGTATTTAATATACACATCATTGTATACATTGTATAAAGCTAGCTGAGAACCCAAATATGGTTCTTCATGACAAAATTTGCATCAAAACTGTTAACGTCATGATCAAATACCTGATCAGCTGAATACACAAGGTAATAAATTAAATACAATGATTTCTGCTTAGTACTATTTACTTGGCCAGAACTTTTTCAAAACATATTAAATTTAATTGATCTCTAAAACACTCTGAATGAAAATACATTGTATCATAACTGCATATTCTTTGATTTCTATATCATTACTGGCCATTTGACAAAGTTTGATTTCATGCCAGTGTGACAACTTTTAAGGGGCCTTTAGGCTGGAACTTGGGAGATTTATTCAAGGCTAAACTCTTTTGCTTTGTAAAGCAAACATTTCCCTCTGCTAATATAATAAAGCAACAAGCTCTAAATGACAGAGTTTGAAATTGACACTGTCTACAGATTGGGTATAACAACTTTATTTATCACCTCAAACAGATTCAGATGTTCTGAAATATGCTGACTTTTTGATCTCCATAATCAGTTATTACCAGCTGTCCCTGTGTTGCCATGGCAACAGCCAGTGGCCTGTTAATGTCCGTAGCGATGTGTTTGAGGAATTTTCCTGTCTTGTCAAACATCTCCACACGACTGTTTCCCCTGTCTACCACGATAATGTTCCCTGCTCTGTCTGTACAGATACCACGGGGATTGTTCAGCTGACCTTCACAACTTCCCTCACTTCCAAACTGGAACAGAAACTGTCCGTCCTCGCTGTAAACATGGACACAATTATTGTCCTGGTCTGACACAAGAATGTTCCCTTGCCTATCCACTGTGATGTACTGTGGGAACTTCATCCCCTGCTGCCTTGATGATAAGAGTGATACAAGTAGGCTCTTCCTTTTCCCACCCACAGTTCTCACAAGTGTCCCATCTGGCCTGAACACCAAAACTTCACCCTTTCGGTTGTGCCAGTCTCCTGTAGTTTGTGTGATGAGGATGTGGTTCCTCCTGGTGTCCACAGCAACTCCTCTCACCCACCTTGTCTTCTGAAGGTCAAACTTACTCAGCACCCTGCCCTGTTTGGTGTATTGCACAGCAAACTCAAAGTCAGCAGAGTCATCAGTACTCCCCACCACCCACAGGTTCCCCTCCCCGCCCATGGCTACATCATCTGGGCTTATCTTCTCTTCACCTGACACAACTGTTTCCAAAAGGCGTATAAATGTTCCCTGCAGGGTGAATACTTGAATTCTTTGGTTCCTCCCATCTGCTACAAAGATCTCCCCTTCATCTGATACTGCAACACCAAGTGGATTCATGAACTGCCCTGTTTCTGATCCCCATCCTCCAAATGTCACCTTCTGAGGCTGATGCTCCCTTTGGTTACCATGGTGATGACCTGTGCCGCTCGCTGCACCATGAAGAGAAGTATAAAGCGCTGCTGGGATTGGTGCAGATGGGAGAGACTGGACTGTCACATGTCCCAATACTGGCACGGCGGTGTCTGTGGGCTGAAAGACAGCAGGCTGGTGTTGTACAGGAGTTGGTGCTGCTTTTCGTCTATACCTTCCTACAACCTCTGTCAAAGTTATTTGCTGACAGAAAAACTTGACCCCTTCCTGCTGCAGTTCTTGTTCTGCTTGATCACAGGCAGCAGACAGTTCATTGATATCTGACAACACTCTGTCCCTTTCAGTCTGAATTCTGTCTATGTCTTTTACATGGTTTTCCACTGATTCAATCAAGAGGTGGTCTTTTCTCTGGGTGAGTTTCTGCAAGGTTTGGTTGTAGGCCCAAATAATGCTGTCATCTCTCTGCTGTTTCTTTTCATTTAGGGTTTTCTCTTCTTCTCTCAGACTTCTGAGGAAGCTTAAGTAACTTTCCACGATGTTTCTCCCCTCATTGATCAAGGCTTGGACTATGGAGCTCATTTCCTGTGCAGGTTTTTTCATGGTTGTATGATGATCGTAATGAGCCTCTTTAAAACACTGTTCACAAATAGGAATCTGACAATGTTTACAGTAGAGTTTTAGCACCTTGGACGGGTGAGAGCTGCAGCACCAGTTATCAGACTTGGGTTGTTCCCTTGTTTCTGCCATCATTGTAGTCTGTTGTTTCAGTCTCTCACACATATTTGCCGCCATGAGATTGTCTGGCAAACCTGCGACCCCCAGGGGTGGCAGCCTGACCTGCCGGCGACAAATCGGGCACTGGAATGTCCCTCCTCTCCCTGCATGGTCCTGTAGACAGTCCTGACAGAAGGTGTGCTGACAGGGCAGCATCTTGGGCCTGGTGAACAGCTCCAGGCAGATGCTGCAGGACAGTTCTTCCTTGAAATGTGTTCCCAAACTTAACAGAGCAGCCGCCATGACTTTTTCCTACTGGTAGCTCCACCTCAATCTAAAGTGCTTTTTTATTAGTCCATGTTTGCTGTGGGTTGGACTAAAAGCTGAGGGGCCCGGGGGGAGAATGAACTTTTTTCCACCTTTTATACAATGTCATGTACAAACCCAATAAGGAAAAAGGTGATTTCAAATGGGAATGTGATAAAAAGTCTTTCTAATATTAAGTAATTTTATGTTGACTGTATGCAATAAGTTTAAGTTATTGAAAAAAGCCAGATGTATTATGTCACCCCATTTGCTGATAAGTGAGTTGGATTGCACCAAAAGTTAATAAACAACTAAGCAGCTGTGCACGTGCTAGTCATGTGCTTGTTTGCTATGAGTGGATTGATGACTAAAGACAATTCTATTTTGTAACACTGTCACCAATTCCTGTTGTAGTCCATTTGAAGAAGGACATTTAATCAAGTTCATATCCAAAACCTGCTCTGTTTAAAGATTCATGTGTTATACCATACTTGATTGATTAGGGTGGAAATTTGCATGCAGTTCATTACTAAGTCAACAGAGGGCAGTGATGCACAGCACTGATATACATGTATGGACAACCTTTTTCGTCAGAGGGTTCAAGTTCAAAACTGACAGATTTCAATACTTTCGCATAAACCGGATAAGGGTTGTAAACTCTCAGCCCAAGTGTCAAAGATCTCTGATCAGAAATGGTCCCCTGGGAATACATTTGATAACAGGTGTTGGTGGCCCATTCCCTGGCCTAGGGCACTGGTCTGAGCCTATTGGTGTGGTCCATATTACTAAGATAAAAGTAAGAAAAACAGAGAAAAAAGTAAGAATTTGCTGGCCCTGGCATTAGCTGAGTACCTTTTGTCCACTAAGGCACCTAAAGGTGCATCTGAAAAATGTTAGATTTGCCTATTAAGCTGTTTAAGGACAGTACATACTGCACTGTCAATAAAGGATACAAAATCTAAGAAAAATGGTCAAAAACACTGAAATCAAAGAATTTCTTAGCAAATCTGAGTCCAGTGAGTCACCTGAAGCCTGCTCCTAACCCAAAGAACTAATTTAGGCAAATATAAGCTACAATGGTCAATCTGACCCCCCTCCCTAAAGTTCTGTCAGAGGGTTCAAGTTCAAAACTGACAGATTTCAATACTTTCGCATAAACCGGATAAGGGTTGTAAACTCTCAGCCCAAGTGTCAAAGATCTCTGATCAGAAATGGTCCCCTGGGAATACATTTGATAACAGGTGTTGGTGGCCCATTCCCTGGCCTAGGGCACTGGTCTGAGCCTATTGGTGTGGTCCATATTACTAAGATAAAAGTAAGAAAAACAGAGAAAAAAGTAAGAATTTGCTGGCCCTGGCATTAGCTGAGTACCTTTTGTCCACTAAGGCACCTAAAGGTGCATCTGAAAAATGTTAGATTTGCCTATTAAGCTGTTTAAGGACAGTACATACTGCACTGTCAATAAAGGATACAAAATCTAAGAAGAATGGTCAAAAACACTGAAATCAAAGAATTTCTTAGCAAATCTGAGTCCAGTGAGTCACCTGAAGCCTGCTCCTAACCCAAAGAATTAATTTAGGCAAATATAAGCTACAATGGTCAATCTGACCCCCCTCCCTAAAGTTCTGTCAGGGCACAGCCCACTAATTCCAGCCCCTATTGGAATATATAGAAAACATCTAAGAACTGAGCTGTCAACAATCACCTACTTGAGTGTTCAACTATTGCAAACACACACTGACAGGGTAGTCCAACTTCCAAATTGTCCATTTAGTCCAAAAATTTAACTTTTTGACCAGCGGTACTAGCACGGCAAATCCAAACACTGGCAGCATGACCTCTGACCCCCATGAAGACCACCAAAAGACAAGAAGATGGGATTAGTTTTAGAACTCTACCAAGCAGCCAAAACAACACTAACGGCCAGTTTTTTTCAAGTTAGTAGAAATAGAAATAACTCCCCAGCTGAAAAATGCCAGCATTTATCCACACATACCAAGAAAAAGGCTGTTTTCAGTTGGTTTGGATGCGGTTATCAAAGGGGTCTCAGGCTGGGCCCTCTGGGCATGCGCCAATTAGTGACCTTTGCCCTGTCAGAGGGTTCAAGTTCAAAACTGACAGATTTCAATACTTTCGCATAAACCGGATAAGGGTTGTAAACTCTCAGCCCAAGTGTCAAAGATCTCTGATCAGAAATGGTCCCCTGGGAATACATTTGATAACAGGTGTTGGTGGCCCATTCCCTGGCCTAGGGCACTGGTCTGAGCCTATTGGTGTGGTCCATATTACTAAGATAAAAGTAAGAAAAACAGAGAAAAAAGTAAGAATTTGCTGGCCCTGGCATTAGCTGAGTACCTTTTGTCCACTAAGGCACCTAAAGGTGCATCTGAAAAATGTTAGATTTGCCTATTAAGCTGTTTAAGGACAGTACATACTGCACTGTCAATAAAGGATACAAAATCTAAGAAAAATGGTCAAAAACACTGAAATCAAAGAATTTCTTAGCAAATCTGAGTCCAGTGAGTCACCTGAAGCCTGCTCCTAACCCAAAGAACTAATTTAGGCAAATATAAGCTACAATGGTCAATCTGACCCCCCTCCCTAAAGTTCTGTCAGGGCACAGCCCACTAATTCCAGCCCCTATTGGAATATATAGAAAACATCTAAGAACTGAGCTGTCAACAATCACCTACTTGAGTGTTCAACTATTGCAAACACACACTGACAGGGTAGTCCAACTTCCAAATTGTCCATTTAGTCCAAAAATTTAACTTTTTGACCAGCGGTACTAGCACGGCAAATCCAAACACTGGCAGCATGACCTCTGACCCCCATGAAGACCACCAAAAGACAAGAAGATGGGATTAGTTTTAGAACTCTACCAAGCAGCCAAAACAACACTAACGGCCAGTTTTTTTCAAGTTAGTAGAAATAGAAATAACTCCCCAGCTGAAAAATGCCAGCATTTATCCACACATACCAAGAAAAAGACTGTTTTCAGTTGGTTTGGATGCGGTTATCAAAGGGGTCTCAGGCTGGGCCCTCTGGGCATGCGCCAATTAGTGACCTTTGCCCTGCATACCTACTTCATGTAGAAAGAAAACAATTGTCTTCACATGACAAGTTTTACCTGCCCCACAGTTTCTTTGCCTGAAATCAGTTGCAAATGAAATGTTACATGTACATGAAGGAAGAAATGTTCCTAGCAGCACAGTTTTTAATTCTATTAAGTTCTCTTCTGTCTTTAAATTTAAAGAGTACAGGGCAGTTTTTTGGTCACCATACGTGTATGTCATCTAGTGTCTGGGACTGGTTTATCATGGTGTATGTTGACTAATTGAATGTGTAAGCTGTTGAACACAATATACATGTAGTACACACTTTGTGTAAGGCAGACATAAATCAAAATATTCCAAACAGTGTACATGACGTACCTTCTGAACTGAGTCTGGAGAAGCATATTTGACCCCACTGATGATCTGACTGCTGAGTGGTTGGAACCCCGCCAGATGTAAGTCTTCTTCCAGCACAACTGGCTCCAAACCTAAAATAACAGTTCAATTCATAGTTCACTGTAGACCAATCTTTAAAATTAAAATAGTGACAAAGGATGCCCCCACCTACATGTACCCCTTACTTACAACACCTTCATCCACCCAAGTGAACTTCTATAGGTCAGTACATAAACGTGTACATTGTGTAGTTGTAGAAAGATGTGGTTGCCATCTGAAACCTTTGACCTAATGAAATCTTAGGTCATGCATGTATTATTAGACAATGTTGCAGAACAATCTGTTGAGAATGACTATTGGGATTTTCATCCTATCCTTCCAACATGATGTTTTATTCTACACTTTTGTACAAAATGTACCCACGGTATGTACTAAATTTAGCACAATGTCATGTACTCACAATATAGAAACATTATGTTGGAAAACTAAGTACTTTCTATAATACTAGTATGCAACATATATAATTGTACATTATTGAAACATCAATGGAATTTACAGACAAAATGATGGAGAATGATATATGATTGTAAGACTTTATGCTAACTTTATCTATTTGAATAATGGGTGGTATGTTGTTAATACTCAACTGTATTTCATGCTCTTCACTGTGACATGCCTCTGAGTCAATATTCAATAAATCTGAATCTGAGAATAAAAATGTTACCTTTTCTGTTGTCATCCTCCAGTGTGACAGTGCTCAAGTCACTCTCCTCTAACTCATTACAAAGGTCAGCCAGTGCTGTCCAGGTATTAACAACTGGGCTGGAAGAAAAACAACAGACTCAACATTTAACTCAACATTTAATACCGGTGTTTCTGACTGTGTGATAACTAGTGATATCACACAGCATTTGCTTATCACACGGGCTTCCGAAAGTTCCATAGAATAATTGGTTCATGTTTCGTGTGTGCCAGGTGCTATGAAAAATTTGAATACTGCCTTGAAGTTCATTCGACGTCTTTATTAATTTTCCAACCACAAACATAAATATGCAGGGAAAGACAAAAGTCTCCCTGAAGTGGGTAGTTTGTTACAATCAACACATCATACAATACAATCAATGAACAATATACAGTAGTGAAATACAGCTTAAAGATAACAAAATTGGACGCAGATACAGCATGGGGTAGCTTATGAAACAGACTCGTTGTACAGTTTTATCGCATAGTGAACAAATGACCTTTTCAGTGGCTCAGTCCTGGCTTTTGGCACAGTGAAGGCACTGTCGTTCCGCAAACATCTATCTGTAGCTGTTAGAATTGATGTTGTAACAGTTTTTTTGGTTTAGGGACACCAGATTTTGTCAAATTTTCTACAGAAGTGGGTACAAGATACATGTAAATAAAATACAACACGCTGTGTGCCACATCACTCTGGGTCAGATCTCCAGCTTTCGGATGATCCAACCCACAGTCGAGCCAATACTATAGAATACTGGTATTGTATATATATATTCTGTATGTACTGAAATCATGATCATATAGTAGACTCTTACCTACTGCTGTATGTGTTGGTTGCTGGGTTCCACATGGACTGATGACATGTCATCCAGTCTGCCCACACTTTCAAACTGGGCAGCAGATCTTGTAGCTCAGGATTAGGTCTGCCCTCTGCTAAAACAACGTCATTCAGTATAATAATATAATAATTATCATAATGAGCATTTTGAAATATCCTTCATGACATAGAATAGGGTTGTATCTTGTAAAATGAAAGCAGAATTGGGCTATAAGAAATGTTGCTGTGTTTCTCTCGTTTTCTGTTTTGTCACCATGCTTGTTTTTTTTTTATAAAAAGACCTCTTGCCTAATTATGTAGACTGAAGAAGACCACTTTTCCTTAGTCCTCAGGGGTCGTCTTAGACAAGTTTCATATTTGGTTTATGGTTGATTAAAAGAATAAAAACATTCGCAACAGTGCTGAATTGCATTTTTTTCTACACAAAGTCACAAACACAGCCTAAAAATATTGTCAGGACTTACACATAATACACTACACATTACAAATTAGAGTAAAAAACCGGGACAATTACTAGTATCTCAACTCTCTATTATAACCTGTTGTATTCTGTTATATATTATATCTACCTTGTTCACTCTCCCTGACTCTCTGTTGCTGTAGATTGTGAGCTGCAGTAGTGACCAGAAGACCAAACATGTCCATCCCCAGTCTCACAGCACACTCCTCTACAGGAGACATGCTTCCTTCTGTCCAGCCTTCTGAAGTAGCACCTTGTTCATAATATTAGATAGAAACAAAATGTTGATAGTGGATATAATGCTTGCAATGTTAACAGTACTTTTTTTCTATGAGATTGAAATGCATTAAAATTGAATAAGCCCTTGCAGTGTTCGAAATACCTGTCTGCAGTCTGCAATCTGCAGATAGATTTTCAAGATTGCAGAAGAAAAATTTATACAATCTGCAATTTTGCAGCAGGAAAAATTGGCACTTGGGGGATTTGACGCTTTTGGGGCCAAGGACAGTTAAGCTCCTGTTCTGAAACAACAGGAGCTTCTTCACTAATTTGCATCAACCTTGTCTTGACTTGTTTATCTTTTGTTTCCTTTTCTTCTTTGTTTCTTGTTTATCTTTTGTTTTCCTTTTGACTTCCAAAAATTTGTCTTCACTAATTTGCATATCAATCAATAGTTCATGCTTATAAACCTGCAAGATTGTAATATGGAGGCTTGTGTATTTGCAGAAAGTATTTCCAAATTGCAGGACAAAATTTTTACTCTTCTGCAATATTGCAGAGCACTGAAAAAAAGTATTTCGACCACTGCCTTGTAAGACATCCGATGCAATTTCATACCAGCAAAACTGCATTTTTTAAGTGAAGTTTCTGGTCAGTAAGTTCAATAAACCCTATCCCATATCATAATCATTACCTCCATGAAAAATGGAGGTATTGTTTTTGGCGTGTCTGTCTGTATGTCTGTGTGCCTGTGTGTGTGTCTGTCTGTCTGTCTGTGTGTGTTTCCGCAACTTTGTAGTCAGCATAACTTCAGAACGCCTTTATGGATTGTGATGATATTTGGTATGATGGTAAGTCTTATGAAGACAAAGGTCAAGGTCGAATATGGGCCTCCTGACGGATGACCTTGTTAATACATGTATCTGTGACGTAAAAAATGTGATGTCACTGACGGAAAATGGATGCTTTTTTGTATTGTAGGTGGTTCTAGCTATTTATTGGTGGTAACAAAAAATAAAGGAACTCATTACATAGCTTGTATCAGGGCTATTTCAAATGTTTTGTGTATGAAATGATTACGAAAAAGTGAGAAAGAAATGGCAGTGACAGTGAATGTCAATATCAGACAGGATTTTTCATTTAAAATATTTTTTGTTTTGGCGCCCTGAAATCACATTGGATACCTTTTATAAACTCCTAAATAATATGTTTAGGCCCTGAAGTCAGTCTACTGCTATCTGGATTCAATACATCTGAAAATAGTTTCATCAGGTTGGTACAGTATAGGATACAGGAGTTTTCTTTTACACATTCAACCAAATCTCTCACCTAAAGTGCTGACGTTTCGGTGTCTATCAGACATCTTCCTCAGAGCTTCTGACTGCTCATTTATATGTATTACAAGCTTTTGACTGTGTGATAGACAGGGGAGGGGGCCAAGGTCATTGATAGAGAAGACAACAGGATAATCTGATTAAAGAAGCAGTCTGGATAAGGAAGTCACCCCAGTGATGAACCGGGACAAGGGAGGGGGGACGTACAAACTCCATGTTTGGGATTGTGTTCTTGCCGCAAAAGCGAAACCTACGTCGGCAACGTATAGCGTCGAGAAGCAGAACTCCAGTCAGAAGCTATGAGGAAGGTGTCTGATAGAGACCAAAACTTCAGAACTTTAGGTGAGAGAATTGGTTGTGTAAAAGAAAACTCCTGTATCCTAGACTTAATACAGTATGACAAATCAAAGAAGTGCCAATTTCTTACAGTTGCTGACAGCAAACATGTTGATCCCCATGACTTGTAGCAGTTTGGTGTTTCCTATAGATGAAGGTGAGTTCTGCAGGAGGGTCTGGAACTCATGGAGGGTCTGCTGCACTACTGCTGAGAAGGTCTCCATTCTTTATGAAAAATACAAAACAAGGCATTAGAGCATCCATGAATAGTTTCATCAGGTTGGTAAGACACTGAGTAAAGAGACTCTTTTTACACAACCGTTACGTTGAAATATACACCAGGAACACTGAAACTCACCCAGTCTTTGTGAAGAGTTTTCCATGTGTGTGAAGGAAATTCAGCTCAAAACTCTTCAGCAGCTGCAAGGGCAAGACAAACTAATTATCATAACGCAAGAAATTGGACTTAACCAAAATTTAAACTGTGTACAACTCCAATCTTTATCCAAGAATGAACAATTACTAGTACATATTCACCTTGGTGACATCACATTATGCAGATGACGCACGTGACTCAGTAAGCAGTGCACCATAGGTTTTAAAAAGTCTGTGGCACTCTCTGTGGCACTTTCTTATGGGATTTGGTCTCATTGGATAGTTTACATTGAAAGTAAAAATCTTTTTTACACAGAGTATCCAGGCACTGCAAGCACATCCCTTGACAAAGACAGGAGTGCCATGTTTCTGCAACTTACATGAACATAGTTACATCAAAAAGATAATCTCTTCCTGGTTTTATGTGAGCATCTTATGAGTGCACCCATTCTCAGTTTATTTCCAAGCAAATGCATATAATGTTTACCTTCGGACATGGTCTGCTCTGTTACTTTTTACTCAAACACATTCACATACATGTACATGTACTACGAGTATATGGTGACAGGAGTACATGTAGAGCAGACCATGAAATTGCAACATTATGTAACCCAACACCAGTCACCATGGTGACAGACGTCAACAAATCATGTCATTGGTCAGGTCAGAGGTTAGTGTTTGGAATAGAAGAGGAGAAAGAAACTGAGTAAAAACAATATGTTTTTCTTTGGTAAACATAATGAAAACCTACTTCAGTTGGTGTTCTTGCACTTGGTTGTACGCCCGTGCTGGAAACAACGCTCTTCTTCTGCCCTGTCCTGAGCTGAGGAGGGAGGATCCAGACTTCTCTCCTCAGGGGAGATGACTTCTCAGGGTAGTGTCTTCCACTTCTCACCTTCGGCCATTTTGCACAAGCCTTCCCCTGCTGACTGTCTTGAGTGGTCTTCTTCTTTCCTTCCATCTGAGTTACCTGAAGTGTAGTTTTCAAAGCAAAGTTGTGATTGTATACTCAAAGTATACAGCAATGGTGATGGTACAAAATTAAGGTATAGAATACAACGTGGTGTATTCCGTATTACCTGAGGTACCAGCCAAACCGCTGGTCTGATCACCCAACTGCCAAAGGCTGGAACCTAGGGTTATATATATGAAACACACGCCTTTCGATGTAAAATATTGAAATTTGGTGTCCCTAAGCAAAAAATGCAGCAACATCAAATCCAACATTCAAATCCGGTGTTCAAATTTTGACCTAATCATGAGCTACAAATGCAAAAGTGGTGCTTGTGGCTCAGACAGAGGCCTAATGTGACAAGCTAAAAGAACCCTGGAATATACTGCTAGTTATCACATGGGCTGGTACACCTGTATCAAACGTTATCAAGGCCCATGTATGAAAAATCTAATATATCATATAGCCAGAAGACGTCAACCAATAAGAAGTCCCCATTTCATACTGGTTATGGTGCAATAACCTTATCATTAGTGATTAAATCCCAAATATTGTGGTGTTTAAGTCCCATAAACCACACAACCAATAGAGTCCCCCAATTCACAGCATTCTAGGCATGATCTGGTATTGAGATCAGACAACACCTTTTAGTGGAAAATTATTTTGCCAACCATCTTTGCGGAAAGTGTGCACCACAATGTGCAATTTTATCTTTAAGAAGTAGAACTGCATGTAACATCTGTGTCCATAATATCACCAGGGTCCATAATATCACCACCTTGAGAAACAGTGTGCTTAAAGATATTTTTACTGCAACATACTTTTGGTATGCACTCCTGCACACCTCAAATGTACATAACTAGGGTATGTTGCAGTAAAAATATCTTTAAGCACACTGTTACTCAAGGTGGCGATATTATGGACCCTGGTGATATCATGGGCACAGATGTTACATGTAAATAGACATGACTACATGTACATAGACATGAGGGTAAGAGAACCATGTACAATACCTTTCTTCGCACCTCCTCGAACAGAGTCATGAGGCTCTCCCTGGCAGTCACAAACGGGTTACTTGCTGCCAGGCTTCTCATGTAGAAGTAAACTGCATCCATTTTCCTTCTCTACATAAAAAAATGTCAGCAGTACCAAGTAAATTAGGTCATCAGGATAATATTCTTTATAATAATCACACCTGTCCTTGGTGCTAAACACCATCTGCACACAGATACACATGTATGTGCTGAACACCATCCACACAAAGGCAAACACACCTGTCCTTGGTGCTGAACACCATCCACATAGAGGTGAACATGCCTGTCCTTGGTGCTGAACACCATCCACACACAGATACACATGTATGTGCTGAACACCATCCACACACAGGTAAACATGCCTGTCCTTGGTGCTGAACACCATCCACACAGAGGTAAACATACCTGTCCTTGGTGCTGAACACCATCCACACACAAGTAACACATTTGTCCTTGGTGCTAAACACCATCCACACACAGGTAAACATGCCTGTCCTTGGTGCTGAACACCATCCACACATAGGTAAACACACCTGTCCTTGGTGCTGACCACCATCCACACACAGGTAAACACACCTGTCCTTGGTGCTGACCACCATCCACACACAGGTTAACATACCTGTCCTTGGTGCTGAACACCATCCACACACAGGTAAACACACTTGTCCTTGGTGCTAAACACCATCCACACACAGGTTAACATACCTGTCCTTGGTGCTGAACACCATCCACACACAGGTAAACACACCTGTCCTTGGTGCTGAACAACATCCACACACAGGTAAACACACCTGTCCTTGGTGCTGAACACCATCCACACACAGGTGAACACACCTGTCTTTTGTGCTGAACACCATCCACACACAGGTGAACACATTTGTCCTTGGTGCTGACCACCATCCACACACAGGTGACATGAATTTGGCAGGATATCATAGTCAGGTATAGATAAAGGGAAAAAATAACTTACCGTGTATATTGCCAAGATGGCCAGCTGGTTGTACGGATGGCCATTGTTGGGATACAGACGCTGAGCTTTCAAGTAGAAGCTGATGTGGCAAGAAAAGATTACAACAAATTGAATGTAAAAAATCTGAGACAAAAAAATGTATGCAGGCATGGCAAAAGTAAAGAATGTGAAAATACCAGAAAAAATAATTTCATTGAAGGGGCCCGAATGTTCAGAAAATTGACTGTGAAAATCCAGTTTGCACTGATAGAATCCTTTGTTCATAAATGGTCTAAAAATGTTTGTTCTTATAAGTTACCTTCTTGCCTTTCCAAAGTTGGAGGACCCAGTAGCCTGTTCCCTGTACCGAGAGATGTCTCCTAGACAGATCAGGAATCTCTGTGCAATCAGCAGAGCTAACTTCACCTGTGGTAGTGACACACATCAAACATCATACACAGGTGTGTCCACATACAAAATGTATTATATGTGTTTTTTTTGCCATACACTGTATGTGTATTTGTTCCTGTATACATGTACATGTATTGTGTGTATGTGTGTATGAATGAATGAATGAATGATTGAGACTTTATTTTCGTGTCATGCGCTTTCCCGCGCCCAGCCTGTGTGGGTTTATATGACACCGATTCAATAAATTATACATAAACAAAAGAGAATCAAAGGTACACATAACAGAATCCAAACAAAATATGAACACAAATAAAGGTAGGCTATATACAATAATGGTAAACAATGTGAACTCATAACAGATCGTAAATGCAAATAAACAAATCTGTACATATAGTGAACCAAGATCTCACAAAATAAGTACATAAGGTAAATCAAACATAATAAGAGAAAACAAATATGCAGAAGTAACAAAAAGTGAAAACTGTTGATGTGTATGTGTGCTTGACAAGTATACATTTATGTGTGTGTGTGATTGCCTGTATATGCATGTGTGTGTGTGTATGTGTGTGATACATGTATGTACAAACATGTGTATGTGCTGTATATGTGTGTGACTGGTGCTTGTATGCATATGTGCATGTGCCTGGGCATGAGGGTGCATGGGTTCTTAACTTTAACTTTTCCAAGCAAGTAAAAATAAAATTGTAAGACCACAGCACAACTCACATTTCTATGTGGCAGCTCAGTTCTGAGATGACAGGTGTAGGCGTCCAGGTCAAACTGGTGATTCCTTTGCAGTTTTTGGAGCAGATCAGTGTAGAATGAAGCACCCTACAGAAACACAAGTTAGTATAATGTTTACTACATCTAAAAGCTACATTATGTAACATATGTGAATAGTTTCATTAGGTTGATAAGACACAGAATTGCCCTGAGGAAGGTGACAGACGGTCACCAAAACGTCAGATAAATAAAAGACTTGGCTGTGTAAAAAGAGTCAATTTTCTGGTTATTTCTTTTTAAATTAAGTTAAACCCTATTCTATTGAAACTCAGTACCAGTCAGAAAGTGGAGATAGGAATATCTTCATACCAGTAAAGTTGGCCCACAAACATGCCCCAAAACACTTTTCACCTCCTCTCAAAAACCAGTCCAACATTGCAAAACCTCCTGTGTCCACACCCAAATGTTTCAAACATTTTTAAACATTCAGCTAACACCATCAAACAGTAACAGACCTCACTGAACACCAACCAACAACAGCTGACCTTGCTCCAACCCTCTCCTAACTATGGTTGGAGGACCGTGAATAATTTCATCAGGTCGGTAAACAACTGAATAACAAAGTTCTTTTTATCACAACCATTTATTTTTCACTAGCCGACATTTCGATGACCGTCTGTCATCTTCATCAGATTGACTGGTTTACTGTGCACTGACTGGTTTACTGTGCACTGACGCTAGCTGTTACTTGGTGTATAGCGCACAAGTAACAGCTAGTGTCAGTCAGTGCACATGATTGTGATAAAAAGAACTATGGTTGGAGGAGTTTGGTAGTGTTCAGCTATGTGACAGGGGCTTATATTACTAGTACATCTGAAAGTAGCAGTAGGTTATAGAATTACAGTACCTTGTCAATCAGTGTAAGTACATTGTGAAGACCTCCCTCCATCTGGTGGCCTGGTAAGTGTCCACGGAAGGCTTCAATGATGTTGTAGAAGGCGTTCTTCCACAGAGTCTGGTCAATGTTGTGTTTGCTGGCAAATTCTGGGTCCTGAAGGATCACTGCTTCATAGCAGGTTTGTATCTTTGACCTGTACAAAAAACAAACAATTACTAGACTTTTTTTTTATTAATATCTACATTAGCATATGAAGTTGCTTAGGCAATGTTTTAGCTCAAAATACCACCTGGTTAGTGGTGTGCAGGTGGCTCTGATGTCTACAATTTACCTGCACTTAACCTAAACCAATTCATGCTGAGTTTATATCTACATGTACATATGGTATGTGTAGAATTTTATCACCTGTATTGACTGTCACCATCTATGGAATGTAAAAAAAAACAATGACCATAATTTCTTAACAACTTTTCGAAGTCTGAATTGTGCAGGTAAAATGTGTCTGGTGCAGATAATTTTCAATGTTACCTACACTAGCCAACCTTGCTCCCGACCTACTCCTAACTATGGTTGGGGGGGAGTTCAGCTGAGTCTTCTGGCAGCCATATTCAGCCATAATATGACAGGGGCTTTATAAGAGATGTTCATGCTTTTGTTTGATGGTTGTTTGTTTGTTTAGGATTGATATCTCCATTAGTGTGAATTTCCCACTACTCTTCCTGGAGTCTGTTGTGAATAGTCAGGTAAGTACTAGTCTAGTATTTGGACCATTGCACACCTGGGCACGCCCCTATTTTTTATTAAAGTGTGGTGGGATCTTTAACGTACATAGGGTGTGGCTCTCTCAAACACGTGACCTCCATTTAATGTCCTATCTGAGGGATGTCCCTAACGGAAGCTAGGTACTCATTTTAACCTGAGTGAAGTGAAAAAGTCGACTGTGTTAAGTGCTTTTTCCAAGGGCATAAGATCGGTGACATGGACAGGATTCGAGCCCGTAACCTCTTGGTTCAAGGCTGAGCACGCTACCGCTATGCCACACGACCCCACAAGTGATAAACAAATCTGTACTTACTGCAGATGTAAGGTCAACTCCACATGCTTCTCATCAGGAGGACCCTGGGACAGATGGAGCCTGAGGTCTGCTGCCAGTGCCTCTGCCTGCTGTAACACTGCCTGCCACTTCTGACTCTCTGGTTCTGTAAACTCATGGTCATCTTCACTTGTTGAATAGCAGATATTATGTACATCATGATGACTAAATCTATATGTAGGAAGCCTGTCCCTGCTATTGTTACTGTGCACACATGCTGCACTTCTTGAAAAACTATTATAATGAGACTGAGAAGACTGATAATGTTGCTGATTTCCAACAAGCATGCCGCGTTCAGACTTGGTTGTTGTATGATGGAAACTTTCCATGGGTTTGTGAGGGTCAAACAGTCGCTTGCTGTCATTACACGTTCTTGTTTCCTGCTTGTCCGATTGTTGAGTGTGCAGTCCTGGAGGGAGGTGTATGATCCCTCTGCTGTGTACATTTTGGTGACTTCCCGTAGATGCTCTTTCAGGCTGACTTTTTGAGGTGGAAGGTCGCACTTCTTTACTCTGTGGGTTATCATACGAGTGGTCATTCGAACTTGCATCTTGTTTTCCTGTTTTGCGTCTACCTGCAAGATTTGAGACATTAGCGGGAGAGTCTTCATTTGGAGAAGTACTAAAGTGTACATGTCCTGTTTTGGCTTGCTTTCTGTGACCAGTTCTAGAGACAGATCCTTCAGCTGTCTTTCTGTTCAAATCCTCTCTAGATCCACCTGCAGATTTTGCAACACTAGTGGGAGGGTCCACATCTGTATGAGTACTAAACTGTACTGTTTTGGCATGGTTCCTATTAGTATTACCACTTCTACGGTCAGACGCTTTAGCTTTCGTTTTGTTTAACTCTTCTCTAGATGCACCCGGACACTTTGTAACATCAGTGGGAGAATCTTCTCTTGTAGAAGTGCTAGATTGTCCTGTTTTTGCATGGTTCTTGTCACTTCTACAGTCAGATATTTTAGCTGTCTTTTTCTTCAACTCTTCTCTAGATCCACCTGCACACTTTGTAACATCAGTGGGAGAATCTTCTCTTGTAGAAGTGCTAGACTTTCCTGTTTTGGCACGGTTCCCTTGACCGCTTTTACGATCAGATCCTTCAGCTGTCTTTTTCTTCAACTCCTCTCCAGCTTCACCTGCAAACTTTTCGACATTTGTGGGAGAATCTTCTTTTCTAGAGGCGCTAGACTGACGTCCTGTTTTGGCTTGGTTACCATGACCAGTTTTACAGTCAGATCTTTCAACTTTCTTCTTGTTCAAATCTTCCCTAGGTTTCCCTGAGGTTGATGCGTCATCAGATGTATCTTTTGCTAAAACTGTTTCCTCTGGGGTCAAGGAACAACTACAATCTCTGTTACGTTTGCTATTTCTTGTAGTTTCATCTCTGCAACTTCTGTGCTGAAAATCAGAGGCCAGAACATCTTCTGATACCTCATCTTTGTCACCAGAGGTATTCAAGACCTCACATTCTGTGTCTGTCTCCTTTTTTCTCGTTGTTTTACCCCTTTCAGGAGTAACTTTGCTGGAACTGTCATTCTCGTGGTCTGTGGATCCACTCTTCTTCCTGGCTAGTCTGCTGACTCCAGGCTGGTAGATGGCCATAGCAGGTCTCCTGGGTGGCCTCCTGACCTGGTCTGTGTTACCGGCACTGGAACCTGAAACAAATTTTAAAGGTGCACACTTAAGTCAACTGGTTTAGGTTAGCCTAGGAAAAAATGTCGTGTTTCCTGTTTCAGTCCTAAAAAAATTAGGGTCGGTAGGTAGGGATTTTCTTTTTTTTTTTCTTTTTTTTTCTTCTTCAGAAGATAGGGGTCCAACTTATAATATATACAATGCAGTTTAACAAAGTAAAAATTGCATGAGGACACTTTTATTTTCAATGTCAATGTTAGGAAACCAATTATTGTACAACGTTTTATCACTCAGGTGTCAGATCATTGTGCTAGAAAAGGTTGATCAGCTCGAAAAATTAAATTTTTATATCCCTTGCCAGGATTTACCCCCTGAAAAAGTCTAGGGTCGGCAGGGAAACACAACATTTTTTTTCTAGGGGTAGGTAGGCAGCGGTTTTAATTTTTTTACTTTCACCACAAAGACCACTTCTTTTAAAGCAACCAAGCTGCTAGAGAGTCTGAATTCACAACAGTTTTTTTCCATGCAAAAGAGCTATCTACCGTATATACTTTCGCATGTAGACACACACTCACACACAAGCACACATAGACACACACACACACACACACACACACACACGTGCGCGCACGCACGCACACACAGACACACACAGACACACAAACACAGACACACACACACACACACACACACACACAAACACACACACTAACACACAAAAATACACACACACTCACTCACACACACATGAACACACACGTACACACACACACACACACACAAGAGTACACACACACAGTGGCACACACACACACAAACACACACACACAGAGACACACACACAAACACACACTCACACACACACACACGAAAACCCTTGCGAAAACCTATCAACCTTCTTGTAGACTTCTGAAGTAGGGTAATATAATAATTTAGAATTTTGAAATACTTGGTGGTTGTTTGACTGGTTGTTAACTGTTATTATCATCATAGTTGAGTGCATGGGGAATGCATGGAGAGGCTCCATCTCTGATTTTATGACACAAAATATATATGCTATTAACAGTAGTCCTATTAATTATCAAGTCCTAGTAATAAATCTTTTTCGATCCATGCACCCGCGCTTAACCTTACGCGTATTAAAACTGCTGCCAGCGTCACACACATAATTATTTTGACTTACCACCATGACTGGAGGGTACAGAGTTTCCTGAGGAAGCTTTAGTCGTGTGACATTGTGCTGTCTGCTGTAACTGTTCTTCACTTATTCTCACTACACGGAGACTGGAAACATCATCAGCCATCTTCGTGTGGAAACATGAGCATACCTTATGTTTCCGGGTCAAAGTTCAGTTTAAGTTGGCGGGGTATTGGTGGGTTTACAGAAAGGGCAGGGTGTGACAGGCCAGGCTGGTTAGCCAACTGTTTACCTGGGGCTGGCTAGCAGTGTGTCAGACTACTCATAAAAATTCCCTCCCATTCATATGATTATCCAATCGAATGATGACACACCTATTAGTATGTAGTGCAGCTGCGCCCTCTAGCAGAATGTATCATGATTGCTTCCTTCATACTGGGAAGCGGGCCAGATAGATTACATCAGGGAGACATAACCGCACTCCTCTAGAACAAAGAGCCTGTCAATTCTGTAGTTTAGGCCAAATAGAAGATGAAATACATTTCACCATAGATTGTCCCTTGTATAGTAGTGTGTCTTGTGTGTCGCTAATGGAGTTTAATAAAGCACATAAAGCACATAGACTCATATTTTTTAGCCATGTATTAAGTATATTTCCCCACTTCAGATATTTGACTAGTAAAGAGAAATTTGTATTAGTTTTTCCCTGGAAATAAATTAAACCTACTCTAAGTAATCTCACAGCCGCATATATCCATACAATCACTACTGAGCGAGGTGAAGCCGACAAGAATAGAAATTTAATAGACATTTATTTACACTCTTGTATGTTCATATGTATGTAATGTATATGTTTATGTTCATGTTCTGTACCCATTCGAACTGTACTTAGTTCTGTAGAACACAAATGTACAATAAAGGTCTTCATTCATTCATTATAGTACTTGATACACATGATTTCTCTTCAAGTTGGCATTTCTTCATTTCTATTTTGCACAAAACTGATCCACTACCTAAGCTTCCCTTGTTTCTAAAGCGTAATTCCATTTTAATAGTAGATAGCAAAAGCATCATCACGGTGTTCAGCTCAGACACCTTTACTCAGTAGTAACTTACATGTAGCTTGTTAACGTTAGATTAATAACACAGGCCGCCTCTATACCTATACTCATCTGTTACCTAATAGTATGTTAATTTACTATTACTGAAGTATCTGATTTGTAACCGACGTTGTTAATTGTTTAATTGCGCTATACGGCCTCAAGCCATTTCATGATTACTTCTAATCAGTAAACGCACTGTATAGGCACCAATCTAAGCCGACTCGGCCGATCGAACAAACATGCTATACATTTGCAATTCCATAACCACTTTTACAACCTCAAACCTGACGTACGTATTTCTGTTCAAGTTCAGCACAATTTCCACCTCGCCGTTGTGCAATCGACTCCACTACTAGCCAGCATGTCTTGATACACCTGATGGCATAGTACGTACTGGTGAATAATGTACACACAGACCACGGCACCAGTATACCTGCGAGAGCGGCAAAGTCCATTTTTACAGTCAAGGCCGTGCGATGCGCACGTGTATGTGTGTTAGTGGTTTAGCACGGTAACTCGATAACTCGGTACTACAAGTATTAGGTCTCGAAGAGAACTCAAAATTCGATTGGATAGTCCGCTCTACGAAGCGGCTATATGTATAGCGGACCCTGTGGGATTATGGTGAAACTTTTTTTCCTCGACGTAAATTTGGGATCTCAACCCAAACAAGAGGGCAGTGATTACAAATGGTACGAAGATAGTATGGGGGGTAGTGATTACAAATTACTTAAAATTTTCGCCGCCGATTACGAATCACGTTAGTCTCGGAGCTTACGACTTTACAAGTTGCGGATATAATGTACTTTTACGAATTACGTTAATTTTTGAGGAGGCTGCCTACGGATTACGAAGACTAAAAAGGCCTGAAATTTACGAAAAAGGGCATGCAGGCCCTCAAACAAGGCCTTTATCCCGGAGAGAAACCACCACTCTACCGCTCGTACAAACAAACGTTGCCCCACTAGAGAAGTCTGACCAGGAGGCTAGTCAGTTCCACTGTTTTAAAGGTTACAGACTATATTTATCAGACAATAAATTTGTAAAGTACAAAGTTCAAACTAAAGTGCGCAGCGACTGTGCCAGTTGGAACAGACTGGAAAGACGAGATGCTGACCGTCCTGCTTGGCGTGTGTTTGGTCATAGTGTCAGTCGCCATGCTTCTACAGGCCACTGCCAGGCGAAGGTAAGACTAAGAATGAAGGACGCTGTTTCTGTACCCAGACCCTGGAAGCCGAACTCGTTTCGGGCCGCTAACCCATTCCCTCCTTTCCCCGCCTGTCTAAATTACCGCTACGGGGCTAGGGCCGGACAAATTCTCCTGGGCTAAACTTGACTCCCCCGTAGCGGTAATTAAGACAGACGGGGAAAGGGATCTTAGCTGCCGAAGGAAAACGGCTTACGGCCCGATACTAGTTTGGCACCCAGGGTACTGTTTCTATAAATCCAACAATGATCTACCAACAAGAACACTAGCATCAAACAAATACTTAATTGCATTTACTGTAGGTGTGCAAAGGTTAGGTGTAACAGGTTGCTCCGTGTAATATGCGGCAGCTGTCACCGTACCTCATTCGCAGACTTTTTTATAGCCTGGTGTCAAGTCTATCGCGGTTGGGTCGGATTATCTTCGGGGCTGCAGACACTTTTCCACGCCCGACCAAGCAAGGCTCCCCGGTAGTTTTTGAACGACAGGAGTACAGGTAGCCTGGCTGTGGGTGTCCATATGAAATGACTTCTCATTATCTATTGCATTGCTCTATATACGCCTACATTGTACCAGCGCTCAGTCCTTTTCGGCAAGCTCTCAAGCATTCTCAAACATAACCAGGATAACAAAAAACAAAATCGCATATAATCGCTACCCAGGCAACCTCCTCCTTCCCCACCCAGAAACACACACACACACACACACACACACACACACATACATACGTTGGTTATTACCTGCGAAGCTAGTGTGTTACAACAGAGGGCGGTAATACAGGCTATATACAGCGGCAAATTAGTAACAAAACGATTCAAGTTATAAAACGTTGGTCATACTTTGGTCATACTTTGGTCACTTTGGTCACCGTAAATGCCCCCCCCCCCCCCACATACACACCTTTTCCGAAATGGACCAGGTGAAGCTCCGCTGGGGCAAGGTCCACTTCCGTGCCTCCACGTCACCTTGGAGTTTTCCCAGAGCCCCTGTTGGTTCACTTCGTGTCACAACTTGTGCTGTGTTGTTCATGAGAAGTTTCAAGACGACAAAGCAAGAGTATTCTTGTTGACGAATCTTTCAGATATTGACATTTACTGCTATTTAATAGCACTTTTTTGGCCAAAGGTACGCGAGGCATCTCTTTATTTGGGTACCGCCAATAATCAGCCAGAACCAGCCTACGCACAAAACAAGCAACCGTTTTCCGTCAGTGACATCACATTCTTACTCACAGATGTCAGTATGCTGTGGGATAGGATTGATTCAACTACATCAAAAGGATGACCAGCTGCAGAAATTTGGCTTTGAAAATCGCATTGTATGCCTTTGATAGGTTGTTCGACCTTGAATGATACCCTTTGTGTCGTGTGTCGTATGAATCGATATGGTGCTCCGCTCAGAACCAAGAGGTCCCGAGTTCGAATCCTACCATGCTACTGAACTTGTGCCCTTGGGAAAAGCACTTAAAACGACTCTCCTCACTTAACCCTAAACAGTACACCTGGGGTCCGCGCGGACCCCAGCACTATATATGCTGTAATATCTTTTTTGTTTCTAAAGATTTTTTTCTGAAATTTTAGGTAATTGTCACCCACAAAGTTGTCTCTCAATACAGTGCAGAAAACTCCGTTTCTACCATTTATAAAAAAAATTATATCTAATTTTCTTTTGGGGTCCGCGCGGACCCCAGCCGGTTTTCGATCACAATGGATACACTGGCGTTCTTATACATTACCTTATTTCTGTTTTTATATGTTTTTATGCACTCATCGTATGTCTACCAAGTTTTCAGAGAATGGTGTAGTAATAGAATTAAATTTTGATAACTTTGGTGTAATTATGACGTCATATGACGTCAGAGCTAATAATATAGTCCGCCATATTGGATTTTGACCAATGACGTAATCAAATTAGCATATTCTATGCATATTAAATGATTTAACTTATATTTAATTATGTAAGATGTTATTAATGTTGGAAAAGAAGTGTAATTTAATATAAAACTAATATAACATTTTTATGTTTAAACCAAAATTACTTCTATTTTCAAAAAAACTGCCTGCTAGAAACCCGTTGCCATGGCAACACAAAAAACATCAACTTACTAGTATTAAACTAATATGAGCTTTTTTCCAGAGACATTTTAGGAAAGGTCTCCAAATTTGATACTTCTAGCGCAAGCCGTTTAGCCGCTATCTGAGATCAAAGTTGGGCCTCAAAAGCCCCTTCAGTCTGAAATGGGTTTAAAAATCGGGTATTTCTTCTTGTCTTCTTTTCTTCACCAAAAAGTAGAAAAAGTTCAAAATGTATGATTTTTGTATTTTGAAACAATTGAGCTGGTAGCATGTTGATAATTTCTAAAAATTAGCAAAAAAACTGTTCTGGGGTCCGCGCGGACCCCAGGTGTACAGATTAATCAGTCCGGGAAGGTGTTCTGTTGAGGGTTAAACTGAAAATGAGCATTATGTATTGTCCTCTGAGTTGGTGGCGGCATAAATGTAGGTCACCTGAGGTCACTGGGGCGGGTTCACGTTCTATCTGGGTCACAGGCAGGGAAGAGGTGTTTTTATGCGCGTCACCAGAGGTCATTGGAACACAAGTTATTTTTGGATTTTTAAGAAGAGAATCGGGTTCTATATGGGTCACCCAAGGTCATATGCGGGTGATTATTGGGTCGTTTAATGTATGGATTGGGATGAATAAATACCCGGTTTTGACTCCATTTGCGACATTACGGCGTCATAAGGAATGTGGAATGGAGCATTCTGATTGGACAACGTCACCCGGCTCTATGATAATTGGATTTAAAAAATAATTCCCCAGGAGACCAGGTGAACCTCCGTTGGAGCGAGGTCCGCTTCCGTACCTGGGCGTCGCCCTGGAGTTCTCCCAGAATCCCCTGGGCTTCATCACCTCCCGGTGGAAGAAGTATGGCGACGTCTTCACCGTGCGGCTGGCCGGACACTACACAACATTCGTACTGGATCCGCACTCTCTCACACATGCTATCAGGAACAGTAGGTCAGTGTGTGTGTGTGTGTGTGTGTGTGTATGTGTGTGTGTGTGTGTGTGTGTACAGGTCACAACAAAACAAGATGAACGGATACAGTTAACAGATACAAAAGAGACTAACTCTGGTTATACAATATCAGGAAAGTCCATCTGTGTTGGTAATTACATGTTTAGAGTTAAAAGGTTTGATCCAACACAGAGAGTTCTCTAACCTATAGAGCTTTCCACCAGTTACTCCGGTCTTCCTCAGTAGAATGACCCAGCTGAGGCTTGTCACGTGGCTTCTTTGAAGTGTGACGTCAACACTGGGTCAAAGGTATCTGGTAGACAATGTCCATTGTTTACGGTTACCGTAGTAGCATCATAGCAGACGACCAGACAGCCATTTGTGGGCATCCAAATTCCATTTCAGCGAGAAAATCTGTCTGATATTGACATTTAATGCCCGATTACTCCAATTTTTGTTATCATTTCGTACCTCAAGCGTTTATTCTGCTTGTATCAAGTTATTTTACTAGTAATTTTGTCTGCATGATACATCTTTGCCCATGCTGCCAACAGTGTTACAACTTCACGGAGATTTGCGACCTATGGACTCTTGTTGCTGTTATATTTTAGGGTTCTGGACTTTCGACTGTTTTCGTTGGAGTTGGGTAGCCGCGCTTTCGGCACGACGAACCTCTACGGCACGTCACGTGACTGGATCCGAGTCGACAGCGATGCGCTATACCACAAGGAACTACAAGGGCAAAATCTGGATAAAGTTACAGACGTATGTATACATTCTTACAATATATCAATCTGTGAAAATTTCTGGTAAAAATTTTTTTCTTAATTTGTCAAGTATCTGAAGTGAGGAGATTCATTTAAAACGTGACCGAAAAGTAGGCGTCTATATATCACTGTCATATAAAGGACAATCTACGAAAATGTATCTCGTCACAGTCGACTTTGCTCCTTACCTACTCCTAACCTTGGAGGGAGCCTGGCCAGTTTTCAGGGAGGCTATATTTTCGGTCCAGTCAGAAGCTCTAAGGAAGGTGTCTGATAGACACCGAAGCGTCATGCCCGAAGTCAGTTCGAGGCTCAAAGGTCTACTTTTTGGTCCGCTGTTTATCTAAAGGTCCAAGATTTTTCTTTTAAAAAATGGACTGATTCGTGTCACCAGCGGGGCTGCAATCGTATAAAAACTGCTTACTTTGTCATTGAATAAAAAGTTATCTCTGATTTTTTCTTTAAAATCCTCTCAAAAAGCAGGAAATGCTATTTCAGAAGGTTCATTTTTCATAATTTCCAGGGGAGCATGCCCACTAACCCCCCCCCCCCTTCAAAATCCTGGCTACGAGCATGAGGTACATGTAAACACTTAGGTGAGACAATCTTATTTGTGTAGAAGAAAACTCTGGAACCTGTATATACTTGATGGAACTATTTCCGAACGTCCGTCCCACTGTTGCAGGTGATGATGGGTAACCTCCAGTCTGCCATGTTAGCCGCCACGGACGTGCAGCAGGAGTGGAACAGAGGAGAGCTGTGGGCTTTTGTCTACAGGATCATGTTCAGCGGTAAGCGTGGTCAAATACATGTTTGTACATCGATGTCCCTATTAAACGACAGAAAATATGTAAATATTGTACAGGAAATGCAGTGGAGGATGACATGCACTTTTTTGTCATTGCCCTCATTATAGCACCGAAAGAGATAAGTTATTTGAAATGGTCACCAAAATGTTCCCTAGCTTTATTCACCTTCCCAGCCTACAAAAAACTGCATTTCTATTAACATCTCCCAATTCATACATCTCACAAAATGCCGGCCATTTCATACTCCACTGCACAAGGAAAAGAAATCAAACCCAACAATAACTACAAAATTAATATATATCTTAAGTAGCACTAGCATTACTTATAATCATTTTGACTGTTTATTTTTGTTATCATGTTCTTGCAATTAGCCCTCGGACATGAATTTGCAATACATTCCCACTAATTAAAAGAGTTTTTTCATCGACAATATTGCTATATATTGTATCTTAAAGAAAAAAAATAGCACAGCCGTTTAGAAATAATAAAACCTTTAACGTCAATCGTTACAACTTAATTGTCTCTTCTTTTGTATCTAATTTTTACGTATTTAGTGTTTATGATTTTGTCAGTATGGTGGCTTTGAGAAAGAACACCTTTTTTATTTACTTATTAAGATAATAGTTCACCACAAAACAAGGCTCATGGGAGCCACTTAAATGCTTTGGGTTACTGTACAGCCAGTGAGGACATATGTTTGTTGACTTAAAAGTTTAAGGTGAAATCCATGTGGGGAACCATCACGTGGTAGCTTGTTCCATAGTGATGTTGTTCTAGGAAAGAAGTTTTCAGCGTGGAACTTCCTCCTAAGAGGTGGTGTATGGAGAAAGAAAGGGTGATTTGCTTCCGTAAAAGTTGCAAAGCGAGGTGGAGGCACTAGCCTATTTTATCATACCATGGAGGTAGAAAAAGAGAAGGAGGGAGCTCAAAATTTCTGCCTTTTGTCCGATGTTGGCCGCGGGCGTCAAAACTGTAATTGGCACGAACTTTTTTTCTACCTCCATGATCATACGGTCTACTGTGTTGGAAAATCATTATGGCAAATAAATAAATAGATAAACATTTTGCGTTTAACAGCATCTTTCAATACGCTGTTCGGGAGACACTTGGAGGACAGAGATGAGACGGCCAGACTGGTCCACTCCATGCAGGAGTTTCAGAAGTACGACAAACGGTTCCCAGAGATCATTTCGAACGTGCCGTGGTGGCTTCTGGGACACACCAGGAAACATTATGAATATCTGAAGGTTTGTTACATGTCCTTTTGCAGTCCAAAACGTGTACCATTCCAAAACGTGTACCATTCCAAAACGTGTACCATTCCAAAACGTGGTCCATTACAAAACATGTTTTGAAATAACATTAATTGGAATGTATTTTTTTTGTAACTGTTACTAGTATTTCAAAACGGTATCTATTTCAAAGCATTTCGTAATCTTTTTTGTTCTAACCTAAACCCTAATCTATACACATACGTACACATATATACAGACAGACAGACAGACAGACAGACAAGTACTTACTTGACAGATAACACAGTTTGATTTGATTCGTATAGAAAGGTAGGTAAACTACCAAACTTCAGCCAGACTTATGTTTAGAGAAGAAAAACATGTTGTTTTTGCTCAGATTCCTCTTCTACAAACACAAAAGGTCAATGACCTAAACCAGACGTCCGTGATCATGGTAACTAGTGTTTTGGTTTACATAATGTTGCAATTTTATAGCAGGAGGTATTTAGACATCTGTCACCATATATATGAATGTACTGGAGTAAGAATTAACAGAGCAGACCAAATGCGAAGGTAAACATTATGTATTTGCTTTGCAAATGTTACCTTTCTAGTTTGTTTTGGTTTTCCACGAAACATGTCAAGCAAATTACTTGGGCATTATGTTTTCTTGTGTATTTAGTCCATGGTGACTCCGGCCGAGCTCTGTCAGCGGGGCGTATCTGAGTTTATTCGGCTGCGGCAGGAGATCTACACCGACGGGAACCTGTCTGCTGACGAGAAGGCGGCCCTGAACTTCGGAACCATGTGGGCTTCGTTGGTAAGAATTAATTCATATGCAATGCAACTTCAGGGCGGTAAAATTGGATTTTCAAAGTCAATTTTCTGGTCAAAATGTTTGCGTTGAATCAATCCTATCCCATAGCATGCTGACTTCGGAGGCAGAACTGTGATGTCGCTGATGAAAAACAGTTACTTGTTTTCTATCTAGCCCTCCCAACTTGGCAGGAGGATTCGTGGGGTTGGAGGAAGCAGGGAAAAAAGGGATTCCTCATGTAGCTTGTTTAAGGGCTTTTTCAAACGCCTCAATTATGAAATAAAGACGAAAATGAGTAAAGATATGGTAATAATTGACAAGTCCAGAATAATTTTCATTTTCCTGACTGCCTTTACCATCCTAAAATAAATATTTTACAAAAGATAGAAAACTTTCACTCGGATGGGACGTAAAGATGGAGGTCTTGTGTTTGAGGAAAGCAACATCACAAATATCCTAAAGAATTCACCACATTTAAGCTTAGAAGAACACTGATTCTTTCATAGCGTCAATGGGTAATACCTTGCAGTTATAATGAATGAACTTTATTGCTCAACAATCGTACAAGGTACAATGTATGGCAGTAATACAACAATACTACAAAACTTTACTTACTACAAACTAATATCTAAACAGTATTTGAGTTACCATATGGTCATGCATTGAGGATATGTTCTCGCTTATGGAATAAAGTGTGCAAAAATTGGCCTACGTACTAAGCAGATATGGTAGTTAGACACGACAATAATTCATGGAATGTATCGTACTGTGTACCAGATTGGGTGAATTACAGATGCTTCGAATTCAGACCCTTGCTATTCAGGTCAACAAATTTGTAACCTCCTCCCAATTTATTCCCTAGCTGCAAAGAGAGAGTAGCCGGTCCTCCAATAACAACAAGGTAAAGACACATGCACACCGCCTTTGGCAAGTCTATGTCTATAATAAGTTTTTCAAGGATGGATTTTGTGACCACAACACTCCCTTCTCTTTCCGCCCCAGAGTAACACGGTCCCCGCCGCCTTCTGGACCCTGTACCACCTGCTGAAGGATCCGGTCGCCATGGCCGCCGTCAGGGCCGAGGTAGACCAGGTAAAGACTAACACTAACTTTACCAAGGTCACAGTTCCTTAAGCAACTCGTTATTCTGTGAAGAAGGTCAATGACTTCCGCGGAGTATTGGAATCAAACCTGTCAGCACGTTCGCATCTGTAATGTACGATCCCTTTAATTTGCTGCACTGGAATTCGAATGTAGTTTGACATGTCATCTGCTAGTATACGCTAGGTGATGCCCGTTGTTTTTCTATTATACCGTGCCAGTGGTATTTCCGAAAACACACCTATTTGTTCATGATATTCATATGTTATACATAGAATTTCTGGTGTGCACTTGCAGTTCACTTTCGTACATGGATTCGCAATGCGGATTTGCAACGAGAGAAACACTTTGCTCATGTGCAATCATTAAAGCGTTTGAAAATACAGATCCCTTCATGTGCTGAACTATTTAATCATTGTTTTGTTCTCTCTAGCTTTTAAAGGAGACCGGGCAGAGCTTGGAAAATGTGAAGGAGGGCGGCAAGATCATCCACGTGACCAGACAGCAGTTGAACGACATGAGATGCCTCGGTGTGTGTTGTTTGTTTGGTGTGGAAATGTTAAGTATTATCGCTGCTGAAAGCGTACTCATTGATAAGATCTAGGGGAAAATGTGCTGCTTCCGGTTTCACGACGGTGTTTTCAAAGTTTCTTCTAATTTATGTGTATATTGGCTTGTATATTTCAGTTGTTATATTTGTACTATCTTATAATGGGCGACAGGAAGAATAGTGATGTATCACTAATGGTAGTAAACAAAGTTATCAACACGGAAATTGGGTAAACGTGAAGGTCCCACAATATAACCGGGGCAAACAGAAATCAGAGATACACATGGGTGAATTCAGGAAGCCGAAGATTGCATGAGCGACCGTCCAAACAGGTCATGTGACTGGACGAGGGTGTTGTTGCATGACGGGTAGTCAGTGGCGACCTTGGTCCAATTGCTTGTTGTTAAACGAAGGTACTAGGACAATTCAAATTTTAAAAAAAAATCAAACTTGTTACTCCGTGAAGGAGGTCAGGACCTCCGGACGGAGTGTTGTGAACGGCTGGTTTTTCGTGTTCGCAGTCAAAACACTGGGTTCTCTTTGTGTAATCGGCACGCAATTTTATACGCCGTCTGCGGGCATGCCCGTGTTGATGCACGAATGTGTATTTTTGCTGTTGCTGCTTTCGCGGTCAATGTAATATTGCAGATGCACCCCTACAATTACGAGGCTAATTGGAATGGTCCAGAAAAACGCGTTGTTTGGAATAGCAGTGGGGGGGGGGTGGAATTTCATGCAGAGGTGCGGAGGGTCGATAAGTGGTACCATAGATGTTGGCAGCCAAAACGCATTTTTCCGTACGTAGCATTTCTGTGTAATTTGGCATGTGGTGTGCCATTATGCCCGTGGTGATGCACGTCTTTTATTTTTACCCTAGCAGTTTTGATATTGGAGTAAATGCTTATTTTTGAAACATCCCTATAATGTCGTTGAAATGGTTTTGCCCGGGTATCTGACCGGCGGCAGTAACACTCGCGCTTGCTGGCCGCATGGCCAGTCGCGCTTAATAAGTAACAGGCACGGTAAGACGGTGGGGCTGTCTTTGTTACTAGTGACACGACCATGATAGATAATAATAGTCCGATCTTTATGTGAATGCAAAGATTGTGTGTTTGTAATTAAAATGAACTTCGAACTTGAAGCACAGTATCTTTACACGCCCTAGGAGCAGTAATGGATTTGGGTCTTTTTATGTTTTATCATTGTGACGCGCCCTCATTGTATTAACCGTTGCCTAATGTCTGCACAGTAGGTCTGGCGTTGACGCTTGGGATTATTTTAGTTGCAAAAGATAAAAATTCACGGAGGATTGTCACCTATGGCTTCTTGTTTATTGTTGATACAGGTAGTGCCATCAACGAGGCATTGCGCATGTGCAGTGCTTCTATCATCATCCGCGTGGCTACAGAAGACGCCGAGCTGGCCCTGGAGTCCGGCAGTACCTTCCGCATCCGCAAGGGGGACAGGGTGGGACTGTTTCCTGGGTTTCTGCACATGGACCCTGAAGTGTACGACGATCCCGAGGTATGTCTCTTATTACAGGTGTTTCACGATGTTTTTATGATAAAATGCATGGCTTCACTTCCACTAGCTTTAGACGGTGATCGCTGGGCGCACTCAGAATGGACCTATACCATTATTACGTCACAGTTTGTTTACCGCAATGAATGCCGGTCAATCGACGTTTATATTGTACAGGGGTGCGTAGCGCGGTGTGTGTTTGTGTAGCGTTAGCCTAATATAAGGTTTTTAATACAGTACTGCTTTCGTCTAATGTCACAACTAAATCACCCATGCGGCATGTAATGCTGTGTCAACGCAACTAGACGCAGCAAAAACCAGAAAATACCTTACTTTGAAAACTTTGAAATTATCTTTTTTCTTTAACTGACCGTTCTAGAATGTTCTTTAGAACAGGTAAACAAACTGTGACGTAATAATGTGATAGGTCCATTGGATTTGTGACACCCTTGATTTCCTATTGTTCCTATGATTTACAATTAGAATTGCCTTAATTTTTCATTAATGCCTTAACAATTTTTTCCAGTTCCTTTGCATGTGATAAGTGTCCGCCGGTTCTGTCAGTTCATTTTAGCGACAATAAAGAACAGTGATTGATTCACTCCTAACGTCCGGAAGTAATGTTCGTAATTTACCCTGAAGTAGAGTTTGATTTGTAAATTTGATTACCTGGATGTTTATCCTTCATTAACCTTGATTTTGTAATAGGAATATGTCGTTTAAGTATTAACACAACAAAGTAAGGCATATGAAATATCGTATGAAAATCGCGATATGTCAACTTTTTGGTAGGTAAGTGGTCGCAGCCTCTACTTAAAAAATTATGGAATGATCTTATTAGATTCTGCATTTTCGTATCTATCTATCTATCTATTTATTTATTCTTTGTGATATCCCAGTTTTAAAAAAAGATTAACATAACCGGTGACTATCACCCTTCAGTAAATATGTGAACCCAGAGACCAGACAGTAAGACCAGAATGGTCCTTTCGCATCCAGAACCGGTTAACCTTGCATATCCGGTTCTATACCGGTACCTAAATGTGAAAGGATTAGGCATGGTTCTGGATACTTATATATATATAATATATGTAGATATTTGCCCTGAGGCACTGTTCCGGATACGCGACAGTGAAATATCCAGAATAGTGCCTGGCCATTATTCTGGATAAATTACCGTTCGAATTCCGGATACAACACACCGTTACTATTGTGGTAGTTTGATAACGTCTCTCACCTTTTTCTTCAGACCTTTAAGTACGACCGTTTTCTTGAGGACGGTGAGGAGAAGACCGGGTTCTACAAGAACGGCCGGAAGTTACGTCACTACCTGCTGCCCTTCGGCCATGGTGTCAGCATGTGTCCGGGTCGGTTCTTCGCGCTGAACGAGATCAAACAGTTCATCACCATCGTGGTCTGCTACTTCCACATGGAGTTACTGGAGAAACAGACCCCGGCCATGGACCAGTCACGGGCGGGACTGGGCACTCTGGCACCTCTGAAGGATTGCCTGTTCCGCTATAGGCTCAAGTAGCGCCTGTTACTAGTATATATATCCAGAACCGTGCATATCTACGATATATCGATTTTCCTACTCACAACCAGGTAGGGCTTGAAATTCATTTTTGAGAATAGGTGCACTGGTGCACCAAACCTAAAAAAATTCACAATATTTTTTGGGGAGTGCACCATATAAAATTGTAGATCTTACTGCTCCTCTTCTGAGCTTTTACAAAGATTTTATTATTTTTTTCTGATACTTAGGGACCAATAATATCCGGTACACTGTTACACACTTCTAATGTTAAAAATTCCTACAAAAATGTTTGGGTGCAGCAGTGCACCCACAGAAACAATGAGGTGCACGACACCAATTTTGGTTGCACTAAGGTGCACATGCACCCAGTATTTCGAGCCCTGACCAGCGGGATTCTTCCTACTTTGTTTATGTTTCGATGTCTATCAGACACCTTCCTCAGAGCCACCTACATCGGCTATATATAGCGGCGAGAAGCAGAACTCCAGTCAGACGCTTTGAGGAAGGCTTCTGATAGACACCGAAACATAAGCAAGGTAGGAAATAGCCCTAGTCATGTATTAACTCCCTATATCCTTATATACCTATGTTCTACCAACCTGATGAAACTTATTTGCCGTGCCTATCTAGTTCTATGGCTAAAAAAGTTAGGATCAAGCACGGTTCTGGATATTCTCTACGTATTCAAAAACGTATATTTGCCCCAGACACGGTTCTGGATGCCATGCATAGACTATCCAGAATCCGAATTGTTCTAGATAAAACACGATTGTAGATTCAGTAGGCTGTGTGTGTGAGAGAGTCTGCCAACGGCAACTGACAATTACGCTTAATGGTAATTCTGGGAGGGCCAAAAAACTTGATGGCCCTTGCAGGAGTGCCCAAAACTCTTTATCGTGAATTGATGTGTTCTTGGAAGGTTTTAGAGAGTTAATTATACTGCATGCATTATATTCATGGAATGCCACAATAGCAAAACTTATCTACGGACACCGGCACAGCCTGACGCTACATTGTGACTTTACGTAATCTGACGCTCAAACTAGCCATGCGAATTAATTTGTCAGAAACGTTAAACGATAGATTCAAAATAATTCTGTTAGGCAGGCAAATTTTTCATGATGAATTCGGCGACGCCATACATTTTCTACGTGACGTCAACGACGCCATGTGTTATCATAAGTAAACCTGACGTCAGCGACGCAGTGAATAGTCAAACTGACGTCACAAGATTCTCTGTTGCCGCATACATTTAGTGGGGTGTAATATTGCGTGCTAATTAAATAAAATAAAACAAAAATCATAAATGGTCATGTAATTACCATGTAGCGGAGAAAATATGTCGAAATCTACTGCAATATTGGTTGTCATTTAGGATGTACCGGTGTCTAGGGATTTCGACCTTCCACGTGATATCGCCCTCCCCTGATGAGTTTTCTTATCCGATCTAAAATCTTTATCTTGGGTTTCAAAACGCTTTACTGTAAATCTAGGCGGTTCTACAACGCTTAAGGTCAACTTCAAAAACACTGGCAACTTTCCTACGACACATATATAAAGCAGCTCTGTTTCTGATTTTCGACCGGCTAGATTTGTCTAGATATATATGACCCAGCTTGCCATGACGTCATTTGACCTACATGTATAACCTTTCTGAATTTAAGCTTTGTCCTAGAACTGAAGAATTGACCTAATTCTTCTTCTTCTTCTTCTTCTTCTTCTTTAATACTCTCTAACCACCCCTACTGGGGTATCACTGAGGAGGGGGGGGGTGCGACGGACTATGGCTGTGCGGCCAGAAGCCCGGCCTTGAAGGCCTTCACTGTCTGGGCTTTTACAAGCTGGCCCGGCAATTTGTTCCACTCATTTATCGTTCTTGGAAAAAAAGAAAATCTAAAACAGTCTGATTTGGCAGGTATTGCTTGATATTTATATTCATGACTTCCTCTGGTACGCCTATGGGCAGGTTTGAGGTATTGTTCCATTTGAATATTAATGTGTCCATGAGCAATTTTATATAAAGATATCAAGCGAGCGGTTCTCCTTCTGTCAACAAGTAACGGCCACTGGAGGCGCTTTAGCATGTCAGAAACACTACTGGTATAGTCATAATCACTAACAGCCATTCGCGCCGCCCTTCGTTGGACTCGCTCCAACGCCTGGGAACCACCGATGGTGTGGGGATCCCATACAGTCGCACAGTACTCCAGGTGTGGGCGTACAAGTGTTCTGTAGCATGTTGATTTGACACGAGGAGGACAGTGCGAAAGGTTACGGCGGATGACTGCCAGTATCCTATTAGCTCTACCAGTGACATAATTTATATGTGTGTCCCATTTCATATCCTGTGATAGTTGGACTCCAAGATATGGATGGGTTTTAACACTAGTGAGATTTTCCGAACATAATCGGTATTGTGTAATAATCGGGTTACGCTTACGAGTAATATGAAGTGTGTGGCACTTTGAGGGGTTGAAGGACATTTGCCATGTGTCCTGCCACCGGGTCAGTGCATCGAGATCTTTTTGTAGATCAAGAGCATCTGAAGGTTTTTCAATAACCCGGTACAACAGGCAGTCATCGGCAAACAAACGCACACTGGAGGTCACAACACTCGGAAGATCATTGATATAAAGGAGAAACAAAAGCGGACCCAAAACAGTGCCTTGCGGTACTCCAGACACTACCTTGGCGGGCTTAGAGGCCACACCATCAAGGACAACTGATTGGGTTTTTTGAGTAAGAAAAGCTTGTAGCCATGTTAGTAATTTGCCAGAGATGCCATAGTGCTGGAGCTTATTCAGTAAGCGACTGTGGGGGACCTTATCAAAAGCTTTACTGAAATCCAGCACAATGGCGTCGACTTGCTTATTTAGGTCTAGAGTACTAGCCAAGTCATGGGTTGTCAAAAGTAGTTGACTCTCACATGATAGTCCTTTACGAAAACCGTGCTGTGTCGAAGATAATATATTATATTTGTCAAGGTGGCTCATGGTATGGCTATGTATAATATGTTCCAAAACTTTACTACAAACTGAGGTGAGCGACACCGGCCTGTAGTTAACAGGTGAGGTTTTATCTCCCTTCTTAAAGATGGGGCTAATATTAGCGGCTCTCCAATCTGCTGGGACGTCGCCGGTGTCAAGTGACTGTGTAAAAATAACCTGTAGCACAGGTGCAATTTGGGTTGCTGTGATTTTTAATAATCTTGGTGAGAGTCCATCTGGGCCCGAGGCCTTGTTTGGATTAAGCTTAGAAAGCTGTTTGGCGACACCATTCACCGATATGTAGAGGGGTGGTGCGTGCGGGGTCACAGGTCTCCCTAGGGATGGGATGTTGGTTAGGTCCTCCTCTGTGAAGACAGAACTAAACTGATCACCCAGGGCATCTACCTTCTCCTTTGGGTCTGAAGTAAGCACACCATGATGCCTCATGGCTGCAATATTGGTATTGTCGTGTTTTAGTGCTTTTATATAACTCCAGAATGCTTTAGGGTTGTCTTTAATGTTTTCTTCAAGGAAATTGGCGGTGTACTCTCTGTGGGCCATTTTAACTCTTTGCTTGACCGCTTTTCTGCATGCCTTGAATTTGGACCATGCTTCTTTTGAGTTAGTGCTCTTAGCTTTTGAATAGAGTTTGTCCCTTTTACGCATTGCCCTTCTAATTTGGGGTGAAATCCACGGCTGGTTATGTAGGCATCTCGCCTTCTTCCTAGGAATGTGTTTGTTTGCTGTCGCTAGGATGTTTTCTTTAAAGTCTTCCCAGTTTTCCGAGGCTGTCCTAATTTACCCTACGTAAGTCATGGAAACACAGATTTCACTTAAAAAATAACTCTCCGGACCCCCATTCATTCAGAAATGATCTATCCCAATGAAAGACGCTGCATACAGTATATCCAAGGCCTATCCAATCACAGGCCTTCCACATCGTGACGTCAGAGCACACCTGGTTCAACCTGTCAGTCAAGTCACACATATACACATATGGCTGTACTATAGGTGTTGTCAACTCGGTATTGTGTTGTCGGTATCGTGTTGTCTGTATTATTCACGTGTGCTGCCATTCAAAACTGATTCTGGAATGTGTTTTCAGGTAAGTAGACAGCATTTTTACTTTTCAATAATCGCTACTATTGTTATCGTAACTGATTCGTACGAGAGAATATTAGGTGTATAAGCCGTAGTTCCAGGGCGATTCATAATGGACTATTATGTTGAGTTGTGGAGCTGACTGTTAGTACACATGTATTAGGACGCTTGGTGTGAAACACAGAATGACACGAAAGAATTATCTACTCTGAAAAAATAATCTTCAGCATTTGAAATTTCCCCCTGATATTTTCGTTGTGCTGAAAAGCGTAGTCAAAGCAAGGCATGGTTGTTTTTGTTTGAACCATTGTTTATTCATGAGAAGCTCAAATCGGCTTTTCATCGAGGTCACGAGAGAAGAGGTAAAGGTCAGATATAAAGAAGGGAAACAATTTATATCACTTAAAGCCCTACATACAACACGCAGTCAATGACGCGTCCTGATATTGTAGATACAACATATACTGTATTATATTATACCATACACATCAACAATAAACATAGTGGTTAGGTCCAAGAGCCTTTAAAAAGCTTTCTGTATCGGTATAGCCAGTATAACCACCCTTCGGCGTAACACACCAGCTTCTGTATCTGTATAGCCGGTATAACCACCCTTTGGCGTAATACCAGCTTTGAAGCGTTATTTTTTAACATGGATATTACGTTTGTTAGATCAGTAACGCAGGCCTCTCCGTATCTAAAGTACTGTACTCCCTACCTTCTGTAAATGTAACACATTTGCGACATGAAATTAGTAAATTCTTCCTTAGGACAATATATTGGCATATACACGTATCGATATATACTAGGTACATGCCACTAGTATTTTACCTTAGATTAAGGGGCTTAATACCAATATTTGTTTCATTGAGGTAAGTTACTAGTAATATGCCGATTCCTTTTGTACCCAAAATTAAAATATTTCAATTGAAAAATTCTTTACATGATTGTCATTAACTTTCACTTTTTAATCTATTTGCACATCTCACAATTTTGGCATTTCTATTTGGCACTAAAAGAGCCAATATACGGCAAGGGCATTTTAGTACCACATACTCTGTAAAATCATTCTGTCTGTCTAGGTCAATATGTACATAATGGTATTCAAAAGAGAATCCATGTTACAGCAATGTGAAATGTAGTATTCCATTATAACATTATATACATGTATTGAAGTTAGATTAGTACACCAGTAGAAATAGTATATACTTACTATTATTTTTTTTGCCATACATTGTATCCAATGCAATTGTTGCACAATAAACTTGACTATATATATGATGTAATATTTTGGCACCTCTACTTCCTGAATTACACTTATTTCCAATGGAGTAGGGGTGGCTTAACTTCATTCGTAAAGATGACGTGAATTTTGAAAATTGAATTTTGAAAATTTTGAAAATTGACTTTTGTATCGTCCTAATGTTACATAAAGCTTCATAAAAACAATATTTCAAATCAAAAACAGGATCCAAGGAGGTTATTTGGAAGAGCCATCCAGTGGCTGCTGTGTGCATCAGTGCTGATCAACATGCTGCTGCTGATGTTTGTGATGTTTCACCAGCCTGACACTGGCTTGTCATCTCTAACAGGGCATCTTCCTATCAACCCAGAACAGATGGACAAAAGGTGAGCATGTGGTAGCCTCTACCAGGCTTGAGGGCGCGGCTGGAAATACAAATGTAGTAGAAATTGGCCAAATACAGAGATATAACACGCCGAGGGAGTTTAGCTATCCAGTTTACAGTTTGCCGGCCCACAAGCCTGTGGAATATCGCTATCTTCTTTTGTGGGCCGGCAAACTGTAAAATGGATGGCTAAACGCCCTCGGCGTGTTATCTCTCTATTTGGCCAATTTCTACTATTTCCAGCCGCGCCCTCAAGCCTGGTAGAGGCTAAGCATGTGGCTCAATCAGCAAGCTTTGTTTGGATAATCATTCATTCAGTAGCAGGCATTTATTGGTCTGGTAGGACCATGAATGGTACAAATTATGCACAATGGAATTTAATAGAGTATAGAAATATCTGACTCAGTTGTGTTTTTGTTAACTGGGCCTGCAAGTGGCTGACGGCTTGAGTGCTCACATAACACACATATTAGATGGACCCAGTATAGAGTAGGTTACATGTATGTTTTTATTCAAATGTGCAAAATGCAGTCGACTCTTTACGAATAGATGCGACCCAAATCACGGACCCCGTTATTGCTTTGTGGACTTTCCCACTACACTTACTATGTTTCACGGTCAATGTACTACAACACTACGCTTGGCTGATGACTTGAAAGAAATCATATCCTCGTGTTTGGGGAGACCGCTTATCACGATGGAGCAATTTTTATCTCCATGAAAAATGGATGCTTTGTTTTTGGTGTGTTAGTGTGCCTCTGTTTCCACACATTCATGGTCAGCTTAACTAATATTAATAGGAAGACCTCTATAAATTGTCATGATGTTGGTGTCTTGTTAGGTCTTAGGAAAACAAAGGTCTAGGTCAAATATATTAGCCTCCTGGCCTAGCTGGTAACACTGTACGAAAAAGTTGATTTACCAAAGGTTGTAAATTCAGGTAATGTTTACTATGTACACAGTATCTGGCTTTACAATGGTAGTAAATAAGGTCAATTGAAGAAATTTCCTTTACAAACCTTGTTGAGTCCGGTATTATGGTACTTGACTTTAATTCAATTTATTGCCATTGTAAAGTCTAGATGTGTTTATTAAAAAAAACAAAGTAAACATTAGCCAACTCAACTGGTACTAGTATCGGTAAATCTAAGTTTTCGAGCAGTGTGGTGACTGGACATAGATTTTAATGCCTTATTTCTGAGTCTGACAATCATGTATTAATCATGTAGTTTTAAAGTATATCAAATTCTCAAATTGCAGAGATCTCCATGCAATCATACAAGAAAAAGGTCCCAAGCCACACATTATGACAACAGATGAGATAAAGAGACTGAAGGACTTAAAAGATAACAAAGAATGGGAGGAAGTGCAGCAAGTTCCAACAGAGAAGCCCATCTGGTCATACAACAAGACTGCAGCTGATGTTTTCAGGTGTGTATTTTGTGAGAAATCCTCTCTCAGTTAATATATTGCTTTTATTTATTTATTCAGAAATTAAAACATGACAATACAAAGTGTGCACTAGGCAGCAAACATGCTGAAAGCGTGCCCACCTAACACATACCTGGAATATGAAATATAAAAACAACAATAAATAGTTAAAACAAGATATGAACACAAATAACATTATCTAATAAATTACACCTGCAATTAAAATAAATTTTATAACTGTACAGCATATATTGCTTTGTAACTTTCCAGACCAACCATGAGTCCCACTGGTCCCGGGCCTGGGTTCGAACCCACAACCTCCCGGGCCCCAGTCATACACTCTAACCTCTCCGCTAAAAGGTCTAGACCCGTTTGCCGGATCAGTTGGTAGCGCCTATAAACCCCCCACTGTTACACAGTATCTAATTTCTTCATCAAAACTTTCATCACTTACTGCTGCATGCTAACTATAAATATCCTACAGGCGGGAACTTGACGACATCTGCAACACCAAAGAAGACTTCATTGTCACAAAGGAGAACTTCCCATTGGGGAGTGTTATCCAGTATGATGCGGAGAGACACAGCAGGCTGAACGTGACAGACGATGTGTGGGAACGTTTTCCTCAGGTCAGACTGCATTCTTTGCACGACATTGTAAAAGTGATTTGTTGCTACTGTTGTTACAAGACAACACTTTCTTACCGAACTGTTATTACTGCTTAATGTGACGTTTTGAAATATGCATATTGACGTTCCAACCATTTATAACTCCAGATCTGCGTAATGTTTAAAGCAGAGGGGTATTTATAATTAATATAAATTTTAGCAATGTCTAATAATGTGCAATAATGTTTTTTTTTAACAATAATACCTTTTGATAGCATATTTTAATGATATTTTGTGTTGACCACAGAGCAATTCAGGCATCCAGTTTGGTTGCCTGCGAGTCTGTTGTCAGAGCGTATTGTGTATGTTTAGGGTTTCAATTAAATAAACCATTCTAAATTCTCTTTATTGTGTAAAAAGTATATATAAAAGAAAAGTCAATTTTCTTACAAATTTTTTAGATGAATTTAAGTTGAATTAACCCTATACTCCAGTGCACAAAAAGGTGCCATACAGGAAGCGGAGGTGTCAAAATGAGATAGCTTTAGCTATTGTCATGTTTGTTTTCACTCTAGTATTTTGTGGTGGTACCATAAAATGGGTACACCATGTGTGGGCTATATTAGCACTGTGTTTGTGCCCTTGGGAAAGGTACTTTACACGACTTTCCTCACTTCACTCAGGTGAAAATTACTGTAATTCACTTTATGTTCACGGTAGCAAAATTTCACTGTCTGAGAAAAATGGACATGTTCACGGAATTATATGTTCACGGTGGTGACAGGTGCAGAAAAAAGAAAGTCCAGGAATTATTTGTTAACTGTAATGATAAGTTCACTGTACAGAAGCAACAGTGAAAACAGTGAACTTATCAGTACAGTGAACAAATCAGGAATTACAGTAGTACCTAGCTTAGGTTCAGGGGGTCCCTCTAGGAAAGGACGCTAAATGGAGGTCCCGCGTGTCTTGAATTTGAACACGTTAAAGATACCACAACACTTATCAAAACAGTGAGGGGTCCATCCCGGTTTGAGTGGTTTAAACCGTACAGTTCGGTATTACGCAGCTTGTACATGTACAAACGGGTGTGTTACGCCTAAAGGCGGTTTACCGGTTTGCGGAACAAATGCATTTTCGAACACTGGTCCAGGACTCAGCTTGGGTTCCAAACCTATAGCACACTAGACACAAATTATTAGAAAATTGACTGGTTAATGAATAACTATTGAGCCCAAGATTGTCTCCTGTTGACCAATGGTGGTGTCATGTAACAGGCTACCTGTGGTGTGAGGGGTCATCAATCATAGCTTTTTCTCCCTATGCGGGAGAGCCTTTCCCAAGGCTTCCGGCCAGACCCAGGCTCACTGAGAAACTTTGTGTCCAGTGTGCTATGGGTTTGGCACCCAGGCTATGTCCAGGACAAGATAAAAATGTTTATTCTCTCCTAGAGTTCGCCATTTGCCCATATGAAGCACTCCAGGTGCAGTGTGGTAGGAAACAGTGGGCTTCTGAAGAACAGCAACTGTGGGAAAGAGATAGATGCAGCCGACTTTGTTTTCCGGTAAGTACAATGAGAAACAGATATGAGAAATTAATTGAGAGACAAGGGGAAATAAATGAGAAATGAGAAACAAATAAGAAATTAATTAAATCAGATATTGAATGCTGCATTATGCGATTTTTGGCCGTCTAATCTTAAAACAAAAAGTCGATTTTCTGGCCACATTTTTACATTGCTAGTTGAATAAACCCTACCGTGTTACACTGCACCATTCAGTTAATGGAGGCGAGACGATATTTTTGCGATGCGAGCGATTAGAAAACTGAGAAATTTTTTGCGCAAAAAACTACATAATGCAGCTTTAAGACCTATATTGATGGTATTGTTTTAACCTTTTTTGTTTAAAGTTGATCTTCGTAATCGACGTCAGAAATTTGTGATTTTGGTAATGGTGATTGATAGGAACAATTATTGTTCTTGATTACTTAAATTTTTGAACATATGTATCATGGCCTTCGTATATGAAACAAATTTAAGTTTATATATACCTTCGGTTACCTATGTCTTACAATCCTCTATTACCTAGTATGTTCAAATTTTGTCACAAGTTCACTTCTTTTGTTATATTTGATTTTATGTTATATGTTATGTTATGTTATGTTATGTTGTTATGTATTTTAGGCCTCATTGAAACACTTTGCTAAACTTGAATGGACTACTCAATAAATAGATAAATAAAAATGAATGGAAATGCCGATGAGGTTTACGCTGTCATACTCAATAGCCTCTTTCGAAAGGACTTGGGGAAAGTTTCAGACAGCCAACAAATGAAGGTCGGTTGTGATGTTTTCTTTTTGTCAGAAGAAAAAAAAAGAAAGCATAGCTTCTCGATCTTCTGATGTTATCAAAAAACGTTTGTTGAGTACATTTAACACGATTACACATTTCTTTCAATCTGTTTGCAGTTGCAATATGGCCCCGATTGATGGACACCACATCGCTGAAGTTGGAAGTAAGACTAATCTCATCACTGCAAACCCAACTATCATCCGAGACAAGTAAGTGTTATCACTTACTAGTACCTAACAGTAAATACATCAGGATTTTAATAGTAACATTAAGTTTAGATAGCAATATTTACTTTTTGAATTTACCTTTTGTGTTTAATAAGTAAAACAGTTTTTATTCACAAAGACCTACCCTGCCTTCCAAAAAGTTTATAAGTATACGGTTTTACCTATAGTTGTTTTTAGACTAGGTAAAGTGGCCTTGCATTTCGTATTTGAGATATTAGTACATTTATGTTGACAGTATGTTTGCTCTTAAAACTGGGATCCATATCTGAGATTGACCCTCATGTTAGGGGAATTAAGGACTTCTCAATAGACACAACATTGTCATGATAGTTTGGATAATTATATTAAACCTTTCTTCTATGTATGGAAATGATGATGCAAGTCGTCTTCGCTAATTGTTATCCATTGTCTGCCAGTTTACCCAATGGTATGGTAGGGGGCATGCATTAGCGCTAATTACAATTTTATGTGGGTAGCCTGAGGCTTCATAAATGCACTGACTTGTCCCCAAAGTTAAAAAAATTGTTTTGCTGGGGTCGTGTGGCGTAACGGCAGAGTGCTCGACTCGGAACCAAGAGGTCCCGGGTTCGAGTCTCCACATGCGCATGCCACCGACCTTGTGCCCTTGCCAATTAAGAAATGCACTTTACACGACTTTCCTCACTTAACTCAAGTGAAATTGAGTATTGTCTGTCCTGTATTTGTTCTACAGTATGTGTGTGACACAACACCAGCAACAGTTGCCTTTGCCCCACGTGTATTGTATTGATAATATTTCATGATCAATGAATCAAATTAGATAAAAAAAATGTTTTGCCAAAAGGCCAATAGAAGATTATACAATACACTTATGCACGGACATACGAATGCTCCCCAAACAGTACCTATGCCCACGAAGGTAATTAAAGAAGCTGAAATAACATGAACGTTTACTAAGTCGAAAGCAATCTCAATTAACACAAAACATTCAATTAAACATTTTTTTCATTCAAGTATTCTTCTGTTCTTTTCCAGGTACAAAAATTTCAGGAACCAGACATTGAAGGAAAACTTTGTCAAAGATCTGTCTGTTTATGGGAAAAGTTACATCTGGATGACTCCATTTGCATACAAAATGTGTACATCATACACCTTCAAAGCCCAGCACGTACTGAAAGAATTTAAATCAGACAACGAAATAATCTTTGCGAACCCCGTATTCATGGGCAACATGAATAAGTACTGGAAGAAACATGGTGTCAAGGCATGGAGAGCATCAACAGGTTGGTAGTAATTTGGATGAGAAAATTATCTTGCAAATTTTGAATTCATTTTCAGCAGTTACAGTCACTCCCAGTCCCTTGCTTTTTTGACAACGTATTTAACCTCTTCGTAAAAGGCCACACCGAAATTGATGCTATTGATTTATAGTACGTAGCTTATATTTATTACACCTAGGTTGAAGCAGTCACTGTAGTTTATATCACAATGATAGAACTTTTCTTTTTGGACCCGTAGAGAGCATCCAATTCCCCGTTACCACTTTAGACTCAGAATTAAATGGTACAGAAAAATGTAGATTTGTTATTTTTGATAAACGGACTAAACGTACCACCCCCCCTTACATGTTCGCCGGTACACAAACAAAAGTGGAGGTTGCCAAGAGTAATAAATACTCGTGCCAACAGGCTCGTGCCAACATGCTTTTCTTGCTGTTGCAAACTGTGCTCAACTCTATAAGTATGTATTTATTGTGACCATATATTTGTTTTAATAATACGAATATTTCAGTGAGGAACGACCAGTTAAGTCTTCATTCATTCAATTATAAACCTTCAGATGTTGTGTTTCAGGTCTATTTCTGGTCAGTGCAGCTCTAAGTATGTGTGAGGAAGTGCATCTGTACGGATTCTGGCCTTGGCACTTGGACAGACTTGGCAACAACCTCACCCAGCATTATTACGACAACCACCCAGTACACAAGGCTCACAAACTCCCAGATGAATTTCAGCAACACCAAAAACTTCACAACGAAGGAGTCCTGCACATGACTACAAACAGATGTGCATGAATGTGCCTGTGAGCTAAAAACTCGTGACTGTCATGTCGAAATACATTTGTTTTCGTAAAATATCCTTAGAGTGGCCATTGCTGCCAGGAAGGGGGTTTATGCTGGCGCTGCCGAGTTAATTTGTTTATGTTTTCCTGTAGTGTAGTTGATAAAAAAAGAACTCCAGGTCTCAGTACATTACCTCCCAAAAGTGCTGCAGTATATTTTGTTCTACCTGTCCGTTGTTTTTTAAAAGAACTTGTGATTAGCAATCTTTTCATGGGCAGTGGCTTATTATTTCCCAACTGATACCAACCCGGTATTTGTTCATCTTTGTATAAACGAGCGCTGCTGAATTACCAAATAAAACGTTGTTGCACGATTCACCTTTGTTGTGCTACCTTCGACCGTCTTTTTCTCTCGACATGTTCTTTTAAAATTATTTTTATCACAATGCTTTCCGCTCTTCTTTTGCACTTTAAGACTGTCATGTCATGTTAATATATTGATCCAGTGCCAATTGATGTAAGATACCAGACTTGTATCACTGTTTGAACATAGACCTTTTTCAGTGGCACTATGACCTGTATTTAACTCGTACACTACGATAAACGTAGAATGAAGGTCTTTCATTATTTATAAAATGTGTTGGTTTTAAGCTCTTTTATTAAGTTAAAATGTTAGTAAATTCTTATAACTAACTTTGACATTCACGAATCTTCGTTGACTTGACCGTGCAATGTAAACCGGGCATGAGAAGGACAAAATATCGGTGCTCGTTAAGCTGAAATATTTTGCGGAACGAAATATGTGGGTAATCAGGTGCATTCATTTACTCTTTGACCCTGATATTACCGTCGACTCTCCATCTTGACCCTAGCCGACGTGTCCTTTGTTCAGTTCTTCCACAGTTTTTGTCGTTTCTCCAAGTGCTGCAATGGTGTAAATTTAAAATCCGGTGGGTAACGCCATTTTCTCACTTTCCTAATGGTTTAACGTTTTATTGTTGTTCGTTCATTTGTTTATATGCGACATAGATAAGACAGATAAACAGTATGTTTGGGGGGGGGCGACTCCAGATCCGCTATTTTGCTCGTAGCACTGAAACTACTGATAATTACCTTCATCAGACCCGTAATTGAGGTATTCAACGCTTAACGAAGTGCTAGATACGCACAGAAGCAGTGTATTATCATCCCTTTGCGTATGCGGTATTGAACACTGGTATCAACGCAATATCATGGGCTGTTCCAAAAAAATAAGTGTGGAGGGGTGTGTATGAAAGGGGTAAAAAAATCAGTTTTAGATCCTGTCCTAGTTCCAATGCATGATTTCCTCAACAACTTCACTAGTTCCTTGTCCAAATTTACCCAAACCCTCACTAGTTTCTTATTCAGATGCTCAAAACTGAGGCTCACAATTTCCAACCTCATACACCCCCCCCCCCCACCACTGCACTGTTATTTCTCACAGTTAGCAGTCCAGTTTCAGGGTTTGAACAGCTCTGTATATAACTACAAAAATATTTGTTACACAGCCATGAATCTAGTTATGTTTGCCTGTTCTATGAAAAATTTATACGTACTACGTTGATACTTGTGACAGCTGTGTGCTTAACATATATATATAGAATCAAGATCATTGTATCGGGTCCTTGCTAGAGTTACAGGCTATTAAAGGCTTACACATGTAATGTCAATCCGACTGTGTTATGTTTTGAATAACACTATAGAAAGAATCGTAACACTAGAAGTGTGCTTGTGATCAAAACTTCCCTATATTCCTTTCAATGGGGACCAGCATACTTCTGAATATTATGTAACTGCAATGCTTTCTGTGTTGTGTACATAATTATCCAACTCCAACCCAACCCAACAAAAAGACATATTTGAAATATTTGGGTGTGTTTTACAGTTTGGCAGAGCATATCCGCCTGCACAGTACCCAGTTTTCCTGCATTTTGGCCAATTTTTCATCTGAATTTGGCCCGATGCAGGCAGCAGTGTCTTTAACGACACACGTGGAAAGTATAGATGAGATCATTTATCAAATTAACAACTTTAATTAAAACAGAATTACTGCAATTATCATAATATTTTTATTACATTGCATTTTCCTTTTTAAAACAGATCTGATACGGCATCAGCCAGCTGGGGGTCTCCTACTGACGTTCCTGTCAACATATCATCAGCCAGCTGGGGGTCTCCTACTGACGTTCCTGTCAACATATCATCAGCCAGCTGTGGGTCTCCTACTGACGTTCCTGTCAACATGGCATCAGCCAGCTGTGGGTCTCCTACTGACGTTCCTGTCAACATGGCATCAGCCAGCTGTGGGTCTCCAACTGATGTTCCTATCGACAATAACCAACCACTAAAAGGAAACCGGACAACTGAAATGGAGTGCTGTCAGGGCGAGTTCAATATCTATTCCAGTATGTCAAGACAAAGAAGTAAGAAATTCTTTGTACAAGGGGAGGATGGAGATACATCTTCTAGTTCTACTGACTTCTGCACAGACGAAAAAAACGATGATAAATCCTACATGTGTGGAAAGTGTGGATTCACAACAGATGACCAATCTAAGCTCTCCAGACATATGAAAAAGCATACAGCAAAGAAGGTGTACAAGTGTAACCAGTGTGACTATTCGGCAGCTTGGAAACACAGCTTGGATATTCACATGGCCAAACACACCGGTGAGAAGCCCTACGTGTGTGAGGAGTGTGGATTCAGAACTGCAGTTAGGTCCTGCCTATCTCGACACAAAATAATACATACAGGAGAAAAGCCATACAAGTGTGACCAGTGTGATTATAGCACAGCTTGGAAGCAATACTTAGACTCACACATGGCAAAGCACTTTGGTGAGAAACCCTACATATGTGGGGAGTGTGGGTACGCTACACCATATAGGAGTCACCTCTCGAGACACATGAAAATCCATTCAGGAGAGAAACAGTACAAATGTGACCAGTGCGACTATTCAGCAAACCAGAAAGGACACCTAAATAGACACAAGGCTAAACACACTGGTGAAAAACCCTACATGTGTGAAAAGTGTGGGTTTAAGACCAGTAACCCTTCTGGTCTCTCCTGTCATATGAAAGTACACATGGACGAAAAGCCACTTAAAAGTGAGCAGAAAACCAAGCGTTACAAATGTGGCCAATGTGACTTCTCCACTGTATGGAAACATAGCTTAGAGTCACACATGTCTAAACACACTGGTGAGAAACCCTACATGTGTGAAAAATGTGGGGTGAGAACAGCTCATAAGTCTCAGCTTTTGCACCACATGAAACTACATACAGGAGAGAAGCCCCACAAGTGTGAGCTGTGTGACTATCGCACTATCTGGAAAGGGAACATGGACAAACACATGGTTAAACATACAGGACTTAAGCCCTATGTATGTGAGCTGTGTAGCTACAGGTCAGCCTATAGATCTGGTCTAACAACTCATATGAAAGTGCATACAAGAGAAAAGCAACTCATCGACATATACAAGTGTTAAGGCACCCCATATGCAATTTACGAGTGGCAAACTAAAAGTAAAACAAAATATTCTGGACAAGGAAATCGTACGATGGCATTTACTCCCATTTCTTTGCACATTCATTTAAGTTGCATCATTTCAAACTTGATCATGAAATGTTTTAATATATACGATATACGATATACGATATGACTTTATTAGCAAATAGCAGACAAATGAATTGGTGTCTGAAATACCTTGCTAATTAACATTAAAATGTGGAAAATTACATTGCTACACCTTTCCATAAAATTAATTGATTCACGAAACGTATATTACATTCAATAAAATATTAAAATTCAGTGGTACTAATTAAAATCTTGAATAGAAGATATAACAATAGCGTTACAGTACTACAGGTGAAATTACAAGAATGCAAGTCGAGTACACAAGTTTGTAGTACACAAATTCTGGTTCACAATAGAATAGCGCATATGCCATTTGGTACAAGTGTTTAAGCAGTCTCTGATAATCGTTTCTACAGAGTCTGGTTGTACAGGGATGTTGCTTGATGTAGAAACGATCTTTTGAGACGTTCGGTTCTACATGAAGGCAGTGTGAGTTGGTGGTGGTTCCTGAGAGTTCTTCCAGTCTGCTGTTGTCTGTCCTCTGTGACCATATGATGCAGCGGATGGTCACTGGAGCGCATCTGGTTTAAATACTCCAAAGTGTTCCAAAACATGTTATGTGAGTAGTCCCAATAAATATTAGAAGCTAGAGCCAGTCTATGATATGAAAGAAACAACTATTTTCCCATAGATAGCTTTATAGTTATGATTATGTCAAGTAACAACATGTACATGTACTTAGCTACTAGTATACCTATAGATGAGAAACCCAACAAGCACAGGACAGACCCATTTACAAATGTCAGTAACCATGCACTTCGTTATAGCACTTGAATTTGAAACTTCCTGCTGTTAGAATGTAACTAGTGGATCGAAAGTCGGAGGATTATACTGTCACTGTAAAGTGAATAGATGCACATATCTATGTATTAAGCCATTGAAAAACTGTGAATATGTATATAACATAAAAATCTGCCACATTTACACTTGTATAACTCAACTTAGGTACCTTGCATGAAATTTCAATTCGGAAAATGGTTGCAACATGATTTAATATCTTAATCATAGTTTTACAGGCATATTTATTATAATTGACTACATGTACCTGTTTCAGTAGAAAAGTTTAGATATAATATAGGTCTATAACAGTCACCACTTCATGTCATGCTGTGTCTATTCTAAATAAATATATTTGCCAATGCAACAAAAAAGACTGCCCAAGTATTAAAACCGAACTTGAAATTCGGTGTTAAAGGCACATATGCCCACAGAGCTCCAATAAAGCATGATTATGTATGTGTCTTTTTTTTGTGATATTTTGATACCAAACATTATTTATATTTTCTATTATTTATATGTATTATTTATATTTTTGCATCATTATATGCGACACTGGCATGGAAGTCAGCCCTTCAGGAGCAGCGCGAACGCCGTTCCACTTGGGTCAAGGAATCCTCCGAGTCAGCCACCGAAGGGAAATTCGACAACAGGAAGCCGAGCTGGCGCAACTCAACAAGTCGCGACCACGTCGATCACTACGCTCCAGTCACCGGTAGGACCCACGAAACAGTCCGTTCTACCATGGAAGCAGATTGGAAAACGATTCCTTAGAGCATGGGACATTCTTACCTCTTGATACCTGAGACTTTGAATGAAAACATGTAACGTGACAGAGGTAAAGTCATTCTATTTGTTATTTAGTGCTGCTATTCATATATGCTCTTTATAGTCTTTATACTAGACATATGCCATAATAACTAGCTCCGTTTAGCTATTGTGTACCCTTCTTCATATTCGGAAGATGCCAAAAAAGTCTGCTCTAGTCTTCTCTTCTTGGAACATCCAGGGCAGTTGTTGTAAGAAATTTGGTGATGAAGAATTTCTTTCCTATGTAGAGAATAGCGATGTTATTTGTGTCCAAGAAACCTGGCTGGACAGTCATATAGAATTAGATGTACCAGGTTATAGTTTTTTCACTAGCAGTAGAGTTAGAAGTAAAGGGGCAAAACGAAATTCGGGTGGGGTAGCAGTCTTTTTCAAAAGTTCGTACAGGAAAGGGATCTCAAAATTGAGTAGTAGTACGGTAGACAGTGTTTGGTGCAAGTTCGACAAGCACTTTTTCGGTCTAGAAAATGATCTATATTTATGTAATGCCTATATTCCCCCCGAATCTTCTTCCAAATCGGCGATTGAATCTCCCTTTGAAATACTCTCTAATGAAATATGTAAATACTCCAATTTAGGAGATATCGTCGTACTATATAGGCGACTTGAATGCAAGAACTGGCTTGCTGATAGAAAATTATTATAATACTCTTGCCTTTGATGACCCAACAACAGACGGTCTCAGTTTTACAACTCAATAGAGTTAAGACCATTGTCCCCCTCCCTGAGCCTCCCTGCCTCATTAACTGACAGCCCAACTTTCAAGTGTAATGTACACTTATTGGGTGGTTATTTTCTGACATTTCCTACAACTACTAAAGCACAAGGTCAATGGCAAACTCTCTGCTTACATAAATTTTGTGAATAACTTGCTAATATTATAATATTGATTTAATAAGCACATATAAATTTATAAACTTCAAGTGCCTGGCGGGACCCCTAGACAAACTTTTTTTCAAACAAATTTGGTATGTATGTATTCGTCAGTAAAAACCCTATAACATCCCATCGATCCCAGGTGTATCATTATTATTATAACAGAGATATTATCTAATATGTTCACATTTTTGGCAAAAATTACATGTTTGCAATATTCATACAAGGCTAGCAAAGTGTTGGAGATGTTGTGCATTCTGGGCCCGACACAGTGTTGTAGAACAACTTGTCTACTTTCTATACATGTGTTCAGTAACTGAAAAGAATGTTTTGTGTGGATGCGCTTTTAAGGAAAAAATAAGATCACAAAAATTGAACTTCTGGCTTCTTATGAACTGAAATCTGATCACTTTGTTGAGATAAGTGAACAATACAGCCAATTAACTTGTTGACATAGCACCTTCCTTGTTGGGGACCAGACTACCCGAGGAGAACAATAGGCAGTTCACGGCTTGTCCACACCTTTACCTGCTAGTGCCAGACAGCCAGCTTGGCTTGGTTTATCAGCAATAAACAACCATTGTTTCAAGGTTCCAAGTACTAGTACATTGTAAGACTAGAAAAAGACTCAAAAATCCATTTCTTGATCCAACATACTCTACAACTACATAAGGAACAAGTTGATAACATCAAAAATTATAACTATTGGTTGGGGTGAGCTCTTTATAACAAGTTGATTACACGCACTCACTATCCAGTTTATCGTCTGTTGTTCCACGACGCAAAAGGATGTTAGATGTAGCTAAGAAGTCCCTGAAAGCAAAGCCCAATAGACAAACAAAGAAACCTAAACAAAGTAGTAAGAAAAACAAAGGTTGGTTTGATCAGTGTTGCTGGTCTTCACGCCAACATTTGAAAAGGCTTTCGCTGGCATTGAAAAAAGAACCCTGGATAAAAGAAACGAGAAACAGATATTTCACAGCATTGCGCGACTACAAGAAACTCATCAAACAGCGTAAACAAAAATACAAATCCGACCTTCTGTCAAAATTAGAAAATCTTAACAAAAACAATCCAAAGGAATTTGGGTCACTTTTGAAATATTTAGACAGAGAAGTAAATGGAAAACACACCTCAAGCACAAATACCTGTGATCCCAACATCACACCTGAGGAATGGATACAGCATTTCACAAGTCTAAATAATTTGACAAATGACAAGAGTTTGACACTGTTTTCGAAGGAACGGTCACTGAATACCTTAATCAATTGGATAATCATACCCCAAACCCCTTAGATTTTCAATTCACAGCAGCAGAAGTTCTAAACGGTTTGAGTTTATTGAAAACGGCAAAAGCTTCCGGTATCGACTCAATCTCAAATGAAATGTTAAAGTATGGTGCAAAAAATCTATGTCAACCATTAGTAACTCTCTTTAATACTATACTTAACAATGGAACCTTCCCTTCCAACTGGAATACAAGTATCCTTACGCCAATACATAAATCAGGTGATAAATCTATTGCAGACAACTATAGAGGAATAGCAATCTCTAGTTGTCTATCCAAATTATTCACACTTATTCTAAACAATAGATTACAAAACTTTGTGGAAAGCAATAAATTATTAGATAGCACCCAGTTTGGATTCCGAAAAAGATGTAGAACTTCAGATAATATCTTTATCCTAAAATCGTTGATAGATAAATACACAAAGAAAAAAGGAGGCAAACTATTCGTATGCTTTGTTGACATGAGGAAGGCCTTTGATAGTGTTTGGAGAGATGGGCTTTTCTTTAAGTTGCATCAATGTGGTATTGGGGGAAATTTCTTTAATATTATAAGATCGATGTATAATGATGTACATTATGCTGTTAGATTAGACAATGGACTATCAAACTCCTTCCCGTCCGTATGCGGAGTAAGACAGGGGTGTAACCTGAGCCCCTTGCTATTCAACTTATTCATTAATGATATATCTACGTGCTTTGACCCCACGAAATGTGATCCTGCAGTCCTAAATTCAAAATCTCTAAATTGTCTATCCTGGGCGGATGATCTCGTTCTTATATCATCGTCTAAACAAGGACTACAACATTGCATCGACTCTCTTGAAAATTATTGCAAGAAATGGAAATTGTCCGTCAACGTTTCAAAAACTAAAGTGGTTATATTCGGCAAAGGTTTCAAGAAGAAAGGCAAAGACAAATTTCATATTTATGACAAAGAAATAGAAATCACTGACAGCTACACCTACCTCGGCATTCCCTTTACATCCTCGGGTAAATTCAAAACTGCCAGGAAATATTTAAAAAACAAAGCAATGAGAGCACTTTTCAAACTGAAGGCTCTTTTACTTTCTAACAATAACATCTCTATCAATCTCGGAAAAAACCTATACGATAAATTCGTAAAGCCTATCTTTATGTACGGTTCAGAAATCACATGCTTTGACCGTTCCTCCAAATCTTTAAAAATCATTGCATCGCATAACAGCAATATCCAGGTATCCTCTGCAAAGGTCTTTTCTACTTTGCTAAGGAAACTCGATATTCAAGATAGCCTCCCTGCCACCATCCGCAAAACTTCCTCTTCTGATTCGAATAGTACTTATATTGTATGTCTAGAAAGAAACACGGATAAAGAAATATTAATGCGTCATGCCAACAGCCAAACTTTACGACAGAATGGCTTCCAAATCATAGACCTACACTCAAAACCAGCACATCCCAGAATTTGACATCATAGATATGCGTTTCCAGAAATTTCTGTTAGGTATACATACCAGAGCCTCAAACGACGGTGTCAGAGGAGAATTGGGTACTTTCCCAGTTAGGATAGACGCAGAAATTCAAATTGTAAAATACTGGTATAGACTACTACATCTACCCGAAGATTCTTTACTTCGGCAGGCATATGATTCTGTTATATTAGAAGAACATGACTGGATTGTCCATGTGAAAAATATCCTCAATTACAACGGTCTTGGACACATATGGCTAAACCCGAAGTCATACCATTTAGATACAATAACTGCTCAACTACGACAACGACTACAAGCTATTTACATACAAAATTGGCATTGCGATATTCAAAACAATTCCAAACTTTCCTTTCTTTCTACACTGAACAAACACTATAAACAAGAAAACTACCTTTCAAACATAAAAAGACTTGAAGTACGTAGAGCAATCACGAAACTCAGAATTGGCTGTCACAAACTTAGTATAGAAACCGGAAGATTCCATAAAATTCCCAATGACCAGAGGGTTTGTCCATTTTGTCCAGAGCTTATTGAGGACGAATATCACTTTTTGATTGTGTGTCCTAAATATATTAATGTACGAAATGCACTATATACTAGACTTTCAGATTCTTTCCCAGCATTCACCACAATGAACTTGGAAAGAAAATTTAAATACATATTGACTTGTGACAACCCCTACATGCTATACATAGGGATATATATTAAAGACTGTATGGATATCAGAAACGATTGTATAAGTTGATACCTATCTCATACTAGCCACCCACTTTTGTATTAGATTAGCCTTATGAAAATGTAGTTGACATGTACTTACTTACGTTAGTAGATGCCATACTTTGTACACTGTACAATTGTTGCGCAATAAAGTTATATTATATATGAATCCTGTGACACGACATTCCAGTCACCGAGCACTCTAACACTTAAAGTCTGCCTTCAATAAATTGTGGACATTATCCCTTCAAAGGAGATTTAAAAAATCCGTCTTTCAGAAATTTGTAAGCTGTCAACTGACACCCCGCTGGGAGGTAGGTCATACCACTGGCAGTGGACAATACCACATGCGCGGTGTGGCCAGAGGTTTGAATAGAAGATCATTCAGTTTTCTACCAAGCTTGTATGGAGCAAGGATGTTGCATTTTCTATTGCTGAATATCGCTCTGGAATACTGAAGGCCTACTATGTTTTAAGAAAAGACTGGAAAATATACTATTTGGATTGTCAAAAAGTTACACAATGAGCCTTTACATAATTTGCTATCATTTTACTTTCGATACTCATTCTTCTTCGTTAAGCTGAAGTACATTCGATGACGTATTATGTGGGTAATCAGGTAAATTAACCTTTGACCCTATGACTACCATCCGCCATCATGACCCCATTCTGACGTGAATTTTGAGGATTTTGTTTCAGCTGTTTTTGTCGTTTCTCCAAGTGTCGCAACTGTTTCAGTTTAAAATCTGGTGGGTGACAAGTCTTTTCTCACTTTCCTAAATCAATTCACGTCACGTTTGATACATTTGTGGCAAATCTGCTTCTGTGACATAAACCTGTACCAAATCTAACGAGACCGACCTAACTTAGTGAAGGGGGGGTGGGGGGTGTTATAATTTCCTTGGGGTTTTGTTGGTACATGGTCTAGAGCCTTTGACTGGCCTGGATGGAAACACCCAGGCTAGTCAGTTCCGCTACCCTGGATGCCAAACTAGTATCGGGCCGTTAGCCGTTTTCCTTCGGTAGCCAAGAGCCCTTCGCCCGCCTATCTAAATTACCGCTACGGGGGAGTTGAGCCCGAGGGGTTTGTCCGGCCCTAGAACGTTTGTACGGCCAGCCAAACTCCCCCCGGGCTAGACTCCCCCGTAGCGGTAATTTACACCAGCGGGCGAAGGGCTCTTGCGGCCCGGAAAACGAGTTCTGGATTCCAGGGTACAGTTTCCCTGGACCGTTTATACAGTGGAATAGTGGCTTGTGGCATGTGAACTGTAAACAACCGTGAATAGTTTTGTCAGTGTGATAACTTTTAATTAACAAAGTTCTACGTACGTGCATGACCCGAGGGGATCATCTTGTACGGTTAAATGTGATCTTCGGGAATTAATAGGCTATGTATACACAAGGAGGTTGGTATACATAGGGCATTGCCCGGCATTTCCTAACATAAGTTGGAATTTTAAACATGGGGTTTAATTTTCTATTTTCCCTGGCAATAATCATGTGATCGCCAGTTTCTGGTCCTGTGTCAAAGAATATTATCAAAATCACTGCGTTCACATTAGATTACATTGTCCTTTTTACAGCGGTTTAGAGATGGCATCAGTGACTATTGGGTCTCCAACTGACGTTCCTCACGACATGGAACCGGTGAGTGGATTTCCAACTGATGTTCCTGATGGCACGGCATCGGTGAGTTGTGGGTCTCCAACTGATGTTCCTGATGGCACGGCATCAGTGAGTTGTGGGTCTCCAACTGTTGTTCCTTATGACATGGCATCGGTGAGTTGTGGGTCTCCAACTGATGTTCCTGATGACATGGCATCGGTGAGTTGTGGGTCTCCAACTGATGTTCCTCACGACATGGCATCAGAGAGCTGTGGGTCTCCTACTGACGTTCCCAATGACAGCCAACTGCTGAGAGGAAACCGAACCACTGACATGGAGAGCAATCAGGAAGAGGTGAATAGAGATGATTTAATAGGACAAAAATTTACACACAAAGAGGATGGAGATACATGTGCAACCGAGCTCTGTGTTGGTGAAAAAAACGTTACCAAACCCTACATGTGTGGAATGTGTGGGTACACGACAGCTTTCCAGTCGAGACTATCCAGGCATATGGAAAAACATACAAGGTATATCGAGAAGCCGTACAAATGTGACCAGTGTGACTACGCAGCACCTTGGAAAAACAGCTTGGATGCACACATGGTTAAACACACTTGTGAGAAGCCCTACGTATGTGGTGAGTGTGGATACAAAACGGCAATTAAAGCCAGACTATCTAGACACAATAGACTACACACGGGTGAGAAGCCTTATAAATGTGACCAGTGCGATTTTAAGACTCCTTGGAGGCAATCCTTTGACTTGCACAAAAATGGGCACTCTGGTGAGAAACCCTACATATGCGGGGAGTGCGGGTACGCAACAAAAGATAGGAGTCACCTTTCCAGACATATGAAAATCCATTCAGGAGAGAAACAGTACAAGTGTGACCAGTGTGACTACTCGGCAAACCAGAAATTACAACTGGATAGGCACAAAGCTAAACACACTGGTGAAAAACCCTACATGTGTGAAAAGTGTGGATTTCAGACCGGTAACCCTACTGGCCTCTACTGTCATATGAAAGTACACATTGATAAAAAACAAGTAAAAAGTGAGGAACAGATGGACAAGACGTACAAGTGTGGTGAATGTGACTTCTCCACTGTATATAAACACAGCATGAAGTCACACATGTCTAAACACACTGGTGAGAAACCCTACATGTGTGAGAGGTGCGGGTTCAGAACAGCTCATAAGTCCCAGCTTTTGCCTCACATACAACTACATACAGGGGAGAAGCCCCACAAGTGTGAGCTGTGTGACTATCGCACTGTAAGGAAAAGGAATATTGTTGTACACATGGCTAAGCATACAGGACTGAAGCCCTTTGCATGTAAGCTGTGTGACTACAGGTCAGGTTACAGGTCTGGTCTCAGAACCCATATGAAGGTTCATTCAAAAGGAAAATAACTGCAATCGCAAATGCTAAAGACATTTGACAGACAATCGAATTGTACATAGAGCATAACACACGGTTACCTGACCAGCAAGCTTTTTTATAGCTTTGTAGTAATCTTTCTATCGTTCTTTAACACTTAAGCTTAACTCTTTTTGTTTAATAGATAAGTAACCGAGGCCGTCTCTATTTGGGAATGCCTTCTGTAAAATGTGCATGCCCCATGTGGCATAAAACCCACATCTGTGAAGGCATTGGGATGGGTGAGCATTGTACAAGCAAACTCTGTTAATGCCTTCGAATGAGCTAATATATGTAAATGTTCTCTTTGCACATTGCTCAGTTATTACAGCTAGCCCTACGTATAAATTAGCATTTAGGATAGTTGGGCAGTCCTGTCCTTTTTTATTACAGCCAAATAAGTGAAATCAAATAGTTGTACCATGCTGTGTCTAACCTTTCTATTACGTATTTCCTGATTATGACAAGTACCAATTAACCAGAAATAGTACTAAGGTATTGAAATAAGCAACTTTTAATTGATGTCATACAGTTGTTACATGTAACATTGTTTTGTAAATTATCTTCGAGGGGAATTTTTAAAAGAATTTTTAATGTTGAATAAGTATATTTTAGCGTTGTTTGCAAAATGATGAAAACTATCAATGTATAATAACTGTATTGAAAGATAACTTTGTAATTAGCCTCTCTATTCAGCCTTCCAATACGGCTGCCAGGAGGCATATATTTTTTTACTGGCAAGAACTATTAAACCAGTCTACTAACCAGTCTACAAATGACTTGTAATTTGTACCTTGTACATACCTTCTCCACAAAAATCTATAAAGATATTTGACATACTCAACTTCAAAATGATGTATTTTGTTAATGTTTAGACTAAAATGTGTATTTTGTCGCCTATGCCCTGATATTAATAGCCGATGACTTGACATGTGGCATGAAAGTTGAATGTTTTTTTTTCGTAATTTAAAAAAAAAAAGCAAAATGACCTGGAACCTCGTATGTATGATGGTAGCATTCGCACTAACGTTTGGGTAGGCGTTACTTGAAAAAGTCAAAGGAATTTGGCATGGTTGCATTGGTAAGAAAATTCCTCTTCAGAGTGGGGTGATGTTGTTATTTTGAGATGGGTCATTTCTGCTAAATGTTGATACGGAACATTCTATTTCGAAATGACGAGGATAAAAGAAAAATCTGTATTTGTTTCGGACGGAAGAAATATCAGCCTTTCTAATTTCAAAACAACAAATGCTTCTTCATGAACTAAAGACTTAACTCATTTCCAACACTGGAATGATTTAAGACTTGCCCCAATTTTTGCATTATATTGATTATTCTCAGTGCGTTTTCATTGTTGACTTTTCGTTTCTTCAAAATAGATATAACAATGATGATTAAAAAAGAAAGGTTGAATATTAACTTAACGGGACGCTTGTTTATATAGACCCCACAATTTCAATCCAACTACGTTAGTTCGTTGCAAGTTGCAAGCTTATACAAGTCTAAACCATTACTAACAGAACCTTAAAAAAGGGAAGTATGACAGAAATATATTTTGCATTGTTTTTATTATCCTTGGAAGAGTTGACACAATCCTTGTGGATTAATCGTCATAGCTCGTCATAGCATTTCTGTTGCATACAGCTTCTTCCGTCCACCACTTGTACCTGTATTGAAAGGAAATGTCTTCAATTGGACTTCATTGCTATGTTCAAATGTAAATCAAAATTACTAGTATTTGCCCTTGAACACCTGTATACTGGGTACTCTATACTTGCACAAAACTATTGAGATGCGCAATTCGCAGCTCGCTAGAGGATATGCGGAAGTTTGACAGTACCCTTAGCATTATTACAGGCTAGGTAATTTCTCAAGGACTTGCAAATATGTATTGACATTTTCTAGTTCAATGATAATGTACAAAATAAATACTGAATATTTTTTTGTATTTCAATACATCAATTGCCTGTTAATTGCCACCGACCTGATTTTACATCAGGTCGACCTCCACTGGGTAGTGATCGCTAACAGCCTCAGCCTGAAACCAAGTTTGAACATAAAATAAGGTTAATTTTTACAAGTTATAGATATAACAGTGAATCAAATGTCTTTGTCGCTTAAGATATTTTCAGTTACATTGAAAGGGACTCAGTAACTAGGGGCTGCAAATATTGGCTGATCTCTAAGAATCTATCCTGGATGCCAGACTGTTTCCAGGTAGCCTCCTTCGCAGTCTTGTTGGGCCGAGGGAGTTTTTGCCACGGAGAGAAGGTTCCGCGCTAAACCTTCTCTCCGTGGCAAAAACTCCCTCGGCAGCAAATCGTCCCTCGCGGCCGCATATTACTCGCGTCGCTCAGAGAAAAAAATATCGCCGACGCCCAACAAGACTGCGAAGGAGGCTAGTTTCCAGGGTCTGTCTAGGCACATCAGATTCAGGGCCAACTCTAGTACACTCGTACGCGTGGATTTTTACAGGGACGATAGTGGCAGTTTGTATTGGAACATGTCACAATTAAAAAAGAAATTACTTTAACGGTGGTAACATAATCCTATACATAAAAAAATTGGGATGACTAGAACCATATATTTTTATCATTGAAAATACATGTAAAAGATTACTTCTAAATGCTTAAAAACATCCTCTTGCAAATGACAAACGCAAAATATCATAGTCCATTTACCGCGCAGTTGCAATGGAAATGCCTGGAAAAATCGAAAACGCGTCCGCTGTGGGGGAGAACACTTCCTTTAAGCGTTGGTCCCGAGACAACGATCCTGAAAAACAAACATTGATTCAAATTGATAAACAGTCCATAGAATCTAAAACAATGACGTATAATATATTCTTTCGTATAAATACATTCAAGTACAAATTTCATAACAGGCTTGTTGGATCGTGTGTCGCAATGGCAGGGTGTTTGGCCATGAACCCAGAGGTCACTGATCTTGTGTCCTTGGGAAATGTGTCCTGTAAGTATTGCAATACAAAAGCTGTGTCGAAATTCGCTTTACTTCCTACTCCATTTCTATCCCAACCCCCTAAGCTATCAGTAGGCAAACGGAAAAACAAATACTTCTTTTAACTACCCAAAACAGACATATTATAGACAAAGTCTGTGGAATGTTATGTCTTCCACAGCTTACTCAGAAAAAAGCTCAAAAGCCGTAAATAATTTACCTTTATAAGCAGGATAAAATGACTACTATAATCCTTTTGTACGTTGTCTTATTGTTTTCCAAGTAATCTCCTTGTAATCCTTTTGTAGAGACATTGTGCTTGTAGGGCCTGTCCTGGTGTCTGCTATGAGGAACATGGGTTACTGGAGTGACTTTATCAAACGTACATTGTCGCATCTACATGTAAGTCCGGATGCATGGTGATAATGATGACGATGTAACCTGCATTTTGCCCTAGTGCGTAAACTTGCAATAAAACTGTCTATGAACATAGTAAAACGCGTTAAATTTGATTGAATACACACCGGTCGTAAGCACAGTTGGTCGATGTTACTGTTGTGTCGACGTCATGGCCTATAAGCCAATCGTAGGTCCGATATCTGGTCCAGAGGCTGATGCTGTCCCAGTGGCTGGGGCGGACGTAATTACAGTCAGCGTTGAAATCTCCTAAGATCATGATATCCTGCAAACACACAGGATTGGAGTTAATGCATAAATAAACTACAGGTCAAAGATCTCATACCTTCGTCGTTTGTTATTTGTATTGTTTTTTTTGCATGTGTTATGGTAGCACACAAGAAAACAATTACTTCATCAAAAGTTATTATGTCTGTTCAAATTCCCTCATACGTGTAAGGGCTACTCTAGGACCCCCCCCC